AGTCCTTGATCTCCTTGTCTTCAGTCGCCGAAGCGATGTTCTTGACGTGAACAGTGGTGTTTGACATAATGACGGTTGTTTGGTGTTTGGAGTTGTTGAGAGATGTGTTTGAAAGTGTTGTAGGAGGGAGTTTTGTGAGGGGTAACTGAAGACTGGATGGGGTATCAAGGGCGGTTATGCGGTTATGTACGTTGTCTCTCAAGTTGGAGGGGTATCTGGGAAAAAGCAGAGAATGAGCCGAGAAGAAGGGACGTTGCTCGTAATCGCGTGAATGATGGATTTTATGTAAAAGCTGGACGTGTCTGCATGGGAATGTTGGAGGCAAGTACGTATGATGATCAGACGAAGGGTCATGAGAACGCGCTTTACCTTTTAGCCAAGGCAGGCGACGAAAGAGCATCCACGTCCCAGCCCAGACTCAGGGACAGAAGGGGCGGCCTCCAGCTGGTGACGATGCTGGGCACCACAAAGAGCAGGGTCCCTGTTGAGGGAGGGGGGCCACCCGGTGGTAGCTGCCCTGTCTGGCTGGGCCATCGAGGAAGGAAAGGGAAAGAGCGAGAGCGGCAAGCAAGGAGCAGGGGCCAGTCTGGGCCCAGTGCCAGCTTCCACCTTCAGAGAGGGAAAGTGGGGTACGAGGGGGGCGAGGTCCAAACGTCATCGCCTGCGGTTTTGAGGAGCTTGTGCCAGCGGTGGGGGTGGCTGTGGCTGTGCACAAGCCAGGACTCCCGTTCAGGAGCGAGGTAGCCCCGCTAACAGAGCCACACTCCAGCCACGTATCTTTCCCGCGTACTTTGGCAGCCCAGATACCTTCACATGCTTCTCTTCCAATTATCCCACTTACTGGAAGGCTCCAGAACATCAGACGACCCTGACCTGAATGCTCCCTTCATCCCATTCTGAACGACACAAATTCCCCAACGGGAAGAAAGACCAGATGACGCTTTTCGGTACGGATACGACGCGACTGCTCTAAGGACACATTGCGAGACTCCTACCCAGTCGTCTTGCGACGCGACGCCAGGGCGACGTGGCTCGTGGCTGGCATTTCACACTTCGCATTTCACCATGCATAGAAGAACTTAGAACTCTCCAATATTCAACACCCCACGTAACGTCGTCTCATCTATCTACATCGGCCTACCACCACCACCATCATCCTTCACGGCTCCGATGATGCTACACCTTTAAGCATCACATCCGACGCCTTTTGGCTAACGATAAAGGTCGCCACGGCAGGAAATGCTCCGGGAGCCCGCGGGAACACGCTCGCGTCGACAACCCTCAGCCCGTCCACACCAAACACACGAAACTCGGAATCCACCACCGCCATGCCATCATCAGCCGCACCCATCTTGCACGTCCCCGTAGGATGATGGCCAAAAGTCTGCTCCCGGATCCAATCCTTATCCGACTCCGGGTCCGTGTCACCGCACCGGCCGTCACCTTCCACCCGCGAGCATGGAGGTTCGGCCGGCTCCACCGGACCCCATGGACCTTGGACGCCGCGCATGCTCCGTCTGCCCCATGCCACCACCTCCGCTATCGCTTCTAGGTCCGTCTCGGCACCTTCCTTGTACAGCTCGAAATTGATCTGCGGTGGCTCCGTCGGGTCCGCGGACCGGAGCTTGATGTACCCGGCCGTGTTCTGCGGGTGCATCTTAACAGTCGAAAAGCCGATGGTATTCGGTGGATCGAGGAGCTCCGGCTGCTGCACCTCGGGCCAGAATCCGCGGAACGCCCTTGGCCAGCTGAACACGAAGACATCTCGCTCTCCGGTCAGCGAAAAGCTAGACTTGAGAAGTAACGCGTTCGAGTTATATCCAAGCCGCATGTACGGGCCCTTTCCCTGCCGCCACAGCTCTTCGCACGGGTCTCCGGGCGTTCCCTTGGCGCAGATCGGCTCGTTGGGGTTCAAAGTAGCTGTCAGGTTAAGCTGAGCGTGACCCACAACTGGGAATTCTTGATTATCTTGGAGGTTCCGACCCACGCCTGGCAAGTCTGCCACGACCTCGATGCCGAGTGCCTCAAGATCTGTTTTGTTCCCGATGCCGCTGAGCTGTAGTAGTTGCGGCGAGTTGAAGGCACCACCTGAGACGATGACTTCGCTAGATGCCATTGCTCGCCGTGTCTCGCTTGTCGTCGACGCATTATGTCGCACATCGGCGCCATAGGTGGAATTGCCCGCCAAGTACTCAACGCCCACGGCCCTAGGCTTTCCGCCGTTTGTCTCTTCAAACAGGACCTTCGTAGCCAGAGAATTTGTCGACAAAGTCAGAGGCCACTTGGGAGAGCCGTCGGCGTTCCTGGCCGCCAGTGTTTCGTAGATGTACGTGCGAGAGCTGTACCGCTCCCATTTGTCCGTCGCATGGAACGACAGCCCCCACATCCCCTCCATAGTGTCTCTATCCTCGCTGAGAAAGTTCCCGTCGCTGCCCACCATCTCAATGAGCTTCTCTGGATCTTTTCCAATGGACCGCAAGTGTGACTTAAGAATGTCCATCAAACCAGGGTTGTTAAGATACTGTGACCCGTTGCCGAGATTCGTATTGAAGTAGCCGTCGAATCCGTGGCCTGGCGTGTCCTCGGGGAGATAGTTGTTCTTCTCGATCCTCTCAAAGATTTGCCTAATGTTCTTGTGGCTTTCCCAATCCCAAGTCAGCTTTCCAGCCCTGATAAATCTCAATATGCCTTCACAATGCAGGTACGACTCACTTCCACGAAGCATCCCCCGTGACATTCTGCACAAAATCCCAATCCGAATCATTCGGCAACCACGTCGCCATCGCATTCGTCACACTCGAACCCCCCACCGTCGCGCCGCGTGGATACCAAACCCCCAACAACTCTGCCCCCTCAGGCGCCCTCGCCGCGTTGCCGACCCAGTATGGTCCGATACCAGTTCCATTCTGTGAGGGTAGCCGCCACGTCAGGTGGTTATTCCGCAGCTCGACCTCTTCGTCGGGATGATGCCGCACGAAGAACGACCAGCTGTTTGTCGGAGTGATAAAGTACCCGCCGTTGGCGATCACGGTTCGGATGTCATCGCGCTCGTCATCGCCTGCTTCGAGGAGTAGAGTTGGGTGGCCTGCGCGGGCGAGGTTGCATGCTAGGGGGCCGCCGCCTGGGCCAGAGCCGATTACGATGTAGGTGTAGGTTGTGTTTGGGGCTGATTGGGCGGTGGTTTGCACGAGGAGGAGGAAGAAGAGGATGAAAGCTGTGATCGTGGAGAGGATCATCATGTTTGCGGTGGGGAGGGTATGTTCTGTATGATGCTGCGGTCAATGGAGGGCATGAGTCTCCGGTTTTCAACAGCCTTGGTTAAGGACTGGTGAGATGGCTTTAAATAGCTGTTTCTCTTCATGCTCGCAGCGCCTTTTTTCTAGCCTCTCGTTCCCCCGGGTTCCAACCTGTCGAAATCGTCAACAATGGCCTCCCAATATCAAGGGTCCCTGTCTCGCTTAGACATCTCCCCGCATAGGGTAGAGTTCCCAAAGCCAATCTACATCCCGATAAGCTTACCAGTGCCTTGGCGGGTGTAACCGTTACAACAACAAGGTCGATGCAGCTTACGGTCGAGGCGGGGTTCGGTCCCGATTGGGATATACGAGGCGCGATGTCTCTCTCCTTGCATATGGTGATGACGGGTTCTTCTTATTGAACGACTTCCATGAGTTCACTTGAAGACCCATCATTCCCAATATCTTCTTCCTCTGCCGATGGCATTGTTATATCTGTCGTATCGGATTGCTCCCCGCGCCTCCAGCGAATTAATCGAGAAAGACGAATGCCGTGTCTGATTGGGCCACGCACCTTACAGGCTTCCAGGACATCATGCCGAACCTCCTATGCCACCAGTGCCGCCGTCTATGTTGCTATTCGTCCCGTTATCTGTCATTTCTTCCTTGAATTAAAAACTTCCATTACCGAAATCAAACTTTTCAATGGCGTGAAGTCGTTGCCAGATGACTAATACCCTGAGTTCGCCATACGGAAGGTACGATCCTGCCGGGGTCTGTCGTACCTTCCCTCCCGAGTTCCCTATCAACCGTACCTTCCACACATGTCCCCCTCCTCCTACCTTCCATCTGAATACACGAGAAGGGCAAGTAACCCCCTCAAGTCTATTCCTGTCACCAGCCAACAGGCGTCCCCCGGGGGTCAGGTCAAAACTGGCTGGTTGGTGGAGTGGTTCGAGTCCACAAGCCTAATCGGTGAAGGCTAGAGGTCCCGTGTTCGAGTCCCGGCAAGTGCACCCAGAGATGTAGCCCCCGTTCGCCACCGGTCACCGATAGGGGTGAACTCTTGTGTTTTTATTGGTGGCCATTGAGACTGATCTGCTTGGAGTATAATGCCTTACGCCCTCATTTTACTCGTGCTAGACTGGCGAGCCCAGAGATTCGAGGTTAGAAAGACTAGGCGCAGGATGGGGTTCGTGAAAGTCCCTGACTACCGCGGCCTCAATGGCCTTCTCAGAGCCTGACTCGAAGGATATGTGCCGGATCATAATACCAATGTACTGCTCAGAGACCTCCGTCTCAGGCACGCCGACTTTGTCGTATACTTGAGGTAGCTGCCCCCGATGAGCTGTATATGTGGACTCTGCTCTCATTACGACGGAGACGAAATCGACTTGCTCAGTCGTTGGCCTCCAGGTGGCTCAGGTCAAATACTGCCGTGGAGAGGATTTGCGGGGGTGGGAGCGAACATAATGCTATAACGGGACAGCGATCGTGGTTTGAATGACGGGACGAATGCAAATGAAAAACAACGAAAGGTGCCTCGTTAGTTGAAGACTGCTAAAGTAGAATCACATCACCACACGAAGATGGTAGACGGGTGAATGAGAAAGAGATTGTTCCATTCAATTACTTCTGGATGCTCCAGTCCCATGAAAAGTCCTGAATGAGAGTCCATACCATCACCGATATTCCATCGACCACAGAGTGCGTGACATATCACGCACATTTAAAAGCCCTTCTTCACTTCAGCATCGGCAGATTTCAGGTGTGGAATGTTTCGTAAAGGGCTCGGAAAGCAGACGCCCGACCAAGAAGCTCAGCGGGACAGCCCTCCTCGACAATGACACCCTTGTCCAAGATGATAATCTTATCAAAGTCGAGAACGGTGTCGAGACGGTGAGCCACTGAGATGATGGTGGCGTGGGCGAATCGTTCGTGGATGATTTTCATCATCTTCTTCTCCGTGTCGACATCAACACTAACGCAAAAGGTAAGCTACCAAATCATTCGTAAAACGAGAAAGTAGACCCCGCGAGAAGCGAAGTTACTTGGAAAGGCCAACAACATACTTGCTAGTAGCCTCATCCATGACCACAATCTTGGTCGGGCACAAGATACCTCTCGCCAGGCAGAATACCTGCTTCTGGCCGTGAGAGAAGAAGTCATCTGAAAACTCCGCATCTAGCCCGCCCTTCTCTTCAATCACCTCCCAGAGACCGACGGTGCGGAGGGCTTCGGTAATGATCTCATCCGAAATCGCACCTTCGGGATCACAGTTGAGACGCACACTACCGCTGAAGAAGGGAGGCTCTTGAGGAAGCGCGTTCAGTCGCTGACGTAGTACCTCGCGCGGCATGGTCGCAACGTCGACGCCGTCGATGATGACTTGTCCCTCGTCACAATCAATGAGGCGGAGCAGAGTGAGCAGGAGAGAACTCTTGCCACTGCGAACGCGTTGTTAGCAAAGGTGTCATTAGAATATCACAACGATGGCCAACGAGATTCAGACTTGCCTCCCGCTTCGACCGCATATCCCAACCTTCTGGCCAGGCAAAACGCCAAAGGAAACCTTTGAAAGAACCTTACCCATGCCCTCACCATACGAAGCAGTGACATTATGGAAGCTAATCGCCCCCCTCTCAGGCAAAGACCCCGACGGCGTCTGAGGGTCCCGGGCCTGGCTCTCAGCAGGCGTCTGCTCCGCAAAGGTCTTCACACGCGCAACGGTACCAATCGAGGTCTCGAGAACAGTCCAGACGGTGATGGCCGCCTTCATGGCGCTACTGAGACCCATGATGTTGTACAGGGCCACACCGGCAAAGCCCGCGCCGACACGACCGCGCAGGGCGACGGCGACGGAGATGAGGACGATGGCGAGGGCGGCGACGGTGAGATCTAGGACGAGGGTGAGCCAGCGCTGGATGCTGTAGAGGAGGTACATTGGCTTCTGGGAGGTGTCGAGGCGGTCTCGCATGAGGTTTGTGAGGTCCTGTTGCCAGCCGAAGGCGCAGATTGTGGAGAGTCCGCTTAGGGTCTCGAGGAATTGGGAGCTGGGGAGTACATTAAGATGGGGGTTCTTTCGTTTGTGGCATGAAAGGGGTTGACAGGATACTTACTACATGGGGGCCTTGGCGTCGAGCTCCAGGAAACGAAGCTGGCGCGACGTCCGTAGGTAGAACCTTTGAATAACCCAGAGTACGCCGCCGAGGAGCGGGAAGACTGTAATGAGCTGGTAGGAGGCAGGGATAATCATCAAAGCTTGTGCAATGCAGATGAGTCCGTCTAAAGACTGTTTAGTGTCGGCACTACCCTCGTGCACGTTGGCATGGTAGCACTCACTGGCGGCAACATTGAGGAGAGAGATGGGCAGCTCAGCGTCGATTAACTGAATGTCCCGGCTGAATCTGAGCAATGGTTCAGTCCTGAAGCTCGATAAAGGCAGTGTGGCATGTCTATGCCTACCTGTTAACGATGGAGCCAGTATTGGTTGTAGCAAAGAAGGACAGAGGTGCCATTGGAGATGTTAGCAACAAAACTTGATCTGGTAGAGATGGTTATGACTTGCCGGAGGGCCTTCTCGAGGAGAATCCAATGAAGTTTGATACCAGAAGCAACGGCCATTCTAAGTACGACGTGCCTAGAGCAACAGGTTCAGTAATAAAGCTCAAGATACGAATCGATGATAAAATCTACCAGCAGGTCGCGGCCAACGCAACAAGTGAAAGGACTTGAAGAGTGGCATAGACTCCCATGTACTTTCCGGTCTCTTGATTAGGATGTCTGTCGTTAGCCTCACCCCACCAAGAAAGCCAAATTTCTGCCGGAAGTTTAGGTAAGCTTTCACTTGTGGTCAACATAGTAGGTAGGGACGTACCGGGGAACTTTGTCAGGAAAACCCAAATGACCTGCAGGGTGATGAATATGAGAACGCTGCGGGGGCCGGTTGCCTGAAAGTAGTACTTATAGACAGAACGATCACCCATGCGCTGTGTGTCCTCGTCAATGCTGCTGTTTGCTGTCTTCTCTCTCTGCTCAGGCTTGAACGCGGATTTTCTGTCATCCTTCACGGCGTCACGCTGGATCGTGTCTTCTTTGGTGACCAGGCCGAACTTGCTGATGTAACCGGGCTGCTTGTTGAGCTCCTCAAACGTTCCACGAGAAGCAATCGTGCCGGTTTGGTCCAGAGTGATGATGTAGTCTGCTTGAGGGAGTATGTGTACTGCAAGGCCGTTAGAGCTGGTAGGAAAACTAGATCAAGCCAAATACTGGAGTTGCGTACCTGCGTGGGTGACGAAGAGCGCAGTGGCGTTGCGTTGTCTCAAGAGGCCAGATAGTCCGAAGAGTTTGTTGAAGACACGAGTCTGCGTCTCGAAGTCGAGACCGCTGAAGACGTCGTCGAACAGGATGATTTCACGTCGCGAGTACACGGCGCGGGCAATTGCCTGAAAGGGACTTTGATTAGTAACAATACGAACATTCAGTTGTCCAAGAGACAATAAAGGGGCCGCCGGTGCTTACCACTCGCTGCTTCTGGCCACCACTGAGGGTAACGCCCTTGCTGCCAACCATGACCTGGTCGCCATCCGGGAAGGTCGCAATGTCTTCCTCCAAAGCACAAGCTCGGACTACGGTGCTATACCAAGAAGCCTCAAAGTGAGAGAAGCCAGTGACGTTCCGACGGAGAGTTTCGTTGGTTAGCCAGGGAACTTGGTCGCAGAAGGCTATGTTATCAGAGGCCCGGATGATAGTCCCCTCTGCAACTGGAGTCTCGCCCAAAATAGGTTTGAGGAGGGTCGACTTTCCAGAGGCGACGGGCCCGACAATCATTGTGAGCTTTCCGTGGGGGATGTGCAGCGTGAGATCGGTCAAGGCTGGGTCCGCATCTGTCTTCTACCCGAACTTGGCACTACGAATTTCGATGGCATTTCCGTTGACTAGAGGATCTAAGATGATGGCTTCATTGAACTTGGCCTGCTTCTCGGACTCCTGGCGGAACGAAGAGTCTCTTCGCGACTCACTGATGGACGAGGTGTTGCCGAGGTTGTCCGAAGGGCTGCGGACATCCGACTTGGCAGCCGTCTCCGGGGACAAGAGGAAAGCTTGAACACGGCCGAAGCATGCGATGGAGGCAATGATGTTGGGGAGATGCGCAAACAGCTCGTTGAGAGGCTGCGTGACGAGGGCAAGCAGGGCTAGGGACGTGAAGATGCGGTTCGAGTCAAGTGTGGTGTGCTCCTTTTGTGCGATAGCCGTGTATGCGCCGAAGGTCACCACTGGGGAGATGGAACCAGGTGCATACGCTGTGCTGGGTTAGTCTGGCCGGATCCGACTCATTTTTCCCCTGGTGAAATAACTTACACAGGGTGACAATGACAAGCAACATGGTCCTGAACTTTGCTGCGGACGCGATTTCCCTCAAGTGCAGGTCTTGGATGATGTGGAACATCTTATCGGTGAAACCGGACAGCTTGACGCCTTTGGGGGCTCCCAAAACAGAAGAAGTAACCGCTGTGGAATGTTTCAAAGATTAACAAACTGCAATGGACTCCTAGGTAGCTGAACGGCAGAATGGAGGTGATGTTCATACCGACTCTCTTTTGGATAGCCGCCATCCAGGATGCCTGAAAAGCCCCAGCGGAACCCGACAAGGCTCCCGCACCAAAAGCACAAACTAGACATCAAGTCAGTAACTATAAGAAACATGAAGTAATTAGGCGCGGTGCTTACTCAAGAAAAGCACAAGAGGAACGATGAACACAACTCCGAGTTGTCTGTATAGTAAGGCAAGGGCCACAGCCATCTGGAGAAGTGTCGACCAGCTCTCGTGAATCTTGGACATGCCGTTGACGATTCTCTCAATATCCGTGCTCATCAATGTGACCGCAGCAGCCTCCTCGGCGCCAGTGATGCTCATGGAAGTTGTTTTTTTCGTAGATCAGGAGCACGAGGCAGTCACGCATCATGGTGGCGTACCGGAAGACAAGGTGTTGGCATCCTGCAGTCACAACCTAGAACCCATGGCCCATGGGAGGTCAGACTCACATCCCACAAGTTGAATCAATGGGTAAAATTCATTGAATCTTGACTCACCGCAATGCTAACGTAGACCAAGCCATAGGCTCCGATCAACCCGTATCCGATATTTCTCTGGTCCTCGGTGTGGTCAACAGGGCTCGCGAGGTAGGCCATGATAGTGCTGATCATGAACGGCTGTGCGAGCTGGAGCCCAACGAGGATCATGTAGGCAGGAACAGGTGCCAGGATGGGCCACTTAAGAGCCGAGAAGATAGTTCCTAGTAAGGCATTGTTTCCCGTCTTGGGTGCTGTCGCGCCAAATCAAACCCGTCAGCGAATCAGGACATAGCGCAAACTCGCAGTGCAACTCACAGTTCCTCCACTTCTGTCCAACCCGGTTCCAAAGAGAATCAGACAGAAGCTGTCTATCAATGACAGGTAGCTTGTCAATCGATAGCGGAGACTTGTAGCCATTGAGAAGCAGACCGTTGAGCCAATGGAACCCGACACGGTTGAATAGTCCAGCAGTCTCCTCAGAGCTACACTCGCTCGAGTTGCCGATGATCCATCGCCTCTTGCTAGCTTCCTCCTGCACGAGAAGCGCAAGCTTCAGGCCAAAGGTCGCGGTTGAGAGCGCAACTATGGGGGTTCCGACGGATTTTATCCACAGGGTTCGGAGGCGGACGGCATCAAAGATGGTGGACAGGACTAGAAATGCATTCAGAAGCAGGGACGGGCTGAGCGATCTCGAGTGCTCTGTAAATGAGAGGCCAGCCACGAATACGCTGTCCAGAATGGTCAGAACGGCGGCGGCGATTGCTGTTTTGTTATTGAGGGCTAGATCTGCACCACGAGCCCAGAGTGTGGTAAGGGCGATAGAGATGGCAGTGAAAACCAGGATTGAGGCCTCGAATTTTGGTCGTTAGTAGACTCGTTTCATCTCTTGCTGCCAGCAGTCTTGCACTTGCTTGACGAGTGGATGAGAGCTCGACTTACCAGCTTGACTTGGCGAAACGTGTTGTTTGCGACTTTGTGTTGTACCGAGCGACGGGAGAACATCCTCAAAGCTGCTAGAATGATGAAAATTGACGATGGGAGGATCGACAAGATCGTGTCCTCAAACAAGAGCGTGAAGTCGAACTTGCGGACGCAAGAATCCATCACTGGGCCGAAGGCGGAGTCGCCTGGACCACCCGGCGATGCGCAAGAAATATTGGTGTCCATTGTACATAGACTGCTCAACAGATAGGGTAAGTAATTGATGACACGAAGCGTTTAAGTTAAGAGACGCTAGTCACGATGACTTCGAGATCGCAGCCAACTCTGACCTCTCTCAGTGCGGCGACAAAGAAGAGTCGATACGCAAGTGAAGCACGATCGTGTCGAATGCCTTTCTTTTGCTCGAAGATCGGAAAGATCAGCAGACCTCTTGGCTTCTTTCGATCATGGGAAAACAGTGAGAAGGGTGCCATTGTTATGAATAAGGGCCACAAACTGGTAGATATCGCCTTGGTGGTGACCAACGGCACCGACGGGCGTCGCTTGCCAGGTGATGAGGCGACGGAACCGTTTTCACGTTAAGCTATTGAGGATGGGGAAGCAATATCCCTGTCTCCTGCATGGAATGGCGTGGTTGAAGGATCAAACGAGTTTAGAACCAACAAGATGCGTAACAAGGGTCGGATGGCGCAGGATAACCAGCTACCAAAGCTGGACTGGCGGGAAGCAAAAGGCTTGATCTGACCCAAACTGCATTCCTACAAACTGGGGTTGACCAGGGTGTATTGGGATTTATTCGTGTCGTTGTGCGTGTTGGATGGCGTAAAGAGAACGAATGAACACGTTTGACTTGCCTCGTTGTCACCTCATACCCCTGATCCCAGTGTCCCTGAACTCTCCAGCTTCCCATCTTGACAGGCGCAAAAGGCTTATATGCATACGAGGGTCTAGATCTGGCCGTGTTGGTTCTGGAAAACGTCTGTTGGTTCCAACATAATTTCAGCAAAGTGAGGAACCTATGTTGCTGGATAAGAGCCAATCCCTGCTTATCTTGCCTTCTGCGCTGCTTCACTGCGAACAAGAGTAACAAAGCTGATTGGTGGCACATACGGCCTTTTCAAGCCAGAGGCGCACAGTCTGTCTTGATGAAGAAGGCGAGGGCGTCCCATCCGTACAAGTGGAGGAGTCCAGCCCATATGAGCAAGAATCTCGCTTCCGTTCTGCCGGGTTAGTACAAGGCCTGATTCATATATGAGGGCTTGTATCGTATTTTCCCATGCATAGGGATGAGAACTCGATCCTTCATTGCCACATTGGTATGATGTCTGTCCGTACATGTACAGACATTCCGATGTTTGATGAATCCCACCCATTATTGGGGGGCGTAGGGCTGTGCCGCAGGAGGCCGCCTTTTGTAGAGCTGAAAACCGAATATCATTCGCCCGTTGGTTTGACGCTGTTTTGAAGAGACTATTCTACTTTGCCATCAGAAATGTCACATTGCCTAATTTGACCACTTTAGGTCTTTCGGTTTAAGATGCCATGAACCCCGCGAGCTTCAGGAGCCTCTACAAGATATCAAAACATTTCTGCCAACACATACCCCCTCACTACACGTGAACAACTCTGCATTCTTAAATAAATCATACAGAAAGACGCTGAGAATACCGCTTCAGAATCTTGAGCTCTGACATCCCTCCTCCCTCCTACAACGACGCGGTCTCATCCGTTTCCCGCCAACCGCCCTTCCCACGCCCAGACTCCATCCAAACCCACCACATCGCCGTCGGACCCGGCGCCACATCCCTCTCTCTCACATTACCAGACCCGGCCGAGGAATGGCAGACTCGTCGTGACATCTCCGTCCAGGATTGGGCCGCCTTTGCTTCCAACATCACCGCAGCGCTCGATGCAACCATTGATGTCGACGACAAGAAGCAGTTGGCAAACGAAGACGAGTTCATGGAGAAGCGCCTGACAGAGATTGTCGAGGGATGGAACAACGGCTTTCTTGAGCAGCGCGGTCTTAAGGTTGTGCTCAATGGGCAGGATGATGCTGCCACCGCTGCCGCGGGCTTTTCTACCGATGTATCGAGGTTCAGCTTTGGCCCCAAGAAGTTCCGGGTTCAGTTTGGTGGGGGGATCTTTGGTGTGGACTTGTCATCTAAGAAATCTGCTTCTGAGAAGTAATCTACAATTATGTTCGATAGCTCCACATCGTTGTTCGATAGCGAGAAAGAAGACATGCAGGAGACTTGAAGCCGTGGTAAGTACGAAAGTAGTAACCGAGACAAATCGGTTATCACAGGATTAAATGCGGGCTTTAGCTAATAATTTCTGATGAAGCCGAACTACTTTTCCAAAGCTCGACGAACAAGCGAGGAAACTGGCAGACAAACAGACATATTGGACCAAAGATTTGCATTGTGAATTTCAGCATATTTTGGGCTTGGTACATGTCAGGGCCCTTGACATCGATGCTCCAAGCCGGTATCCCGTGGATAATGAAATTCGAAGCTTTGCCCCAATACGTGCCTCTTTACCGGGAATTAAATAGCTGATCCCGGGTATGTCGTTTCATCTGCCCTTGCATTCATTGTCACGGAGTCAATCAGTTCCGCGGCAGTCGTTAGGACTTACTGCATCCGGCGATGAGAGGCTCACGTCCAAGTAAGATGGAGGCGGCAAGCCAACTCCCTAGGTCACAATACGGATTCGGAAGTGATCACATGCCAACTAGGTCTATTCCAATCATGGCGCACGAGTTAACGGGCTCATTTGAAGTTATTAATACATCGGACATGATAGGTTGACCACGTCTTGGATCGAAAACATCTCGAACACATGGATTTGAGGTCAGCACGTTTGGTTGGGACACCAGAAATCGATTGAAATCGATTGAAATTTACTTCTCTTCCTAAAGTTCTCGAGGATAACTTGAAGTTAGAGGTATCTATAGTGATAAAGAAAAGGAAAAAGTGAATAAACCAAGCGAACATATTTCCCATCAACAGTACTCCCGGATATCATCGTCAAGTCGTTAAAACAAGCACCACAGGTTACCGACCGGGCCTACAGCGGCACCTAACCTCTGTGGATCACACCATTTTCGTCGTCGGGTCCGCATTCACATCCGTCGTAGTCTTTCCCTTCAAATAACTCCCAAAGATCTCGGGTTCCTTGGCCGGATGCGGCGTCGTCGGCGGCGGTACAATCTCCACATCCTTCGTCGTCTTACGCTTGAGGTAACTCCCAAAAATGTCCGTCTGCTTCTGGTACTGCTGAATCAGCTCCGTCGTATCCAGCCCGGGGCTCTGCTGCGCGAAAGAAAAGGAGCCGCTCCCTGCGCCGTCGGCCAGCTCGAGGCACTCGTCATCTTCGCGGCTCCGCGTCGTCTCGATCGTTTCCGTGGTGACTTTGACCTCGTGCGTAACGAAGATCATGCCCATGCTGTTTTGCAGCACAGGCCAGAAGACGGGGAGGGAGGCGCAGATGGCGGCCATGTCGATCTCGAGGATGGAGAGGGCCATGGGGCCGGGGGCGGCCCAGGTTGGGTCAAAGGTTGGGTAGGTTCCGGCGCGGGAGCGGACTAGGGCTACGAGACGCCAGGCGGAGAGCATCAAGACGCTTGATATGCCGTTAGTAACTACGTAAAAAGCGAGATGATGGTAATGAGAATCGACTCAGAAAAGAACTTACAGGCTGCCCAGCAAAAAGAGGCCGAGAACGCTCTTACGGGACCTTTTGTTCGCCTCGGTGTTGAAGTATAGCGGCAAAGGAATGGCAAAGATGACGAAGTCGAGAATCATGTTGCTCGTGGCGTGAGCCTCGTACGTCCGTATCAGCTCCTCTGCAACCTGCGTCCCGAACCCCCAGCGTCCGCGGTAGGGTATTGACCAGTCCCAGTAGGCTGCGACGGGAATGCAGGGTACCCAGGCGAGGAAGATGAAGGCGACTCCCCACATGGCCACGATGCAAATCATGGCAATGGTAAACATTCGTGATTTTGATCCGCGCTCAAATGTCCGGAGGTACTGGAGCAGGATGGCTATCTTGATCAAGGATGTTGATACCGGTAATGTGCCGTTGCAGATGTAGAAAATCTAGTTTCTCATGGTCAGAACTCCGTAATGAGAAGTGAGAGTCCATATCATGAAAAGGGAAACCACTTACCTTCATGAACTTGATGAATCTATAGTACTCTATCAATAATAAATGATCACCAAGCCCATAGTCCATTGCTATTTCACTTGTCAGCATCTGCTTCGGACCAAGTATGTCGGGGTAGTTGTAAGCGTATTCTGACATACCGACGCAAGTGCCAATGCTTCCAACTGAGATTGAAATCATGACCAGAACCAGAAAGAAGTCGTCCAATCCTACAGCCCGAACAATGAAGATGCGTGTCCATATTCGCATGCCCGCACACAGCAGTGCTAGTATCTACACACCGATTGTTAACATAATGTTTTTGGACAGCTCAACGTACATGTACATTTGCCCAGTGCCAAGGAGGAGGGACATACCAAGAACGATATCACGATGCCAAGCATCACCGGCTTCTGATTCAACGCAGGCCTCGGGTCATCGAGGTTGTTCACCTTCCCAACCAACTCGGTAAAAGACGTCATGATGAAAGGGATACGAGTCCCAATAAAGGGATCTACGTAACGACCGATTGGCTAAAACCACATGTACATGAGGTCTATTTCCCAACTCGGCTCGAGATAACCACAATGTTGTCGTTGTCGTTGTCGTCGTCGTCGTTCGTCGAGGAGATGAGTCTGTGGGGGCGACTGGGGCGGGGGTGTTACAGAGAGTAAATCGACCAGGAACCAGAGAACCCATGTGGAACAACTCCAAAAGGGGGCACTGCTGAGACCTTATGAGAACAAAAGCGATGGAAGCATCCGGTGTGGCTTTCGAAGAACAGTCAGCCAGTAGAACATATCAAGCATGTCGCGCGTCGCCGCCTCTTTCTGGGCTCGTGGAAGTGTGGCTTGTCACACGGCAACGTCTCAACTCGCGGCTGGCAAATGCATTTCCTACGATTCCTCCTCGCCCGAAAAGGCCTTTCCTCTAGTTCCTTGACCCAAACAATCAGGACACTCTCGAACTTGGTCTCCTCCGGCTCCCATCCTCCCCCCACCATACGGACGATTGACAGCCCTAATGCCTTCTTGACGGGCGCACCTCACGCGGGAAAGAAAAGGGGAAACCACCGTGCCCTCCATGGTTCCAAAGCTCCGGTTCGTGTTAGCGTCCGCCTCCATGCCTCTAGTGCCTCCTCGGTCTTCACTTCCACCAGTCTGCCTGCCCTCTTATAATGTGGCTTGCCGCGAGGCTTGAGTTCGTTGTGAGCAGCTGGAGCGGCAGAGGTGGGAGGCGCTGGAAGGTCGACCGCATGCGGGGATTGGTGTGGCGGCGTGGATCAATCGACCCAACCGTGTTGGGACAAGAGTCGTGGATGGTATGGTTGTCTTATGCACCATCGAGAAACATCGTGTCTTGGATTGCCAAAACAGACCCTTATCGAAGGTTGGGTGCGATGCCCAGCGTTAGCAAGAATCCTTTTGTTTCTTCTTCTTTCATTCTTTTCCCTTGGACGGAAAAGACGTTAAGAGTTATTCTGGAAGGGCTTTGAGAGGAAAGAGGACTTTTTTCTTCTTCTTTTGCTGGAGCCGTCGATCTCGTAACCGTTTTCAGTCAGCCTTGGGCCCTTTCCCTCAAGCCATACCGCAGATTGTGGCTGGAATGAGGAAAGGTCTGGATGACAGAACGCAAGCAACTGGCCTGATAAACCATCCTTCGCGCCCTCATAAACTGTCTAACATCGCTACTACCCATCGTTTCGGGGCAAGAGCTCTCTTACTTTCTTTAATCATTTCGACTTTTCTCGGTGAACCGTTTGCCTTATTGTTTACCTCACTCAACAGTAACTTCCCCCTTGCTCTTGTGGCTTGCTCTCTCTCCCCCCTTTCACACCCCCCCTCCCCCTCCCTCACTTGCCGTGGATCCCAGGAAATTCTTTGAACTCGACTGCCGTCGAGAAATGTGGCGTACAACTCTTCAAGGAAGCAGTCCGAGCGCCCCGCTGTACCGCGAATGATCGACATCAGACTGGGCCGTCTATCCCTTCCCGTGTGCCTGGGTCGTCACGGTCATCTTAAGGGGTTTCGCAAGTGAGTTCGCTTAGGTAGCCAAGCTTCAAGTTGGCTGCCTTAGCCCGCATGCTATTCGATTTTGCCCTTCTCTATATGATAAACGTAGGAAGCTCGGAAGCTCGGATCAATAGAGCGTCATCTAGACTAAATTCCTTCCACGCCATCTTATCTCCATCGTGGATGCTGTGGACTACCTAGAGCTCGCGGAAGCAGGTCCGTGTATCCCGGCGGGCTAATTACCCTGCTGACTTATGAAAATCTTGCGTTGATCTCGGGATCATTACCTAGCGAACAAAGGGGGACTTGATCCAGCAGTCCATAACTTGATGTGAGGATCAGAAACGTCTCAGAACTACTGGAGACAGCTCTCTTCCATCGTTGATTATTTAGTCTTTTTTTCATTCATGTTTCTATCATGTGCTCATAATACACGGTCCTTCCATGCCATCCCTGTCACGCCAGATCGATGGCCGAGCTTCCCTGCCCCAGCCTGGAATGCAAGCTAAAAATGACTTGCAGCCTCTGACGCACCCAGGCACCACCCTCATCCTAGCAAAAGATTGGCAATCTCTGCAAGCATGTCATAGTCCCCATTGTCTTTCAAGACAAGACATGCACACGTTTTGACCGTTTCACCAACAACCAACAACTACGACTTGAACAACCCACTCAGCTGGAACCAGCAAGCTCCTCCTCAAGCTTGTTCAACTCATCCATCAAAGCGTGCACAGTCTTCTTCTGGTCCTCGCTAGCCTCAACATAGGGGCTCCGCGGCGCAAACAGCTTCTCCTGGCCCTTCAACCCGGCCCGCGGCGCCGTGTACACGGACGCGGCGTACTTGATCGTTGCGATGCCCGCCTTGGTCGCCTGTTCCGCAATCGCGGCCTTTTGGTGCAGAGCGATGGCCTCCTGGAGCTTACCTTCGTTGTGCAGCTTATAAATCTGCACCGTGACGCGGGGGAAGACGTTGGCGAAAGCCGCGATGCAGCCCGCGCTGCCCGAGGTGAGACCGCCGAGGAGGAAGTCGGACTGGCCTCCGTAGGTAGCGAATTTCTCGGCCGGCAGCTCGGCGGAGAGGCGGACGATTTTGGCGACGGCGCCGCAGGTGAGTTTGACGCCGACGATGGAGTCGTGCTTCTTGGCCAGCTTGGCAATGGTGCCGCTGTCGAGGTCGATGCCGTTGCAGACGATGGGGAAGTTGTAAATCACAATGGGGAGGGGCGTCTTCTCCGCGACGGTGTCGAAGAAACGATCAATGACCTGCGGGGTGGTTTGCTTTCCGAAATAGGCCGGGGGCAGGACGAGGGCCGAGTCGGCGCCGGCTTCTTTTGCGTCGGAGAGGAGCTCGAGGACCTGCTTTGTGGAGTGCATGCCGCAGCCGGCCATGATGGGGAAGTCTGGGCCGGTGGCCTTGCGGGCGGTGGCGATGAGGGCCTTGCGCTCTTCGCGGGTGAGGAGGAACTGCTCGGCGTTTGTGCCGAGGATGACGAGGCCTGCGAGGCCGGTCTTGGAGAGGTAGGAATAGTATTTTGCCTGGGCTTCGAGGTCGAGCTCGTCTGTCTCTGGGTTGAAGAGCGTTACGGCCGGGGCCCAGATGCCTTGCGGGGGAACCTTGCTGGGAGACATTTTGATGGCCTTTGATTTAGTCTTTGTTGTAGAATGCTAGAGGTCTAGAAGATGATGAAGAGTAATAACAAGTATGAAAGTTGATGAGTTGAATAGAGTATATGAGTGAGACGAACACTTAGAAGATGAGCTGCAGTATCGAAGGCTTTAATGTTCCAACAACGTCAAACGCGCCGGGTATCGTGACCGAGGCTAGCAGGACTATTTATCGGGACGGTATCCGTTGAACTCGACCCCAAATGGGCAGATAACTACGGGTTCCTATCGGATATCCGCTCCCCGGATCTTGACCCGATTCCCCCGCATTCGAGGCCGAGACCGGCCGAGCATGGACAGGGGTATTTCCGGCCGACGCCCCGATGTCCTTTTCCACAGAAAATGCCGTCTTATGAATGGGGCCCCATCGATCCATCGCCATTCTCGCTTGTCGCGGGTACGATTCTTTGCCAAGAGAATATGCAGTCATTGTTCAACGGAATCTCTGCAGCTTTCCCATGCAGAGACAAAGAAAGACGTACATGCAGGACATAACCGGCCAACTACCCGCAACTACCCGGATCAGCGGATTTCTAGGTACATACATACTAAAAAAACACCGAGTAAAACACCAGGCACGTCAAAAAGGTCACCACTACTTGATCAACAACACCAAAAGATAGACGGGCCCTGGCCAGGATTCGAACCTGGGGCCTCTTCCATGATAGTGTCTTGATTGCTCAATGAGTCAATAGCCCTAAGGAAGAATCATACCGCTAGACCACCAGGGCAGATGGAGATTGAAATCTCACGATGTCTCGATTGTGCTGCGGGGACCTCGCTGGAGCCGCCTTGAACTGATCGGATTAGCGAGAGGGCAGAGATGTGGGGGTGTGGGAGCGGGTCTTAAAACCTACCAGGCACACTAGCAGCGATTCTCGACGATAGAGTCAGAAGTGATTGAAGATTATGATGAGCCCTGCAGGCGTTGATTGGAGAAGGCCGGTAACTAGGGAATGTTGTCTGCGGGACGGCTTCGACTGGCCAGTAGAGGAATCAAGAGTTGCTATTGTGGCTTGAGGCAAGCTTCTCATCCAGCAGCTCAAAAGCGCTAGGGGGACGTTCATCGGCAAGACGGACTAGATTGGGAGGACTCGGTCAGTTGCACACGAAATGGATTGAGAAGAGTAAGTTGAATATATCAATTCATAATGCCTCGAAGCGAAGAGGATTTAGTGACACGTTGTCACCGGAAGGCTACACTGAAGTGTAATCACACGAGTTGGATGGCGTTTAAGATTTGGTGATGAAGAATCAATTAGTAGTCTACAAATCAACGCGATACAAAATCAAATCCTCACAACTCCAAAAAATGCATTCCCACTTAACCTTTTGCCCATGCTGCCATCAAGCCTCGATAACTCCCCACGCACCACCACCAGGCGATTGAATAATGACAGTCTCCCCAGCCCTCAACTTTGTCGTCGCCTTGGCCCCCAGATTAACAGTACGATCCTTTCCAGTCATATCATCCTTGACAATAACCAAATTCAACCCGGCCTCGCCATCACCGCCACCCTCCATACCATACGGCCGCCGACTCCGGCGCTCGCTCAGAATAGAGCACTGCACCGGTACCCGGAACTCAATCTCCCGAATCGTCCCGTCGCCGCCCTTATTCTTACCCTTTCCACCTGACCCACTGCGCAGCTGGAAGCGCCGTAGGATACACGGGTACCGCTTCTCAAAGACCTCGGGATCCGTGATGCGCGTGTTGGTCATGTGCGTGTGCACGCCGCTCTGGCCAAGCCACGTCGGGCCCGCGCCGGCGCCGCCCGCAATGGTCTCGTAATACCCGAAGCCGTCCTTGTGCTCGCCCGTCACGGGGTCTTTGCCGCCCGTGCCAAATGTGAGATTGTTGCAGCAGCCTTGGCTGGCAGCGGAGGCGCGGAAGGCTTTCAGGACGACGTCGGTGATGCGTTGGGATGTGAGGACGTTGCCGCCGACGACGGCGAGGCCGGCGCCTGGGTTGAGGATGCTGTCCTTGGGGATGACGATGTCGATGGGGGCGAGACAGCCTTGGTTGAGGGGGATCTGGGAGGAGATGAGGCCGCGGAGGCAGTAGATGATGGCTGAGTGGGTGATGGCGATGGGCGCGTTGGTGTTGCCGAGGACGTGCGGGCCGGTGCCGGTGAAGTCGAATGTCGCGGAGCCGTCCTCGGGCGAGATGGTGATTTTCAGGCAGATGGGCGTGCCGTCGTCCATGTAGTCCACCGCGACGAGGGGCTTGGAGCCGAAATTGGCGAGGGTGGACTGCATCAGCTCACGCACGGCGTGTTCGGCCGTGTGCTGAATGGCGTACATGTACCGGTGAACTGTGGCGAGGCCGTTTTCCGTGATGAGGGCCTTGATGAGCGAGATGCCCTTTGCGTTGGCAGCGATTTGCGCATTGAGATCGGAGAGATTGTCCTGCAGTCTGCGGGTGCCGGAGCAGCCGTCGTACTGCGCGGGTTCCTCGAGGAGCAGGCGCCGGACCTCGGACTCATTGAAGCGACCTTCGCTAACGAGCTTCGTCGATTCGATGGCCGCGCCTTCTTGCCAGAGTGCGTAGGAGGTCGGCGGCATGGAGCCGGGAAGGATACCGCCAATGTCGGCGTGGTGACCTCGCGAGGCGACATAAAAGGCCAGCTCTGGGCCATCAAATACGGGGGTGATGACGGTGATATCGGGCAGATGGGTACCGCCGCAGGAAGGGTGGTTGGAGACGAGGACATCGCCGTCCTTGAGCTTGCCTTCCCACAGCTCGTGCTGGTAGCGAACGGCAAACTGCATGGATCCGAGATGGACAGGAACGTGGGGGGCGTTTGCGACAAGGCCACCGTCGGGGCTGAAGATGGCGCAGGAGAAGTCGAGGCGTTCCTTGATGTTGGTGGAGACGGCTGTCTTTTGCAGGGTGCGGCCCATTTGCTCGGCGATAGACATGAAGCGGTGGCCGAATACGGTAAGCTGGACGGGACTGAACTCTTCCTGCTCGCCGCTCGTCTTGGCGACTTTTCCTACTGGGGCGCGGTCGATGACGACGTAGCTTTCGAGGACTGTCGCCGTGGTGGACGGCGTGACAAGGATGGTCTGAGTGTTGTCAATGATCAAGGCCGGGCCGGAGATGCGGGCACCGACGGGGATCGTCTGAAGCTGGTAGACCGCGGTATCGAGGTGGCCGTGACTCTCGAAATAGACGCTGTTGGTGCCACTGGGCTGAGGGGTCGAAACCGTGGACGCCTCGACAGACTTCATCTGGGCGAACGGGCTCTTCTCAACCTTGGCACGAGCTGCACCAGTAGCACGAACACGAATATCGTCGACGATGATGGACTTCTCGGGGAAATGGAAGCCGAAGCCCCGGCGATGAGCGTCTTCGAACTCCGTCTTGAAGTCCCAGTCCGCACCCTTCAGAATCATCAGCGAGCTGCTAGAACCAGCATATCTCATGTTCAGGTAAGTGTCGTGGGTGATGAGATCCTCGGTGAAGCCCTGCTTCATCAGCTCCAGAGTAGCCTGGGAAGACAAGTCCTCGAGCTGCGCCTGAATGCTGCCCTTTGTTTCGTCCGAGTAGGTGATAGCGGAAGGCTTCTGAATCTCGTGGACCACGTCTGCAAGCGACATTCCGTACGCTGAGAGGATGGAAGAGTACTTGTGAATGATGACGCGGGAGATTCCTAGGACCGTGGCAACGGAGCACGCGTGTTGACCGCCGGCACCGCCGAAGCAAGCCAGGTGGTGTGCGCCAGCCTCGTAACCACGAGCTTCCGTCAACGCGCGGATCGGGCTCGCCATGCCCTCATCGGCGACTTTGAGGAAGCCGAGAGCGACTTCCTCGGGGGAGAGCAGAGACAGACGCGAGGCTTCTCTATCCTTGTTGATATCGCTCGTCAGCTCGAGAAACTTGGCGGCGGTAACTTCTCGGTTCAACGGCTCGTTCTCCTTGGGGCCAAAGACCTTGGGGAAATACTCCGGCAACAGCCTACCCAGGAACAAGTTCGCATCCGTCACGGTCAACGGGCCGCCCTTGCGGTAGCATGCTGGGCCGGGATGAGCGGAGGCGGACTCGGGCCCGACGTTGAACAGACCGTTCTTCCAGGTCAGGATGGAGCCACCTCCGGCAGCGACGGTGTGAATATCGAGCTGGGGGGATTGGATGGCAATGCCGGCGGTGGTGGTCTCGAAAACATGGTCGTAGACGCCGGCATAGCGGGAGACGTCTGTCGAGGTGCCGCCCATGTCGAAGCCGATGACAGGCTGGCGCTCCTCGTCATCCCACGAAGTCTGGGCGTAACCAACAACACCTCCTGCAGGGCCCGAAAGAATCGCCTTGAGACCGCTGAACTTGCGGTAGTCGACGAGGCCACCATCCGACTGCATGAACTCGATACGAGTCGCGGCCGCGCCGAATCCGCCCTTGAAGTTGGCCGAGATGGAGTCGATGTACTGACGAATAACGGGCGTGAGGTAGGCATCAGCCACGGCAGACATGCCGCGGGGCACGACGTTGATCATGGGTTGAACTTCTGAAGACAGGGTGACGGAGAAGCCCATCTCCGAGGCGACCCTGCCAACCAGGAGCTCGTGGTCCGGGTAGGCGTAAGAGTGAACAAAGACAACGGCGATGGATCGATAACCCTGTTCTCTGACCTTTTCGAGCTGTGTCTTGATTTCTTCCAGATCCGGCCTCTTGAGGACGCGAATCGTCTCGCCAGTGATAGCCGTAACGAGCTCAGGGTCATGGGATGTGGGGCTTGTCTTGACAGAGGCGGGATCCTCGGTGTAATCCTCCATAGTGATACGCTCATCCACCTCGACAACCTCGTCAAAGAGGACTTCTGGCCGTGCGACCGAGAGGTCAAAAATGTTTGGCCGTGACTGGTTTCCAATCGCCAACAAGTCGCGGAAGCCCTTGGTAGTGATGAGAGCCACGCGCTCGCCTTTCCGCTCGAGGAGGGCATTTGTGGCTACCGTCGTGCCCATACGAATGGACTCAACGTGAAAGAGGTCGAGCAGTTGTCCTCTAGGTAGTGTCTCACCAGTCACCATCTCCAGAATCCGGCGGATGCCTTCTGTCGGAGCATCTTGGTAGTTGGCGGGGTCGACGGAAAGGAGCTTGAGGATGATGTCTCCCCTGCCTGGTATCGCGGCGTGAACATCGGTGAAGGTGCCACCTCTATCAATGGAGATGCGGATGCGATATGACTTGACCGTCATGATGAAGTGTGAACGTGGTGCTTGCTGCTTGTGAGAGGGCTCGTCAAGAAGACAAACCCGGTGAAAAGAAGTTGGGCTGGGGTATAGAAGTGGTTGGAGCAAAGCAGCACTAAGTTATGTTGAACGTAAAACAATATGTCGCTGAAGGAAACCTGATGAAGGTATGCGCAAATGTTTATATTGAGAATAACTTCTTCCTGCCTTTATCGTGATCATGTAACGATTGGCCGCTGCTTAGATCGGGAAATGGGGCTCGGAAGAAGGCCGCGATCGGGTGGCCGCTTACCTGGAACTCACACATTTGCTAACACGCTTTCCGATGAGGCCATTCGATCAAAACTCAGACAGTAAGGTTCACCTGGCCGGCGGCTGATGGCGTGCCGTATCGCTGACTTCTCAGATGCTACAGCCACATCGGCCTTTGGTCGGACGTCGCCATCGCAGTTTCCCACCGCTGATGAGTGAAAGCATACATCTGACTGGTTGAACAGCCGGGGTGGGTCCCCGATCAGGATATCAGCGAATCGAAGTGCGGTATTTGCGCGATACTTGATAAAGCATGATGATGAGAATCGGAGTGAAATTGCGAGTTGGTGTCGAAGGCGGGAAAACGGATTTGTGGGGCTCTTAACCGGCAGACGCCCGCGTGTAGCCGTCGGAGTGGGTCCCCGACGATAACAGCATATCTCCCCAACCTTATTGGCTAGAAGGAGAAGCACTCGGATTATCTAGAAGCCGACGTCATCCGATCTCTGAGACAGTACGTACTGAGGACTGAAAGAGGAATGGCTCCATCATCGGCAAAAAGACCTAACGGCTTTCTCACCCCTCCAGCAATAATCACGGCTGTGGGGTATTCTCCATAAACACCGATCCTCCAGCCCGATACCAAGACCACGATGTGTGTTGGTCCTTCAGACGTAGGTGATTCTGCGCCGACTAAATCCCCTCCGTGAGCAGGGTGCATGGCCACGAAACTTCAACAGCTTGCCTTCCCCGCGTTGAGTCTTGACAAACACCCCGGTCTAAACAGTTTCCATTTGTCACAAACTCCATTTCGAGAACTTGGGGAAGTGGACGATATCGACGGATAATTGCATCTCGCGTGCCATAGGTATGGGGCTCGACCATCCCCACCTCTTCCAAGTGATTCCGTGAGAGATATGTCATATCGGTATTACCAAAACACATGTCAGAACATGGCTCCTATTTCGCCGTCTCCGTCTCAAGCAGGGCCCTCATCATCCCCAAGTGATGTCGGAAACTCAAGGCCTGTGGCGTAAGTTGCATTGCTTTCTTGATCTTCACCCTATGGATTCTCTAGAAGTGATGCTGAGATTTGAGATAGATGTGCCAATTGCCGACAAAGACGATCGTATTGCTCGAAAGAGAAGCCTGCCTGTTCGCGGTGTCGTGATAGTGGCCTGAGCTGTGCGTATGAGACGAGTATTAAGATCACCGTCACAGAGGCGTAAGTCTTACGGCTGACCTCCAACTCATGAATTATGCAACTAATATCTTGCTTAGCTACCTACGAGAACTCGAAGCCAAAGCCAAAGCGTATGATGGTGAGTGACTAGCAGCAATCATGTTAGTCGTGTACTAATTGTACCCAGCTTCGCTTCTTCGGCAGTCTCAGCTGCCAGCTCCGATCCCTGGAAAACCTCCTGCCCACCGCATCTCAGCCGAGGATCACGAGGAAGAGTTCGAAGACGAACACCCATTACTTGAGCCGTTCAACCAGATGAGCGTCCATAAGCCCTCGACGAGTTTCAAAGGCCCTGGTAATTCGGACAATTTCTTACGGAGTGTGAGAAATCTCTCAGGATTTTACGGTGATGACGGCAGCTTGGACGCCAACACCAACTTTTACGAACCCAGTGCTCTTCCTTCCAGGCGTGAGAAAGCGAGGACGCAAGTTCGCCTACCGCCGATAGACATTGCCCGACGCCTATTCGCTGCACAGTACACCTACATTGGGACGATATTCGCCTTTACAGATCCCAAGGCTAGCTTCGATCAACTGCTCATCGAGGCCTACCGAGGCCCTCCTGATCCCTCCGATAGAGAAGCATGTCTGTCATACGCAAAGGTCCTCATCATACTGGCATTCGGTCAACTCTACTCTGTCAACCAATGGGTCGATTTCAGGGGTCCGCCGGGATTTGACTATTTCACCCATGCTCTGAATCTACTGCCCGATACGCATGAAGAAGGGTCGTTACTATGTGTGGAAACATTGGCTCTCATTGGCTATTTCATGCAGAACATGAACCGTCGTGATGCTGCGTTCCTATACACCGGTATGGCTCTTCGTATGGCCATCTCACTGGGACTCCATCATGAGATTGGTTTCAGTCCAGCATCCAGCGCATTGCAAGGCCAGGACCACAACCCGGCCGCCTTGGATAATGCAACACGCGAACATCGTCGCCGAGTGTGGTGGTCTGTGTACAGCCTAGATCGCATCTTGTCGGTTAAATCGGGAAATCCCATTACTATCCAGGACGAGGATATCGGTGTCGATCTGCCTTCGAGACTCCTCACAGAAGCAAAGTACTGCCCAGCAGTGGTGCTTCGGCATTATACCGAACTCTCGCGGATCCTTGGTGAAATCCACGACACCATCTATCGCAAGACCAGCAAGACGGCGCCCAAATCTGGAAAACGATTAATGGCGTCAGTCCAGGGCATCGTTCTCAGCCTGTCCAAATGGAACAGCAACTTGCCAGATGAACTCCGATTCGATCCTGCCCGGCTGAGTATTAGTCGCGAGAGCGTCAGCACTTTTGCACATTACTATCAGTGTATCAACATGACCGCGCGGCCTTTACTCTTCCACGTTGTGCAGAAGCGACTGCAAAAGATTCGCGCCAGTAGCGATACCGAAGAGAAAGAGCGAGGCTGGAAGGAGGGATTCTCGCAGACGACTGTCAGGGTGATTGACATGTGCATCGGTGCGGCTCAGGACACCATTAACATCATGACTGTGGCAGCGCAGAGAGATCTGGTTGGCAAGTAGTGTTACACAACCTTCCCCCCCATGCAAGCTTGCATTCATTCATTGGCTGACCGTAAACGACACAGCAACGTACGGGTATATGGACGGAGAACACGTCTTCTCAGCTTCCATCGTCCTCGTCATGGTCTGCGTCGCCTTTCCGACAGACCCGTCCAGCATCATGGCAATGAACGCCGGTCTCGATCTCCTCCGAGGCATGGGCGAGCGCGGCAACAGCTACATGGGCGCCCGCTACGAGCTCCTCGCGAATCTTCGCTCGGCCGTCATGTCCGGGACGAATGCCCACGCCGAGCCCCTGCCTCCGTTCCCGACAAGCTTCTCGCCGACGGAATTGCTAGTGCCGGCGGGAGAAGGAGGGCTCGTTCCAAGTGCGCACCCGACCAGTAGCAGTAGTGTACTGCCTATAGCTATGGGCGATGCTCAAGGAGGAGGCCTGATGGCGATGCAAGGCGTGGCGGGTCAGCAGCGGGTGACATTCCCCGTTGTCGACAACAGCTCTTTAGGTGAACCCTTTTTCGACGAGAGCGTGAGCACGGTGATGGACTTTGGTCTTTGGGAAGAAGGCTTTGCCGACCCGGCGATGGACGCGAGCTTTGACTTTTCGCAATGGACTCATGCGGCTGGCATGACTCAGGCTGATGATAGGATGGATGTGTGAAGAACACATGGTATCTACGTGTATATCTAACTATTATGATTTGATGATAGTGCCGCAGAGGCTTTCTCTTCCCTTAGCTATGAATCTATGATAATCTGCCATTGTCCTTAGTCCTTGTTTGTGGATACTGGCTTATCTTGCTTTAGCCACGGAATCTGCCCATTTGGCGGCTTTTCTTAAGGGGATCTGCAGGGCTGCCAGGGGGGGCTGATATGTAGGGATCAAACTTAAATGGGTTAAATCCCGAAAGCTTCGGGCAACGAGCCCGGAGGCATCATCCTGACATCACAACCGGTGGCTGGGCAAGCTAACTTTAGCAAGTGTAGACTGGACGCCAATGGCCTGGTTAGAGTCAGGAAACTTATCAATTGACAATGGCACTCAAAGCTTTATCGACAAGCGTTACCGAACCGTTTCCCAAGTCCCAAACTCTGTCCATGTGTCCCATTCCCAGGTTCCCTACATGAATCATCCTGGAGACTAATTCGATAGGGGCGCCACTCCGACGCCGGTGGGCCGGGTGGATACGAGCAGCTATCAGCGCTATCAACATTGACGGTGGGGAAGATGTGGGAGAACGTTTCCCAAATTCCCCCGCAAGTATCAGGGGTCGGCGAGGACCTCCGATCTTCGTGGTTGGCCGTGGACAAGTTCGCTGGTGTCTAGGCATGCGTTAGGTTATCCGTAGTCAGGGTAGCTAGCCAAGCTCTCGCAGGAGTCGTTCTCCGCGCGTCTCTCTCTCTCTCTAGCCCCCCCTCCCGCGATGCTACCCTTGATACCGCGTGAACCCATATGCCCGTGCCTGCAAATGGGTGTCTCGGCAAGAGATAGCGCGCCCAGGTAATTGGTGTTGGTTTCCGCCTGTCCATATCGTTCCATTATCGTCAATGGTCACATCACACGTAGGTTGGGCACAATGATAAAGGCGGTCTGCCCCATCGACTTCTTCTAGATTAAAGAGATCAACTCTTTACCACCTTTGTCAATCCCGAGACTATGGTAGCGAATCTCCATCGCCATTGAACCCCGACTATTGCAGAATACAGACCACTAGTCTGCTGGGGACTTCATCTAGGCCACAAGTTCACCACGAATTCCATCCAGTCATGGCGACCATCTCTACCCCCGACGACGTCTCCGGCGCCGGCGCGGAAAAGGGACTCGGCAGCGACATTGATCGCTCAGAATCCAACAATGGTACAATGGCAATCGAGTCCCTTGATCCCGCAGCGGAGAAGAAGCTTCTCTTAAAGGTTAGCAACTTACTTTGTCTCAAACTCCATAGAATATATTCCACCACAGCAAGCTAACACAATGATGCCCCGAACCAGCTCGACGCTTACTTCGTCCCAATCATCATGGTTGTCTACCTAACCTGCTTCCTCGACCGCACAAACATCGGCAACGTCCGCGTCGCCGGCATGCCCGAAGACATCGGCGCCACAACCCAAGAATTCTCAACCGCAATCTCCATCTTTTACGCAACCTACGTCGTCTTCGAGCCCCCGTGGACCATCATGATGAAGCGCATCACCCCGCGCGTCCTCCTCACGGGCCTGTGCATCATCTGGTCCCTCTCCACCGTCTTCTCGGGCTTCATCCACAGCATCGGCGGGCTCTACACCGTGCGCCTCGTTCTCGGCATGTGCGAGGCCGGCTTGTTCCCTGCGCTGAATCTGTATCTCACCATGGTGTACAAGCGCGACGAGCAGGCCAAGAGGGTGTCGTATCTGTTTGTGTGCTCTGCTATCGCGGGCGCGTTTGGCGGGTTGTTGGCGTATGCGCTATTGAAGATGGATGGCGTGGCTGGGTATGCTGGCTGGCGCTGGGTCTTCATCATCGAGGGTGTTGTGAGCATCCTGATTGCCCCGATTCTGTGGTTCGGTCTGCCCAATGATCCTTCGGATGCCTACTTCCTCAACGACGAGGAGAAGCGCATGATGCAGGTTCGGGCTGCACAGCGTGCGCAGTACATGGGAAGTGATGAGTTCAGTTGGGAGGAGATTAAGATTGAGCTTCGTGACCCCAAGCTCTACCTCAGGTACGTTCAAAGACACCATCAACTCTGGTTCCCAATCAATGCTAACATCAGCCAACAGCGGTGCCATCCAATTCTGCCAAGATATCCTCCTCTACGGCTTCAGTACCTTCCTCCCCTCCATCATCGTCTCCATGGGCCGCACAAGCATCGAAGCCCAATACCTCAGCATCCCCGTCTTCCTCTTCGGCGCCATCGCCTTCTTGACGACAGCCTATTTCTCAGACCGCATCCTCGTCCGCGGCCCGCTCATCTTCCTGGCCAACATCCCGGGCATCATCGGCTACATTCTCATCATCTGCCCGACGAGCAGCGGCGTGAAGTTCTTTGGTACCTTCCTCTGCGCCATTGCCGTCTACAACGGTCCCGGGTTGAACCTGACGTGGCTCAACGTCAATGTTGCGCCGCAGTACCGCCGCGCTACGGCGATTGGTATGCAGCAGGCTATTGGTAACTGTGCTGGTATTGTGGCGGGCCAGATTTATCGCAAAGCACCTTATTTGCTCGGCAATGCGTTCTCTGTGGGTGCGTTGGGTGTTTCGCAGCTTTTAGTTGTCGGAAAGTGGTTCTACATCCGTCACTGCAATGAGATCAAGAGGAAGATTGAAAGTGGGGAGATGGAGGACAAGAGAAAGGTCAAGACTGGTGATTGGGACTTGGATTTCAAGTATCACCTGTAGAAGATGTTATCAAGGTTATCTAAAGTTTGTGGTCAACTTATCGTATAGAACGAAGTGTCTAAGTACATTTGCATGAACCGATCTGGTATAAACTTTTCTAGATAGCAGCAAGAACGAAGAGATCTACGAATCCTATAATACTCCTATCTTCTTCAACCTTGACGGTACGAGACGGGATAGTTACGTCAGTCTACTAGGTCCACGAAAGGCTAGATTACAGTTTCTGGGTTACTGCTATGGACGGTTAGAAAGGGGTCCTTCATCAGGGTTCCGAAGAATACGGGGTTGCTCGAACACCCTTTTAAGGGCGGGCACTATTTACTTTTGCTACCAAGTGCAATTGCTAATTGACATCTTTTGATTCACTTTGCTCCTAGTCAACGTCATGGCTCAGTGCAAATGAGATACAATGACAGGCCTGCTCATGTTCAAACTGAGAGTAACGGTCAAATGGGAAGCGCGTCTTAGACACCTCGTCTGTGCCAGGTTTCGTGAAATCTAGGTGATCATCTAACATTATCCATCTCCAGTATACAGTCTTTCGGAAGCCACTTTCTAGCATAATTGCTGGTCGACGGGCTCGTAATTAACACCTTGACAATCACGCCGTAGTTTTGTTGATTCAGCGCAGTGACAAAATTGCCTAAAAACAACACAACATCCGCCAACCCCTGGGCGTGGCGGCTCACTTCAAGCCATGAGACGCCATCCAAGATGATAAAGACAATCTTATCCGTGGCAGCCAAGACCAGGTGACGGAAAAGCATGCAGAGCACACCAAGTTGCTGAGCTCTGACGCCGTCTATGAAGCTCAAGTTGATGGCTGAGAGATCGACATCCCGCGGTGTAAGAGACTCGGCGACGAGAGAACTCCAGCCCCTTATGACGCCGCTGGAGCCAGAGAAAGGATCGTTTAGTCTATTGTGCTGGCCGCAGAGAAAGACTAGTGGAAGACTGCGCTCGGGTTGTCTCGCCACCAACTGTGCGAGAGCACATGAGAGTATTGTTAGTGGAGACGCTGCCTCCTGTTCAGAGCTTAACTTCATTCTTCCTTCGATAAACAGTATCCGGGAGTCGTTGGACTGAAGCCAAGAGGTAAACTTCTTATCATGAAGCGCCAGCATGGCATGATTTATCATGTCTGGCGGGCAGACCTTCTGTGCATCTATCATTGACGTAACCATATCTCTCTGGTTAATTCTTGGATCGAATCCAATGCTAGCACGGAGTTCATCGAGAGTTATAAACGCTTTCGTTATAAGCTTTTCAGCTTTTGGATTGTCTTGTCATGAGAGCGTCAAATTGCAATTCTGATAGTCTAAGGACTTTGGTTGTGGCAAAGGAAAAAACTGACCTCGAGTCCAGTCGGCTTGTTTCAATTGGCTGTTCAGTTGCTCTTTGAGGGCTTTGAGTGATTTGTTTATGTGTTTGTGTTGGCTCATCAAAACAACATTCCGGAACTTGGCCACATTGCCTTCGATGTTTTGTTTGATGGTGTCTTCTTCCACATTCTTTCCAAAAGTTGTAGGTCTCGTAAGTACCTTGAAAGCCCTCTCTTTGAAAGTCAGACCACGAAGAAGCCGGGGGAGTGTTTAACGGATGGAACGGAACTTTGTGAGTGGTTCTTACCTAGGGCTGATTTAATCAATCCATTGTAGCATACTCTCTACACCGTCGAGAATTCCTGTCTCAATGACAAAGACGGAGACGAAGATATCGAAATTTCAAAAGCGTCGACTGAAGTCGATGCCAGTGAAAAAAGCGAAACGAAGGAGGATGCAATGCCGTCAATGACAAGAGAGGTGAGAGACGGCGTCATCTTCACTCCTGCGTACGCCTGGAATTCTTTGACCCGAGAGGAACGCCAAGAAGCATCTGAGGACCTAGGCACTCTCGTTTCTTTCATGGACGAGTACATTCTTCCCCTAGGAAAGGCAATTGAGGCCGAGGGAGCAAGCGATGTCCGGGTTCACTACCAAGAGTTATGGCATGTCTTCAAGCCGGGAAGTATCGTCTACGTCAAAGACCCGGCGGTCCCCCAGAAGCTTTGGCGTGTAGTCCAAGGTAAAGGAGGACAGAGATCCGAAAATTGGCGCTCTTCGTCTCAAAAAGCCCATCTCCAACTAGGAGGTGCTTTGAACGACTTGAAGCCTCTGCCTTTCGTGATCGAATGCTATCACCTGGACTATGACGGCACCCGGTTCATTCGTGTCTTCAAAGACTTCAAATTTGAGATATTCAGGGATCTGACAAGCATTCGTTCCCTCCCGATTCTTCCACTGGACGTCGCAGAGCGAGATGGCTTCATTAATGTGGCAGACTGCAAGACCAGAGGACAAGACTTCATATCCTACACAAAATGGTCTTACAGTTATTACCGAGGTCAAAGTCTCATATACGAACCCGAGGGAACTATTCTTCGCCGTCCCGAGAGAGGAGCACTCACTTCCGCTGTCATGATTTCGGAGGCCGTGGAAAGCCCAGTAGTTGTGGATTTCCATCGTTGCCTACAAGAAATTCCAAGTTGGAAGCCCGGAAGATCGTCCAGAGGTAGTTGGGGCTTGGCTGAAAATGTCGAAGGACAGAAAACATCGCTCGATGACAATCTTCCCCCACCCGCGCCCTCATGAAAAGACGATGACAGAGTGTGGGATGCTCGGATAGCGGAGGACGTTCTCAACTATACCGATCAATCTCAACCTGTAGAGGTGTACGGCCGGGAACCTCCTGAAGGAAATGAAACTCTTCTGCTTCCCAACAGAGTTTTTGCTTTTGTTCTACGTACACGTCGGTGGGGTAGGTCAATGATCAGTCTTTCAGGGAGGAGTCAATATAAATTGCTGACACACAAAATCCAGCTTGTATACGCCTCGGATCTGGCTCACTTGAAACTCAAGGACATAGTCTCACGAGAATGGGAGAAGATAAGGAGGCATGGGACTATCTTCAAATAGATGACGGCCACAGAACCATCATCAAGTCTCTGATGGCAACTCACTTCCGCAAGAACAAGTCTGAGCGGCGCCAATTTGATATCATCCAGGACAAAGGTATGGGACTGATGAGCGTCCATCCAAGAGATCTTGAGGGCTGATGAAATACAGGAAAGGGGCTTATTGTGCTGTTGCATGGGGTTCCTGGAGTAGGCAAAACTTCAACTGCGGGTAAATATCCCTTCCCAATTTCATGCTGGTAATCACAATGTAAACTAACAGTCTTAATCGCAGAAACCGTTGCAGCCTACTACAATAAGCCATTATTGCCAATCACTTGCGGTGCGTACCATACCTTTGGATCAATCAGAACGGGACTCTGATTTGTAGAACAGGTGACCTGGGGATGACTCCAACCGAAGTAGAATCCAATCTTCAGGCTGCTTTCCAGATGGCACAAGCCTGGGAGTGTGTCTTGCTTTTCGACGAAGCCGACGTCTTCCTGGCCGAAAGAATCCAAGACAACATTGAGCGAAATGCACTGGTATCTGGTACCTTTGCGATTGGCTACTTGTTCTCATGTTGGATCAAATGGGATAATTTTTCTGACTTCTGAGAGCAGTTTTCCTTCGGGTGATGGAATACTACGAAGGCATCCTCTTTCTCACGACTAACAAAGTAGGCTCCTTTGACGAGGCCTTTAAATCCCGCATGTCAATGGCTTTGTACTATTCACCCCTCACCCATGAGCAAACGAAGAAGATATGGGAAGTGCAAATGGATCGCTCGGAAGAACTCTCAGTGGCAGCTGCACCAGAGAACGAGTCCCAGCACGTGAAATTCAACCGCGATGAGATCAAAGCTCTTTCAACCACTCTCTGGAATTTGCAGACAATGAGGGATGACCACAAGCCAGTTTGGAACGGAAGACAGATCAGAAATGCCTTCCAAACGGCCGTGGCGCTAGCCGAATTCCATCAGCAGGGGAATCATATCCCGGGACCCATCATCGTCAAGGGCGAGCACTTTGGGGTACCGGTCGTCTTTCATAATCCGCAACAGTTTGGCATGATGGGAATGGGTAGTATGCAGAACATGGGAATGGCCGGGCCCGGGTTCAATAATTTGCAAAACCAGGGTAACCCCATCGCCTCACAGTCGTCTCAAGCCGGCTTCGGCATGGGTAACATTGGGGTGAGCAACAACAATACAGGCAACGCTGGTCTAGGAAGCTCTGGGATGAGCGGCTCAAACACAGCCTTGGGTGCACAGCATAGCAATTCCAACAGTGCAGGCATTCCGGGCCAAAATCAGGCGGCACAACTATCCCCTCAACAACAGCAGCGGTTCCAAGAATTCCTTCGGTTTCAGCAACAGCAACAGCAGTAGAATTAGCCGTATTGGGGTCATTATTAGCAGGGACAAAATGGATTTTCTAGCCGTCATAGTCTCTTATGTCACTAGTTTTCTGATTCTTCAACTGTTATGGCTGGGCGTGATACGGTTTTAAATCAGCTAGACGACTTGCTGACCTAAAGCCATTCGAAGATGATGCTGTCATACAAGAAACCTCGCCACTGGGTGTAACGAGTAACCGTGAATCCAACAGTATTCTGACCAGCCTTGAGGACATCGGTGTCAACCTTGTACTGGAAGAACCGCCACTCGCCGCTGACCTTGCCGGACCGGTACAGAGCAGGATCGCTGGTCAACGAGTCCTTGCTCAGGGAACCGTGAACCTGCCCGTTGACGTCAATATCCAAAGCCGCGCTCTGCGAGTACCCAGCCAGCGACACGCTCAGCAGCGCCGTCTTGTTGGCGGCGAGGTCCGTCGAGGCAATATCAAACTCAATCGTCCACTTTCCGATAGCGGACTGCGCAAAGTACCAGTCCTCGTTCTGGGATTTGCCGACGGTGAAGGTCAGGTTTGCGGGGCTCTCCGCCGCCACGCCGTGCTGGTAAGGCACACCGCCATTCTTGAATCCGTTGGCCTTCTTGTCGAACTCGCCCACCTGGAAGATGCGCTTGCTCTTCGGGATTGTCCACGAGAGCTCGCCGAGGTTCAGCGTTTTGTCCTTGGTGATCGTCAGGGGTACAGTGAAGTTTGTGTACACATCGGCCAGCTTTCCGCCGTTGGAGGTAGCGTAGACGGCGTACCCGCCCGTGCGAACATTGTCAAAGGAGAAGCGGCCTTTGTCGTTGGTGTACGTTGTGTAGTAGTAGTTCTTGCCTTGAATCGAGGGGCGGATGGTCGTGTCGGTGTCACCGAGGAAGACTGCGGCGCCTGAGGCGGGACGGCCGTCAGAGAGGACCAGAGTTCCCTGGACTCCGCCGCGAGAGTGGTAGGCTGTGTCCTTGAACCAAGTGTAGGGAACGTGTTTGACCTCTTCCTTGTGCTTTTGCGCGGCATCCGCTACGTCTCCGTTGTTCTTTGCGTGAAAATGTCAGTGATATTGAGACATGGATTTTCGTGTGATTAAGGTCTTCTTACGAGGTACCACAGCCAAGGTCCCCAGACCTTGCCGGCTGGTTGAGGCACCGTCTTGCCAACGCGGAAGTGAGAGGTGTCCTGAACGACATTGAGCTGTACGGCATCTCCAGTCTTTGACTCTCGGTGGATCTTGTCATCAGGTCAGAAATTTGCACAAGAGATTACAGGAGTCTCTAATCACTCACCGTCAAAGTCTGGCTAAGGTGATCGCTGTTGTAATACTCCGTCGTGGGATGGATGTACCAAGACCCGGCCTTGGAACCATAGACGCCATAGAAATCACGATCCCTGACGGCGTTGGACCAGTCGTACTTTGTGATGAAGGATCCATCGGCCAGCTGCCAGGTCTCATCTTGGACATTGGTCGCGGTGGCGTACAGCGAAAAGTCGGGCAAGGGCTCGTCTTTGAGGTGGGTGCGACCGTTGGGGAAGACGTCGGGGGCCAACCTCCACAGAGTCCGGAGAATGCTGATGTCGGGGAGGGCCCGGTTGACAAAGTACTGGTACGCGCCGGTCAAGTCGTCAAAGATTACCCAGTGGAAGTCGCCAGCAGCGGCGGAGAAGCTGACATCGATGTAGTTTGTACCACGGGATGTGATTGTGGCGTTTGTGAACTGGAGATTGTTCTCCCCATCTTTTTTGCAATATGTCAGTCAGCACAGCTTCATCAAGTAAAGTTGCGATGAGACGGTTGGGTTACCGTAGCCGACGTAGTGGCCGGCCGCCGAACCCACAAGATCGGCGCCCGGGACACCCTCCCAGAAAAGCTTGGTTGCGTATAGCGAACCCTGGGTCAGGTTCCAATGATCATTTCCAATGACCCAGGTCGAGTCATTAATCTGCTCGAGAAAGGGACCCTTCCCAGCACTGACCAATTTGCTGGCCAGAACCAACGCGGAGAGTCGGGAGAAGTGCATGGTCTTGACGATGAGCGCAGCCTCAGAATTTGTCTTCGGGGAGGCTCTTCGAGCTGGCGAGAAGATGGGATGAGCGACTTGACTAAAGGGCGTCGGTATGAGGTTCCGAACGACTACATGGCTTTGGATCTTATACTCTGCAAGTCAAACTCTGATATCAGACAGTTAATTGAAGCTTTCTCTCTTCGGCAGGAGCCGACAGCGTCATGCAACTTCCCTCTCGCCTAATTTTTCTTGGCATCTGCTGTTAGTGAATGAGTGAGCCTACCACCAAATTACTAACAGCCGAAAACTCTTCACCTCCCCTTGCCGGAGCCCGCATCCGCGATGGCCTCACAGCCGCCGTCGGGCACCGGACTGATGTCGGCCGACCAAGCCGACCCCGAATCAGGCTCCGGGACACCTCCGGAGCCGAACCCCACCTCAAGAGCTAAGCGACGCCGCGACGCCGAGGCACAGCCGACCCGGCCCAGCCTAACGGGAAGCCAGCTTGATGCCACCACCGACGCCCCTACCTCGGCCGAGGGGCCCGCAGCCTCTACCGCATCTGCTCCGAGCGGATCTGCCACAGGGTCCGTCTTGACAGCCCTTGCAGAAGAAGCTAGACAGTACGAGGCACGGAAAGACGTCTTTCTGACCATTGCACGGTCCGTCGACAGCGTTGTCGCCAGCTTTGACGGTTCTAGAAAGCAGATCGCGAAAGAAGCCACTGCCTATGTCATTCAAACCCTCAAGAGACTGATCAATCACGAGACAAGCCCAATAGCGGCCCGGAGTTGGGCGGCTGTCGTCGCACCGATGGCGGGCAACACCACTGCGGCGACCCGGAGCGGCCAGAGCTGCCAGAGCTCTGCCCGCCCGAAGGCCACACTCCCCGCCGAGGATCAGCCGCAGGCGCAGCCGAAGGAGGACCTCCGCATCTTTGCCCGCGTCCCGGAAGAAAGCTTAGCGGCCGCTCGGAAGATCGCACCGTTCGCCGTACGACAGATCGTCTGTAAGGCCGTTGGCCTGGGGCTAGCGGACCTTCCCCACGTCTACCATATCAGCACAGGTTACTCTCTGAAGCCGCGAAACAAGCAAATACAGGAAAGACTACTTGCAAGTAAGGCAAAGCTGGCGGAATGCCTCGGCGCCCACCAGGTCGAGACGCCTATCAAGTGGTACACTTACGTTGTGCCGCGATGCCCAACAAAACTACACAGCATTGGCGGGGACGTCCTGGACCCAGCCACACTCGTTGAAGATGAGGTCTTCGCACAGACAGGACAGAAGCCTGTCCTTGCTCGACCGTCCCGCCTTGGGCCCAACCCAGTCACGAACGAAATATCTTGGCTCATATCATTCACATCAGAGGTCACGCCCTTCAGGCTCTTCAACCAAAGCGGCAGATCTCTGCCCGTCAAGAAACGAAGGACGCTCATCCGACACGACCCCGGCTGCCAGGGCTACCACTCCAACCGGTTCTGCGGACGACGACCGATCTGCAGCAACTGCGGAAGACCTTCCGATTCACACGAAACGGGACCCTGCATGGCCAGGCCCCAATGTGCCAACTGCTGCGGCCCCTTCCAAGCCAGCCACACAGACTGCCCAGCGAGGCCCTCGGCCGTAAACGGCGTCGTCTCCCTTCCCGGTCGAAAGGAGCGGGCTCGGATCCGGAAGGCCGGCCAGAAAGCATCGGACACTCTGTACAAGGCTACTCGATCCGACAGTAGCCAGGAGGCGGCAGGCGTCCCTACCTCCACCAGCCAGAACCAGCAACCCGGCGCCAAGCGCGCGCGCACGAGAACGCCCTCCGCAAGCTCGATCGTTTGCCTCGGTGACGGAAGCACTGACAGCAGCAGCATGGATGAAGACGAGGCGGACGAAGGCGAAGGCGAAGACTCCCCGACAACACCTCCATCGACCGTCCCGTGCTACCCATGCCAAGCAGGAGCCAACGGGCAGCACAGAAGCCAAACTACAACGTCGCGAATGCCTACACCCACCTCGAACTCGACTCGGAGACGTAAGCCGAGAGCGGCGACCCCACGGATGCTACGCGTTGCGCAGGGCAACGTCGGAAAGATCTCCCCGGCGCACACGGCTTTCCTGCAGCTCTGCTGGGAGGCTCAGATAGATGTGGTCCTCGTCCAGGAACCCTGGACGGGCTGGAAGGACGGAAACGTGCAACTGAACACGCACCCGGGTTTCGACTCTTTCGTCCCGGTCGACTTCTGGGACAGCGAAGGAACCAGACCAAGAGTATTGACCTACACACGCAAAGGGATAGGGATGACGGTGGAGCAGCAGAGGCCTGTCCACACGAGAGACGTACTGTGGCTGGTGGTCGACAAAACGACGACTATCGTCAACGTGTACAGACAACCCCGCGACCCCCACAGCCGCACAACAGGGATACTGCTAGAACTCAAACCCCCGGAGCGAGCTTTGATCGCGGGTGACTTCAACGCGCATCACTACTCTTGGGAGCCCGGGACGAGGAACGGGAACCGGGGAGATGACATCGCAGGCTGGGCAGACGGCCACAATCTCTCTCTTATCAGCGAAGTTGGGGTGGCAACCCAGGATTGCGGACATGTCCTGGACCTGGCTTTCTCTAATATCCCTTTTGCGCACGCGCAGGTCAGCCCACAGTTACACCCGGGAGCTGACCACGAGGCCATCGTGGCCGTCATACCACTATTCAAACGCCCAGTGTCACAGGGAGAGGGCCACCCGCAGCCACGGCCACTGTCAGTGCCCGACTCGGCGCTGCCTCGGCTGAGAGACCTGATCGAAGGGGGGCTAGCTGCGATGCCCAATCTGGGGGATCAACCTACTCCGGCAGACCTGGACGGGCAGGCAAGTCACATCGTCGAGCTCTTCTCCCGAGCCATTGAGGCGGTCGGCAAGAAGAGAGGAAAACAGGGAAAAGGCGCGGCTTGGTGGACGGAGGAATGCGCAGAGGCCCACAGAACGTACCGTGCTGCCCGCAACCCACAAGCCTGGGAGACGGAGCAGAACGCAAATCCTTCTCCAATGGAAGAGCGGAAGGCATTCCTGAGCATTGTGAGGAAGGCTAAGCGAGCATACTGGGCCGGAAAGATCGATGGAGTCGCTTCAGACCGGGACCTCTATCAGGTCATGGGTTGGCGGAAGGCGAGCCCACTGACCAGAGCACCCCCATTGATTGTGGACAACCAGACGATCGAGGATACTAACGAAAAGGCCCAAGCGCTCCGGAAAGCCCTTCTCGACAGGTTTAGTGCGGAAGATGACGCACCGGGTGACCCGTTTGACGTACCCGTCGTCCCAAGGCGAGCGATTACTTGGCAGGACAATGTTAGCGGAGAAGAAGTGAAGACGGCCACCTTAACAAAGACAACGACCCCTGGTGTGGACGGGATCACCACGCGCCTCCTCCAGGCCTGCTGGGGCGTCATCTCGGAGCCGGTCAGGCAGCTATTCCAGTCCTGTATGCGGGCCGGCCACTTTCCTCTGCCTTTCCGCAGAGCTGAGGTGGTCATGATCCAGAAGGCCGGCAGGGATGCCTCCAAGCCCGGGTCCTGGCGTCCGATCGCGCTCCTCTCGTGCCTGGGCAAGGGACTCGAGAGACTGATAGCCAGAAGGATGGCGTCCCTGGCGATTGTCGAGCGCATCGTCAGTCCGCAACAGATCGGAGCCCTACAGGGCAGGTCAGCCGTCGATCTGACGACCTGCCTCGCCCACGATATCGAAACGGCCCTCCTAAAAGGGCTCACGGCGACACTTCTGACTATGGACGTAAAAGGGGCGTTCGACTCCGTCCTTCGGAACCGGCTCGTCATTAGACTGCGTCAGCAGGGATGGCCACACGGCTTGGTTAGACTCATCTTCAGCTTCTGCTGCATCCGCATCGCCAGAGTCCGACTGGAAGAAAGCACAACGGAATACTTTCCTCTGTCATGCGGGCTGCCGCAGGGGTCGCCTCTGTCTCCCATCGTCTTTCTGCTCTACATCGCGGAAATACTTGAAGACGACCCGGACGCGCGATTCGGGTACGCGGACGACATCGCCACTCTGGCCATAAGCCCCTCCCTGGAGAGCAACGTCGCAATACTCAACCGAAGCGCAGCCGGCATTCTCAGATGGGGTTCGGAGAACAAGGTCTCCTTTGACCCGAGCAAGTGCGAGGTCATCCACTTTACTAGGAAGCACGGCCAGCCAGCGGAGCTGCCAGAGGTCAGGGCGGGGGATTTGGTGGTCAAGGCCTCGACAAAACCTGTACGCTGGCTGGGTGTCTGGTTCGACAAGAGACTGTCCTTCCGGCACCACGTCGACACAAAGTAGCTGCGGCAAAGAAGGCAGCTCAACACCTGAGGCAGCTTACAAACACAAAGAGAGGACTCCAGCGGCCGCCGTGCGAAAAGCCGTCGTCTCCTGCGTACTGCCGATCGCGCTCTTTGGCGCCGAAACATGGTACGCAGGTATCACGAAGCCGGCTTCGAGACGCCAAGCGGAGACAGACACGAATCCGCCTCTCCAAGGAAGACCCGTCAACACAGGCCAGAAGGGGCTCGTGCAGAAGATCGACAGCGTCATTACAGCGGCAGCAAGGGCCGTTCTGCCTGTCTGGAGGACAACGCCAACCAGCAGCCTCCTCCGAGACGCCGGCTTACCGTCAGCCAAAGTCGCTCTAGAGGGCGTCCGCTTACGGGCCGCAGTCCGACTACAGAGGATCGATCGCCGACACCCGCTAGTCGCGCGGCTCTCCCAGCAGGGACAGCAACAGACGAGACTACAACGGACGGCTGAACTTCTGCCAAGATGCGGAAGACCAGCGTTCCTCCAATCACAGTACCTGCCAAGCTCACAGGATCAGATAGTAGTTCAATGCAAAGAAGAGGCTGCGAAAGATTTCGAGCGCTGGCTAAAGACAGTACCGGAAAGCCATATGATCGTCTTCTCGGACGGCTCCAGGGCGACGAACGGAGCCGTGGGGTACGGCTTCGTCATCTACCGAGACTCCAAACGCATAGCGCAAGGGTGCGGCCGACTCGGACTGGCAGAAGTGTTCGACGCCGAGGTCGAAGGAGCGCGAGCCGGCCTCAGAAGGGCTCTGCTCACCAATCGCGGTCATCCAATCCACATATGTATCGACAACACCAGCGTTATACAAGGTATCCGCGGCAAGGCGCCGGACTCGTCACAAGAGGCGTTCCTCGAAATCCAAGAAGCAGCCAGGATTTTTGATGTACGGACGCACTGGTCTCCGGGACACCAGGGCATCGAAGGAAACGAGGCCGCGGACCGGCTGGCCAAAGAAGGAACGACACTGCCGGCGCGGATGGGTCAAATGGCAACACTAGCGGGTATCAAGCGGCTTGCAAGGGAAAAACTACAGGGCCACCACAGGAGATGGTGGTATAAAGAGCGAAGGCCGCGGTACGCGGACTTGGGGCTTGAGGCAGCTCTATCCAGCCCTCCTGAACTGGCCTTGCCGCGGGCTACGCTACATCACCTGCTGGCGGCACGATCGGGTCACGGGGACTTCGAGCAATATCACCGACGTTTCAACCACGACGACGCTCTAATGATGTGCTCTTGTGGAGAGGCAAAAGACGTGGACCACCTGGTCTACTGTCGACTAACGCTGGCGAGGAGGCAACGGTGGCCGACCCTCCACTCTCGCAGTATGCCCGAGCCCATAGGCCCTATGGGATCTCTCGAGGCCTACTTCAAGAGATTAATCACCGACCCACGAGGCTTCGAGGCCTTTCTCCGCGTGACGGACTTCTTCCAGAAGATCTGTCTGCGGTAGCAGCATCCACACCTACGTAGATGTGAGTACGGACTACAAAGAACCTCCCGATTCCAAAGGACGATTTAGGAAAGAATGAAACTAGGGCACCAGCGGGAACCAGGGACAGACAGAACGCGTAGTGGCCACAAGGCATAATTTAGAGGACGATATAAAGAGACGACGTACTATAGAGTAGGTAGCCTTAGCTCACGGCCCTCCACGCCATATACCCTTCGGGAGGTCTGCAGTAAGGGCTCTAGCCCGGCCGCCACGGCGTTAAATACAACAACAACAACAACAACCTATACCTATCGCAACAAGTGCATAGAACATCGGGATTGCTGAAATTGATGGTGAAATAGCGATGAGAAGTCTAGTCCCAAACGGCCGCGCTCGCCAAAGTTCAGTCTCTCGGATTGTTTCCAAGCCTTGGTCGTTTCTTGTAGCGACCAACAAGTATTTACAGGCGGAGCCTACCTTATCACCCTTAACTTTTGGAAGGGCTGTTTCATTACGGCCTATCACTACAACATTGTCGCCAATTTAGTTCTTCTTACCTGCGCAACTCATCTAATGTCGGTGGTTATATCCAAAGACTATTGGAAAAGGCCCTTGCTGGCGGTGCTGCGGGTTTTCTTCATCACCGCCGTATTCATCATGACCGGGCTCCTCCTGTCGAACCAGAATGTTAGCAAAGACATTCCATTCCCGACGAAGGTGCCTCCAAAGAACCAAACGGACAGTCTACTATTTCTACAGGCAGCGTGCTTTCAAAAGGGAACGACGTGGACCAGCTCACGTATACCCTGATCGACTCAGTAAGGAACGGCACAGCTGCTACAAGGACGTTTCTATATAGTACGCCCGGAAACTACATACAAGGCTGGAATCTCTATCTCGTGATTCTCGCATGGTATGCAATCTCCATACTAGCAGAGCTGGGCCGATGCTGCTACCGACGCAAGGTCAAGAGCCGCGAGGACGGGCAGACGAATGGTATAGTCAGACTCATGTACGGAGCATACCTCGTCGGTGGCATTGGAATCTGCGGGACTACGGTGGTGATCTCGGGTCTTTACATGTTTGAATTAAGGCAATGGGTGAAGAACTCGCGGTGGCTTGAACGCGACGAGGGTGGACAGAGTGAGGAAGACGACGCCACGTCTTTCGGTCAACTCGTGCCTATTATCTTGACCGGGCTGACGGCGTTCACATTCCTCTCAATGCTTAGCGGTAAGTCAGGTATCTTCCTCTCTAAGGCCTTTCTGAAAGCTAAATCTTCCCGAGAAATGTGTGCTAGACGTCGAAAGCCTGAGAATGGTTATCTGCAGGTCGGCCAGCAGCGTAGCTAAGCACAGTGACCAGCGCGCATGGAGTTAATTGGGATTACAACGGTTTCTCTCACTGCAACCAGTCTCCGTGCAGGCTTTTTCTCAGTCCGGAAAAAGGAACGCCTAGACGGCAAATAAGTCGGATAGCGAGCTCCTGGGCGTCTGGAATTCCCTTTGTGTATCAGACATGACGGGTGGCTTAGGCTTGTGCGATGGACATCTCGACTCATACTTTGCCCTTGGATAATTAATATGTGTTTCGAGATGTATCATGCGAGTGGACACGATTGGGAAAAGTTGTCTTCTCAGAACCTCGCTCCTTTTCCCCGAGTGCCCGGTCTATGCATATTCTCTCTTCCGCCGTTGCAGCCTATTGCAGGGTATCATATTCGTTCTAGCGGTACTTCAAATCATCCCTCTGACTCGGTCTCACACCTGAGTGCGCTGCGTCCAATTCAGGCGTATTTGATGCTGCAGCATCAAGTTCGTAAGTCGGTTGCGTCGCGGAATCCATCTCTGCCCGTGGTTCCGGAACTGCGAGTTCGCTCACCCCGCCACCATTTCCTCCGTATCCCTGTCCATCTTTTCGTTCGTATGCCCACGCCGAAGAGCCCGTTTCTGTTGCAGGGGTTGCTCCGGCCTTTGCACCGGCGGAGCTTCTCTTCTTCCTCCGCCAGAGAAAAAAGATTCCTGCAATGAGTAGGGCTCCGCCAGCAACGCCTCCTACCGCAGCACCAGCTATTGCCCCGGTGGACATTGACGATGAATCGCTCGATCCCGACGGCATGTTGGTGGCCGTGATCGCGGCCGTGACGGAAGCTCCGGTACTGGTGGTTGCGGCCGTGGAAGCCGCAGTCGCAGTCGCTGATGTTGTGGCAATTTTCGAGGTCGTCGACATCGTAGAGCAGGATGAAGTGCTCACTGTCTCGGCCCAGAAGATGTTTGAACCAAGCGCTGTTGCCGTCGTGGGAGTACACAGCAGGGCAATTCCGTTCGAGTTAGCTCGGTACGTGCCGTTTTGCCCGGATTGGCAGCACCATCCACCATTGCCGAGCTTTCCTTCGACTCCCCAGAGGATCCAATCTGAATTAGGACACTATGATTCTCAGGATCAGCTTTGCTCCGATGATCAAGGAGCTTTACTGCAGTTGCTCTCACCTTAGGGTATTTCAACGACAAATCCCGGCAGTCAGAAGGGTCTATTGACTCGGGATCAGCATCATGTCGATTGTGATTTCGAAACAGCATTTACCAACCTTCACAACAGTAATTGCCCACATAGTCACCATCTCCAGTGCATTTGAAGCCTGAGGGGCAGCATCTCGGCTGCGCTCCTGTGCCGCACTCGACGGGTGCGCTGGGCGGACATGATCTATCGTTGCGGAGCGCCCATCCTCCTTCATACGCGCATTCTTGCGCGAAAGAGGTATGGACAGCGATAGATGCCGCGGTCACGAGAGTTCGGAGGCTGTATCGCCATCTAGTCGCGTCAAAATTCATGGTTTCAAGGCGCAATGACAGGTCAAGTTCCTAGGGGTAACGTATGTCGCGGGGAGAAGGTCGTCAAGATGGCAGGGTTCCCGAAAGGAACCAAGATCATTAAACGTGAGCGGAAAAACAATTCGGCAGGAAGAAAGGCCGGGATCCGCAACGCCGCGAAAAGAAGGGACTTTCGTCGAAGGATTCGGCTCATGGGGACCTGAAGGGTCAGCCCTGCGGGTGGCTGCATAATTATCATCCTCCATACGAGACGAAGCTGGTGCGACGGGCCGCTGGTTCGTTAGTTTAGCGGGTTGGATTCTGGCATATGGCGCCATTGGGTGCAAAGTCATTTCTTCTTACGCGCTGCCAAGCGTTGGCAAATGAGACCTTACTGCCTGTTTTGCCCAGTCCTCCCGGTATAAGCCATTCCGAATAAGGGAAGTGATCACCGAATTGACCATTCAACTCGCCAAAACACAGCAAACACAGCCGTCAGATTTTAGGAGGGGGGAAACGGCCGCTAAGCCTGGTTACTTGAATTTTGTGGGCTTCTAGGCACATCGCTGTTGGCCGCTGGCTCCGAGTTGACCACGTCCTTTTCGATTGGGACAGGCGATGATCCACTATAGCACCATAGGCTCATCTGGCACCTCTGGTATGAACAAAGGAAGCGTCTCGCGATACTTGCAGCCGGCAAATAGTTTGTTGCGGCACCTGTGTAATTTGCGTTCCCAAAGTAGCCTGCGTGTCTAGTAACTTTTCGATTTCATATTCACACGTTTCCGTGCCTCTGAGACTTACATGGCACTCCACCACCTACTTCGTACTACAGGTGGTCTGGGGAAGCTGGACCCACTGGACGGAAAGCCAAACAAATACCTTAACCTTGTTTTGATGGCTGGTTCAACCTCTCTTCTGCCCACATAGCACCTTTATGATCTAACGTCAGCACCCACTGTTCTACTCGCCATCCCGAGAGCCTAAGGATAAGGCACCTAGTTGTTATTTGAACCCTATGCAAATTCCCTCAGTACATAACGTATGTAGGGCAATTGACGGAGAAGAGAGATGACTTCATCCGTCCTGTCCAAGTTTCCCCTAAAAAGTTCTAGAGTGATAAAGGGTCAATCGCCCGCTAGAGGCTGAACATTATGTTCTTCTGGAAGATAAGTCTGGTTAACAAAATCGACGAAGTCACAAACTGCCTCGACGCACTTGCCCAAAATATGCTCCCCTGAGTGGCATTCTTTATTCCTCTCGTCCTGAAGCTTTGTCAATAATTTGTGTTATTTGGCCAGCAGTTTTTCCAGGTGATTTTATGGCTGTTACACAGTGATTGTGTTTGTGGACAGATAGGTCGATACTTGGGTCAAAATGAGTCAGCCGCCCAGGTAATGTAGACTAGATAGAACGCAAGTTGAGAAATTATCTGATGGACCTGAAGCTCCTTTGTAATTCCGGGGAGATATGGACAAAGCTTAGGGAATAGATGGATTTAATAGTCTTGGAGACGCTTCGACGGGGTTTAGGATCTCTTCATCCATGTGAGTCACAGTGTCAAGCGTTTATTAGACCAAAGGCCGCACGAGACCGGTAAACTAGGCATCAGTATCCTACCAACCTGTTCCGTTAATTCACTAGCCAAAGACAAATGATGCAGGCCGGAATTCAACATCGTATCGGTGCTTGCCAGTAGGACGATGCTGATGACGAAGAAGAGGGCGATAGATCTAATGCTGACAGAATCATTGAACCAAGGCAGTACCGATTCCTTGCGGCAAGCTACGATATTGAACCCGATGTAAAACAGCGCCAACTCGAGGTAAACGAGAAAAAGAGTGCAGCCTTGGCCGGCTCCTATTGACTACTTCTTCTTTCCACATAATCCATGTGAAAAAGCTTCGTAAATTTCAGATTGGATTGTGCCAGGTGACTTATTCTAACAAAACTTGAACGTCAGAGGTTGTATTGTTAATATCTTTCTAATAAACAGCTTGTCACTGTTTGAGATGGGCGTGCTTACAACACAGCTATACAACAGCCTGGTTTTCTCTTGATTATACTTGAGGATTTGACTCCCGTTGTAATGACGCCAATAAAACCTCTGCAATTTCTCTGTTAAGACGAGTAGGTCCAATTTGATATCCCATGTCACATTGTCACTTGTCTATCCGTACGGCTCTGTTGCTCCATTGTGGTCTCCACAGCTTCTAAGCACTCCAGCTTCTGAAAATTGCCCATGTCTGGCCAGCCATGTTGTAGTCTTTCCACCAAGGACTCCGGTATGAGCCACGCATATACATCTATAACATACAGTGGAATGGCGGGGATAAACTTCAGGTTAAGGAACTGATCTTTGAGAACTTCGAAGAAACCCTTCACAGTCCAACGTGCGGCAATGTCACGCCACTCGGCTTCGTTCTCTAGGGCCCACTCGTAAGGGTCGTCAAAAATTTGCATGTGGCCGTATGAGGGATTGTTCGAGATTTCGCCCGGACAGTCTGGCCAGTAAATTTTGCCAAGCTCGGTGTCCCAAAAAAAAAAACACGATTGTCGCGACCACCGTTTTTGATACCGATCACATGAGCAGGTGCGTCGTCGCAGATATCAGGAACTTCCGAGGCGAGTTTCAAGCTCTTGCCATCCATGTTGTGTTCAAGAAGAGCGCCAATGTTTTGCCAATCAGAAAAATAGCACCAAGGAGCGCCTTGAGTTTGATTGAAAGGGTTGTTGCTCGGCAAACGAATAGAGGGTAGATGGCGTAAAAGAGAAATGATCTCGGCTGTCTTGTCCATGTCTTGAAAGATTTCTGATGAAATTGTAGCCCAATCTTCCTCTGGGGGATAAGTGATATCCTCTTCGTGGAGATACATCGTAGCTAGAAACTTGTAATGGTCGCGGACTGATGCTATGCACACTTCGTGGGAATAGCTGCAATCGTTAAGATAAGTCATTATAGCAGTCTTGAGGAAGTCACTGCCCGAGAGGGATGCAGGTCTGAAGGAAGAGAATGTTTGGAAGACAGGATATATTTCGCTCGCCTGAGTAAATGGCAAAGCGGGAGCCACTAGTTGGACATCTAGCGACCCCTGGTAAGGCAGCATGAGGTCAGGGTGAAGGGGAAGACAGGTTGCAGCAACTCGCAATTGGTGCGACTTGATCAAGGTTTGAAGCACGGCACCACCTTGTGGGTTGGTAGACCCGTCCGAGCTATCTATATTACCTAACGTAGAAAGAACCCTGCGATATCAGACCAGTGCTCAAGGGTTATGAATGATTATGATACCAGTCACCTGGAGTCTTCGAGGATCCGGGGACCCAGATGTTTGCTAATCTTACGATCAGTCTATAACTCTTGTGTGCCTTGAATGAAGGTCCGCGTAGCCAATAGAAGTTGCATTTCCTAGGTATTTCCATCTATTGTAGTGCTTTCACCGTAGTTTTGAGTGACACAATTTCAGTTCTAGTAGTACTTATGAGAATCAAATAGAATCTATGGATCCTATGACAATTAACATATTAGTAGTATTGAATCATTGGCACCTTAGTTCAAAGGACCCCATCAACTGGCAGATAGCGTTACTTCACTCGTCTCTAGTCTTGTTCTAACTCTGCTCCATTTCGTCATTATTTGGAGTGGTATGTCCCATCAACTACTAGATGGCGTCACTACATCCGTCTCTAATCTTTCTCCAAGATTGATCTATTTCGAGATTATTCATAGGCGGATATGAGGGAAATGCAGTCAAATTAGAGAAAGACTTGAGACGGGTGTAGTAACGCCATCTAGTAGTGGATGGGATAAGGGAAGTAGGCCCAAGTTGAAATCTTATTCGTTCATCCTTTTCAAAAGTATGGACTTATTTCGTGTGCTGACACCATGCAGCTGTTGATGGAGCAATGTCTTATCTGAGAAGACGTATATGGCGTGGTTCCGAATTGTTCACTGGGTGATATCCCACCTGACATGTACGTACTCATGTCTTATAGTCAAAGGTTGTTGCAGTAAACACCTAGAGTATCAACCATCCAAATGGTGCTAATTCATCAAAGCGTGGCTGTAGCGGGATAAAACTTGAAAATTGACCCATACTCTTGGGACGGTATGCATATGTGGTTTCTAGTCCACATGAATGCGTACGAATCAAGAAACTGCGTTACCTTATCATATGCGAATACCGGAGACATTTGAGCATATATGATAGTCGTCTCCGGAAGTCCTGTGGATCAGCTGGGGAGATTTATAGATCTGATTATTGATACTTAGGTATCGCCCATCCACACCGGATCTGAGTTGATTGAGGCTGAAAAGGGGTGATGGTGACTAGCCATCGTCTGCAACAATGACATAGTCCCGACTAGGCCTCGTAAGGGTAACCCGGCCGAGACATGGAGGATGCGGGGTGACCAATCCGGTTCTTTACCGCGCTGACACCGGCGAAGCAAGTGGGTCGGGCGGATCCGGCGGACCGCGCTCGAGACACGAATAGTGTGTCTTCACACAACCCCGGCAAATTTTCCTTATCTGGCCCACGCGGAGGCAATCCATTCGACATTCCAACTTCGTGTCAATTGTCCATGCAAAGATCAGTCTATCACATCTTACACACAAGCATTCGCTTCTTCTGCTGCTCATTCCATTGGGATTGGTCTAGAACTTTGCCTCATTCGCTCCCCCCTTCTATCGGAGGACGGTTCAACTATCGGGCTTTCTTGGCGCTTTGTCCTTCCCCTCCCTCATTCACTCAGTCACTTCAACGGGTCCGGCTCTCTCAGCCATGTCAACGAAACCCCGCCGTACCCTTGCGGGGCCAATCTTCCGCGTCCGTACGGGGTGCCTGACGTGCCGCGGTCGCAAGAAGAAGTGCGATGAGACCAAGCCGCGGTGTCGCGGCTGCGAGCGGAACCGCCTAGAGTGCCGCTGGCCCCCAACGTCCTCGTCCCAGGCTGCCCCCTCCTCTCAGGCTTCGCAGAGCGGCGGCAACTCGCGGTCGCCCCGCGAGGCAGTAAACTCGCCAGAGAGCACGCGGCAAGACGATGTCAAACCTGCTGCTCCTTCACCATCAGGGTCCACGGTGGCGTCTCAGAGTCCCCAGCATATACCAGATCGCTCAGTCAATTTCTCTTTTGCATCACATATTCAGTCCTCGGAATCGCCAAGTGCTGCCACAACGGACTCGAGCCCGAGCCCGGCAACCCAGATCGTCACGACGGACCATAGCAGCGGAATCATCATTACGCCCCAAACACCAGAAGACAACACGACGACTGCCATCGGGCTTCAAGACCCATCCGCCTTTTCAGTCTTTGATACGGAGGACCGGGACGATGGCGACACCACGGATCAGATGGTGCACTCACCAATCCAACCAATGTCGATATTCAGAGATCACCATGTGCCAAGGTCGATGAACCTGCTGGCTGGCAACCAGGACAGCAATTCACTAGAGCTTCTCAGTCACTACCTCAGCGCAACTTCGCTCAGTATGGCCAATGGGTCTACAGCGGACAACCCGTTCACTGCCCAATTGATTCCTCTAGCATTCAGCAGCGATCTCGTCTTACAATTACTCCTTACGCAGAGTGCTGTTCACCGAGCAGCAAAGTCTCTAGTCCCGACGGATCATATCGCGACAAAATATTACAACCAGTCTCTTCGACTCTTTCAGCAAAACATATCGACCTACATGGGTGGGCAACACGGCGAAGAAACGTTGATCTTGGGCATCGGTGCCCTGATCCTATGCTTGGTTGAGGTATGTTGCACTATCATGCACGCAATTCAGTTCATGGTGATGTTGATATCCCCTGTAGACTGCCAAAGGTGACGTGAACGGAACCATCTTCGACCATCTCATGGCAGCCCAGTCCTTGATCTTGCCCTTTTTATCCGCAAACAACACTTTTCTACACAAGACTTTGAAGGATTTCTTGACCGAATACTACATCTACACGGCAACCGTCAGCATGATATCCATAGACGCACGACTTGGTGATCAACTATTCCTCAGCAACGACCTGATCCTCCTTGCGACTGAGCTCGTGGCATCCTCGTACATTGGAAGCTTGTGCGGATGCTGGCTGGATTTGATCTTGTTAGTGCCATCGATATTCGACCTGGGACGTCGGATCATGAGCCACATGGACGAGCCGGACTGGCGTCCATCAGCTGATGATTTTATTCTGTTTTCACAACTACAAAGCCAGATTCTCAACTGGCAACCAAACCCCATGGTGACTGAAAATGTTGCCTTGGCGGGATACATCTACCAGAAAGCCTTGTTGCTCTATCTGCACACGGCATTACATACACTCTCGCGTGAGGAGCATGGCCTCCAGGTAATGGCTATCCAGAACGCTCTCAGCGGAGCTCTCTCACATCTAGCACAACTAGACCCAAGCGTTCGTATCAACACCAGTTTATGTTGGCCCATCACTATCATCGGTTCTTGTGTCACAGACAAAGGACAGCAGGAGTTCTTGCACGAGAGATTGGGCCATATGTTCGCTACCATCGGCCTGGGCAACATCCGACAAACTTCAGTAGTACTGCAGCACCTTTGGGACCACAACGAGGCTGTGCCGGCGGATATTGGAGCAGGTCCTTGGCAGGTGTGTCGGGTCATGAATGAGAATCAGATTTGGATTTCTTTTGCGTAGACGGTCTAGGGGAATGATTGATACAACTAGCGGTGGCGTTCACGGAGACAGCAAGTAAGCGAACGAACGAACGAAAGACGATGGCGACTGACGGGACCGGGACACATTCTTTGACCAACATGTGTGTATAATTATACACGGATTTCATCAAGAGCGGGCGAATATGATACCATGAATCTTTTCTTTACACTTTGATCGGCGAGAGCCTCTACTTTTTGAACATCAGAACATTCACCATTCACCATCACCACCCCTTCCACGGAACCCAGGTATCTATCACGACATCATTCTCATCCACAACATAGTAAACGTAGAAGGCCGCAGCAGTTATGCAAGCATGCTGCACGTTAAGGAAAACCTTGTCGCCAACATCGAAAGTCGCCTCGACATCTCTGCGCTCCGGATCAGCAGTCTTTGAACCTGGGGTCTGGACTTCGCCCAGGATACCATGTTCCTGAGACATTCGAACAACAGCCCAGTCAGGCTTGCCGACAACCTTACCGTAACCTGGGTCCGGGCCAGCTTCCTTTGACAAGGCGATCGTCCCGGCGTTGATGAGTGCCTCGTTGCGCTCTGGATACACGCTGCAGACCTCGGAGAGAACACGGATGGCCTGGTCCTCGGCCCCGATGACGCTGGTTGCGACTTGTTGGAGGTCGTTCGTCGGGAAGTTTCCTAGAAAGGCAATGTCTTAGCCTCAATGTCTTTGTGATCATTATTGGTGAAGGTTACATACCAGCGTGCAGCTCCAAGGTGACGTTCTCGGGGATCGCTGCCTTGAGAGTGCCAACGACATGAGCAGTCGGCGTAGCACCCACAGATAAGGTAAGCTTTTGGTCACCAGTAACCAGCTTTGCGGCGCTCAGAACGCTGTTGATCTCAACCGTGAGGAGATCTTCCACTTCCTGTGGTGTGCGGCACCCGTAAGAGTGACCTGCGTGGCAGTAGAAGCCTTTGAGAGTGACCACGGGTGAGCCATTGACGCGCTGAATCAGCTTCTGAAGACGCTCGCTTCCCAGGGGGAGACCGGCGCGCTTGCTACCCACATCGAGCTTGATGTAGATGTCCCAGGGTCTGGTCGTGTTTTGCGTGTTCTTCGAGGCCAAACCCTCCAACAATATGAGTTGCTTCTCATGGTCGATCATGAGCTGGACGTTGATGGACTTTCGTAGGTCTTCTAGCAGAGGGATAGTGCTCGCTGGAGGAGGTAGCCCGTACAGCACCTGAAACAAATTGTCTCAGCTTTGCAACTTCTCGTGAAATTTGAATGGTGAATCATGACAAACCTCCTCGAGAATCCCCTCTTCTCCCAATGGCAATAATCCACGAATTTCTGATAATGTGGATGCCACTGCTCTCTTGTACTTGCCGTTCCCAAGCATCAACCGCGTGACTTCCAGACTCTATGAGTGACTTAGTCATGGCATGTGTGAAGTGGGAGAAACACATCAGGTTCCTACCTTGAGAGTCTTAACGTGAGGTCTAAGTGTGACTCCGGCCTTCTCAACATCTTGGTGCAACCTCTCAATGTTCTTCTTGATGGTTGGCAAGCTGAGTACAAAAGAAGGCGTAGGCAGGTCAGTGACTTTGGAGCCAATGAATGTGCGATGGTTCTGCAATGAGTAGTCCATGGTGACGTGGGCAATTGTGCGTGCTGCGACGTTATGCTTCTAGAAAGACTGCCAGCGACTGGAAAGACTTGCAGCGTGCTTTTCTCCAAACCTTGTCACTTTCCCGCTGACCAGTTGGAGTCGACTTCTTTTGACATGGGCAACACTCTTTAGGGAGGGCGGCCGAGAGGGGAGCAATAGGTGCGACCGAGGTAGCCGAAAGCGGCGCTGGGGCAGTTGTGGAGCTACTTCTTCCCGCTCCGGCGCCGGCAGGATTCAGCGCGGAAAACGTCGTTATTGGCAGAGTTGCCCGTTCCACGTCGTCGCTTATCGTCGGTTGCTTAATGCTGGAGAGATTGACCGGCGTTGAATCAACAACACCCTATAAGGCGTACTTTACGTTGGTTACTGAGTAGCTTCTCGAGTTGATTACAGGTTGCAACTCGCCAGGGATACTGATCATCTGGATTGTTATTGGTCTTTCGCCGATATCGTTCTTACTCCAACACTCGGCTGGGTCCCCGGTTGTGAACTTTTGGCATCATCTTCGACTTGCACGCAAGAATTGATCTAGGCGGGAATCGGTTCCCACCTACTTGGCCGCGACAACTACCATAGCTACCTCAACAAGACAACGTACAGAGCAATGACGACTTTCAACGCAGGTTACTCCTTCCGCCGCCTCAGCTGAACAACGAACCGTTCGTTTTACGCAATACCGCCGACAACCACGAACGTACCCTCCTCCTTTATGTGAAAGTCAAACTGCCGAACAATTTCTGGAAGCAACTTATACACTTTCATGACTGCAACGTCCTTGCCCAGGTAAACCCGTGGACCAACGCCAAACACAAAAGCAGAAGCATCCATCTCGTTGATGTGCTCCTTCAAATTCCCCTCATCCTCAAGCCACCGCTCGGGTCGGTACGCCTCTGGGTCCAGGGCATATAGATGAGGATCTCGCTGGACGACGTACGCACTGCTCGTGATCTCTGCTCCAGCCGGAACCCAGGTGCCGTCAACGACCTTGCCGTCCGGCGACGGCGCTACTCGGCCGAAAAGGTTCGTCGCGGGCGGGTGGAGTCTCAGAGATTCTTTGATACATGCAATGAAGTATGGCAAGTGCGCCCTCGTCTCCTCGAATTGGATCGGCGTACTCAAAAGCCTTGCATCGGAAGCAGCTTTCAATTCGACTCGTGCACGTGCGAACACTGGCGGATGCGTCAGAATAAAGCGAAGGGTGCTACCAAGCGCCGTGCCAGTTGTGTCTGCGCCGGCTTGGATTAGCAACGTGACGTGCGCCCGCCTCTGCATCGCCGTCAATGGTTGTCCGTCTATCCGTGCCTCCAGGCACCTGTAGCCAGATCAATATTGTGCAATGAGGAAACGCAGGAGTTTGATATGACCAACAGTTGCAAAAAGTCTGGTCTTTCCTGGGAAAAGTCTTCTTGCGACATGCGCTGCCCCCGGCCTGAGACCTCTCTGTCTGCTTGCCTCATCAAGTAGCCCATGCCGTTGTCGTCGCTTGTCCCTGGTAGGAAGTATTTACTCAACGAGCCTTTGAGAATCACATCCCGAAAGAAGCGAAAACGACCGGCGAAACCGAAAAAGACTAATCCCTCTCGCCAGCTCTTGAGCATGTTGCGCTCATCACGACTGTTGTCGACGAAGCCCCAAGGGTTGGTAAAACAGACTAGCGTCATGATATCGGCTGCGAATTCTCCGAGTACAAGTCAGCTTTGACTGAGGACATGCGCCCAGATTGATTACTTACGCTACTTTGTCAGACAGAATGACGGGCTGATTCTTGTCGGCAAACTCGGTCATTCTTTGCACGAAAAGTCGAATGTGGTTGTCGATTCGTGGTTCCCAATTGTTCTTCAACCCCCCAACGGGCCACTGAAGATTCAGTGTTAGTTAGTGAAGAATCACGCCGAGAATGCAGTTAGTCATTAGCGAAACGTACCGACGGACCACCTAGGGCTTTTCTCAAACACTTATGCACACTCCCATCAATAGTTGAGAACAGGTGCGGTGGGCCAAGTGCGCCGGAACCGTAGAGAGGTGCCTTGTTATTGCACTTTGAATCCCAGTAAATGTCTTTGATAGCCTTGGACTGGGGAAACAACAGAAGAGACGGTGCTATACGGATAGGCTTCTCATCTTCGTCGAGGGGTCAGCATCACTGACTTCTCAAAAACCCGGTACACGAGCTAATGATAGTCTTTGGTAAAGAAGCACAGACAACAACTCACATCCATATCGCTTGGCCAGGTACAGCATCCAATGTGGTTCGAGCCCAACGACGGAAATGACAGCGGAGCAAAGAGAGAATGAAGTGGCGTACCACGGGCCATGATACCTGGATAACGGGCGTAAGTCCAAGTTATAAAAGATGCGTAAAACTAGCGACGAAATTGTCGCGATGGACAAAACAGCCCCGGCCGAGGCCAACGAAAGCTCTGGCGCATCAAGTAGCACCATAATCAAACGGTGTTGTTGAGAATGATCAGTGAGATGCTGTGGTTGCTAGTTCCCGGAGCCTATCAGGTATATATATATACTAGTAGTCCAACCCACCCAGAGTTTGTAGATCTCTTCTATTTTCTTAGGCCTTGGTCTTGAGATGCCTGAGAGGAAGATCATATAACTTTGTATCCTAACCACCTCATGCGTCTCAATTATCTGGCCTGACGTGCAGCGATTGCCTAATCCTACTCTGAGTGCTGCTTAATACTCATTGTACAACATGCCCCTCATCTATGGGCTATCGGCAACGCTCGATCAGCCCTTGGGTGCTGCGTTGAGTAGGACGGATAAGCATAGTGCTGATTATGAACGATGCTGCATGGATGATGCAGCCCTGCAGCGGTTATTGACTGTAATCAAAGTCTATTGAGCCTGCAGACGTGCCGAGCCGAGCAAAGGACCCATCGTTCAACCACGATTTGCCGGGTGCCGTGTCTAGACGCGAGAAAAATCAAGCTGCATGTGCGTTGGCAGCTTGGCTTGTGGTGTGTTCATGTGCGCTGTGAAACATACATGTTGACCGAGATGCAGAGCGGACGCCATGCCTCATACTTCAACGCCCCTTGATTTCACACATAAGCGTGTTCCAGTAGGAAACTGAACTTGTTGATCAAATCATGCTTTAGGTATTCCGCGGACAACCATACACAGATTGATTAGTCACGCCGTTTCCGACGCCGGAGATCCACCCCGAATCGTCTTATCTCGCTCTGGAGTTGCCGACCCCGCAGCCGATCTTATGCGGGATCTTGCAGTCCCGTGTTCATGTCAACTTCAACATTTGCCAGATGTTCACTTTCACAAGTCCATGCAATTTCATCTTTACAAGCTAAACAAAATCACCGCCAGCATGTACACCGTCAATGTGGGAGACGGGCTGGACAGCCTAGACACACCTTCCATGATCGTGGATCTCGACCTCATGGAAGCGAACATCAAGAAGCTCTTTGACAGCCTACTTCCCACTGGCGTCAACATCCGCCCTCACCTCAAGACAACAAAAAGCGCAGTGCTTGCTGGCAAGCTTGCCGCCGTCGGTGCCAAGGGCTGCTGCGTAGCCAAAGTGTCAGAAGCAGAAGCCATCACAGCGGCGGGCTTCGACGACATCCTCATAACCTGCGAAATCATCGGCGCCCAGAAAGTGAAGCGTCTTGTCGAGCTATTCAAGAAGAATAAAAAGATCAGAATCGTCATCGACAGCGAATTCGGCGCAACGGCAATCAACGACGCGTTAGATGGGGCTGGTGTGGACGAGCCAATTACCACGCTGATTGACTTGGATGTTGGCTTGCATCGGACCGGCGTGGCTGCAGGCGAGCCCGCCTTAGCTCTAGCAAGACATATCGGAAATTTAAAGCATCTGAACCTTATTGGCGTGCAAGGATATGAGGGCCACCTACAGCACCTTCACGACCGAGAAGATCGAAAGAAGCAATGCCTCGAGTCCATGAAGACGCTCACCGAGACAGCAGAGGCTCTCCGCAAGGCAGGTTTCGGCATCGATGTCGTCACAACCGGCGGCACGGGTACTGCTGAGTTCTGCGTTACAGTTCCAGGAGTCACGGAGTTGCAACCTGGATCCTTCATCTTCATGGATACGGACTACCGCAATGCGGTTGGTTCGATCTACTCCAACAGCCTCACGATATTGGCGACCGTTGTCAGCAAGCAAGGCGAGCGACAGGTGACGATTGATACGGGGCTCAAGTCTCTGACGACTGATAGTGGACTGGCTGAATGCAAGGATCGGCGCTATGCGCACATCAATTTGGGAGACGAGCATGGCTCCCTTAGCTGGGAGGAGGGAACTCCGGTTTTGGCTGTGGGTGATAGGATTGAAATGGTTCCGAGTCACATTGATCCGACGATTAACCTGCACGACTGGTACTATGCCCATCGAAATGGTGTCATCAAGGAAATCTGGTCGGTCGACTCCAGGGGAAAGGTTCAATAGTGAGAGTTGAATTCGCATTAGGAAAGAATTCATCCAGCAGCACCTCGGAACATTGAAATTCGAAAGATACAACAATCGGACGGGTTTCTCGCAGAATAATATGCATACAATGCAACATACCAAAGTCAGATCAAATGTCATAAGTAACACGAAGCGATTTGTCCGTCTTCCGGATTCCAGGGGTCTTCTCTTTTCTAGTCGAGCCGGGAACAACTCTGTGGAAGCGATCCTTTCGAGTGCCTTCCAGTTGCTCCTGACTGCTAAGGTAAATTAAGATAATTGGTTGATGAATTCTCGATCCACTTGCCACTGAAAGTGCAGGACCTAGACGCCCTGGGGTCTTAGAAATGTTTGGCATTTGATAGCCAAGAAGTAAATCGAGTGGATGTATTCGTCTAGAGCGTGCTCTATATCTTTGCTTTCGAGTGACTCCTCTCTTTCAAATTTCTTTCGGCAGGCAAGACCATGTTTACATGTGTACTAAGGGCAACGATATCCCCACCCTGATCTAAAACAATGACCTCAAGATCTAGTCTGCCGTTTCGGATAACTTTTGCCATTGTCCGAAGGAAGAGCCATTCCGCTCCATCCTCAGGCAAGGCCTTCTTCACGTCCAAGTTCAGAGCAAGCGTCGGATACCAAAACATTTCATTGGATCGAAAAGGTGTCTGCTCTTCATCACGCTTCGGTCTCCAGGCCTCTATAACCGTCGGATATGCGTCCACGACATAGCCGAGTGAAGCATTCGTGAATCTCTGACCTTCCTTGAGGCGTAGCCAGAGATCTACGATGCCACGCCGAGTGTTTTCGCGCGGGACGTAGTACTCCAGGTTGTTATGAGCGCGGGCGTAGGATGTCGCGCGAGCGTTCAGCTTGAGCTTCCGCACCCAGTGAGGGTCCCTATCCTGACGAAGGAGGGCAAAATCTACAGACTTGGCCGGCGGAGTCATCGCCCAGCTACTCTCTAGCGTGAGGCCCTTTTCGAGAGTCAAGCGGATGTTGATCAAGTAGGCGACAACCTCTTTTCGGGAAGATGCCGTGAACCAGGGAGCTGAGGATTGGAGGTCATGCTGATAGAGCGAGACGTGCAGGGTTGAAAGGTTGCGGCCGAGTTTAACTTCATCGACGATGAGAATTGCAGGTCCGATTTCAGTGCGGTTGACGTACTCGAAATGTGCTGAGATTGAGTCAGGTTGGCCCCGCGCTGTAAGGTGCAGTGATGCCGCGCGAAGAATCACTGATGCAACGTAGCCACCATTTGGAACTGCGCGTCGTCAATAATGAGCCCAATGGAGTAGAAGATGAATATGCCACGAGGGATCATTTACCTGAGCCAGTGCACCAACTAGGCACCAAGTTGGCTCCGTACACGTTGGGACCATGTTTTGTTATTGTCGTGGCATTCGAAAACGATACAAGCTCCTCAGACGTCATGTTATCGACAGGATGGAACTGTCTCTAAAGGTCAAAGTTTCGCCTCCTTCGCCAAGAGATTCAATTGCAGGGATGCTGATTCGCCTCTACGAAACAACTGGCCAGTGATTCGATAAGCCTGTTCAGTAGACGAAGCAGATGTCTGAGTTCAGGATCAGTAATACATCAACAGAACATGGAGGAAGCTGAGCATTTCTCGCGTTGCTGGAATCCGGGGAAGCTCCTGGGGTATCGGCGATGTGGGCCTGTTTCTCGAACGCTTGTTGGCTCTCACCATCCTCAAGACGAGAGGGCGGGCGGAATTCATGCCGATTCCCGGACTTGAGTGAGCCTCGGCATTGCACAAGTCACCTGACTCAAGACACCTTGTTCTGCTCACTTTTGGTCAAGCCACAAGGAGCTTTGGCGTCTGCCCACTTGTTACCAGCAGAGCTTTTTGCCTCGGTAAGTGGACCTAAATGAGCCGTCAGCTCACGCCGCCAAGCTCCCTTTTAAGAACCTAGCGTTGGTGAGATGAGTCTCACTCTCACTCTCACTCTCAGTGGCTCAAGCTTATGGCTGAAAGCCCCCTAAAAAGCCCTCTAGGGCGCCATGACTGGTGTGAGATTTGAGGCGCCACATCACACGCAATCCGATCCTCCCAGGCACGCCAAGTTAGAGTGACGGATCCTCCGTAGACTATGCCCAACGTCGGCCGTCGTACGGTATCGAGGCTACTGCTCCGATGCGAGTCCCAACAGTTAGGTTCCTGGGTCCACGGCGCCTCCCAACAACGGCGTGGCCGCGGGACGCCTACCGAGTCTTCCGGCCTTCGATAAGATTTTATCGCCGAGATGAGATCAGTCATCAAAAAAAGGATCCGACTTTCAAAATATGAAGGCTGACGCTCCCTCTTTGCGAAGACTAAGCTGATTCCCAAATATTCTGCTTAGTTTTTTCTTGCCTAAGCCTGCAGCTTTTCTTTCTCTGTCTCACTGTCAGTGTAGTCTCATCGCCCGCGGTGCATAACCACGAAGCTATCGAAATGGTACCTAAATCAGACCCGTTCCCGGGCTTCACAGCCATAACCGACCAGATTTTCTTCCGAGAAGGCGAACAGGCAACAGAGGGCACTCAACCACCAGCAAACCACCCGAGAGTCGTCATCATCTACAGTTGGGGCGACGCCATACCCAAACACGTCTCTAAATACGCCAACGGATTCCGCACACTCTTCCCGCACGCAAAACAAATCGCCGTGCTCTCGCCCATCGTCAAAGCGATGAGGGAGGACCTCCAGACCCGCTCCAACAACATGAAGCCCGTCCTAGAAGCCGCATATCCCTCAGCAACGTCCGGAACACCAGACCCCAACGAAGACGCCGTCCTCATGCACGTCATGTCCAACACGGGCGGCATCAACTACGCCGGAACGCTGCACGCCTACCAAGAAAGGTTCGGCCGCCCCATGCCGCATCGCCTGTCTAGCTACGACTCTACGCCCGGCAGCGTAATCATGACCTGGAACAACCTCAAGCGCTGGTCTCTGGCCATGACCCTCGGCACCGCAGGCTGGTTCCCCTGGCCGTTTGTCGTGACGCAGTGCATTATGGGTGTCTTCCTCCTTCTGAACCACAGCTTCGAGCATCTCACCGGCCGTGAGAGCGCACCGGTCTTTAGTGTCGCGGCGATCGGCGACACGAAGTATGTTTCCAAGGAGTCACGCAAGTTGTATCTGTACAGCAAGGAAGATCGGCTCATTGGCTGGGAGGATATTGAGGAGAACATTGCCGAGTCCAAGGGCAAGGGCTACGCCTATGACGCAGTACGATTCGAAGGAAGCGATCATGTTGGGCACATGCGCATGCATCCTGATCAGTATTGGGGCGCTATTGCATCGGCATGGAAAGAAACGTGAGATTGTCCAAAGACCGGAAGGGCTGACCAGGACGTGTAGAGGCTTCGCGGTGTTAAGTAGCTCTGCCTAAGTGTAGAAAGGATAGACTTGTGATGATAATGAAAATAGTTAAAGTAGATGCACGCGATATGACGTCAGCATTTCTTCATACGTTGCTAAGATCAGCCCTGAGCTATCTAATAAGTATCTATCTTCATTGTCGACTTTTGGCACTTCTCCCACTTACATTTGCTCCATGTCGTCTTGCAAGATCGCAAGCCTACAACCCATGCCGTACGAGATCACCGACGAACGACCTCGAAGGGAAGACCTAATCTGAGCACGAAACCATGGGATCAAAAGCCGGCCTGGCGCCCCTGGCATCGCTACGAATTTCCAAACACTTTATCCAGTCACATGGGCTATTCCCCAACACAAGCATCCAGAATAAGCCTCTGGTGATCTACCACTCCGCTTTCTCGTCAGCAAGCGCATCTTCCATCGAGTCCCACCTTATCTTTGTCGGCGTCGTCGAGCCGCAGTGGCGGTATACCATGTACAGCACGAGTCACTTTCACAGTACGACACATGAAGTCTTGTGCATCAGTAACGGACGCGCAAAGCTTTGTTTCGGAGGCGAAGATAACGAAGGCCGGGTCGAGCCTCTAGTTGAGAAGGGCGATGTGATCGTTGTGCCGGCCGGGGTTGCTCACCGTCTGCTGGATGACTTTGAGAGCGGGTTCGAGATGGTTGGGAGCTATCCAAAAGGCCACCACTGGGATATGTGTTACGGTAAGAAGGGGGAAGAGGGAAAAGTCGATGCTATCGCCAAGATACCGTGGTTTAGCAGAGATCCAGTGTATGGAAATCGCGGACCGGCACTAGAGGTCTGAATCCTGATATCTTGTGGTCAGGCTCGCGAACATCAATAATTTTGTTCACACTTAATCTTGGCAAGTCTTAGCAAGTGATGCGCAGTACTGGGGCTGAATGCTAAACTTGCTACCGACAACGAAATCCCAAAAGTGGTATGACAGGTATCACAAAAACCACGTAACTCGAACACAGAGAAGCCCTTGAACTCCGCCAAGTATCCAGGAAGCAGAAACATTTGACGCCAAGAAAAGTGCACATAAGCACGCCGACATTCCGCAACATCATGGCAACATGCTCTCATAACACATTACAAGCATCCCAGAAATGGCACCGAACAATGATCATCGCCCATAGATATCAAACAACCATCCCATTATCGGCCGTATAAATCGCTCTGCTTTCACTTCCGTACTGCGGACCAAACACCAACAAGGCCAGCGACCGGCCACGTGATCGCAAGCCTATCTTTCAGTGACTTTCTCCTCCGTTCCTTGCTCACATCAACCGTAATCTTGTCATAAACCGTCGGTAAACTCGTTGCGCTGTACCGGTCTCGCAGCTTTGTGTACCAATCCTTGTCGTACATCTCCCAGAATTGTGACTCGGTGTAGTACGCGTGGGAGTACAGCACCTTGCGTCCGCCCAGCTCCATGACCTTCGCCTCGAGATCCCGGTTTTGACGGACGAACCTGTCAATCTTTCTTGACGACGCTCCCCAAACGCCCACATTAAGCATCGGCTGCGGCGTCTCCCCGCCAGGCTCCATCGTGTATGGGTGGAAGCCGATGGTCTCAGTGGCACGGAGGGGACACAACCAGAGGGGCCATATTTCGAGGTTATCTGCCACATAGTCGATGAATTCTTGGACTGTGGTGTATGGCAGCGAGAGGTCATGGATCGTGTATTTGAATGTTATTCGGCTGTTGCCACTCAGGCCGGCCTTGTATAATGTCCTCGTGTCCATAAGACGGTTTAGAGCCCGGCGAGTGAGTCTGTTGAACGGGACAAAGCCGAAATATTTGAAGGCCAACTCGCCCATCCAGAAAGCACCTCGATCATATCGAAAAAGGTAGTCCTGCAGCGGCACATAATCTGGCGTTGGTGTGCCATTTGCGATTCGTTTTCGTGCATGCAGATAGAACCAAGGATCCTTGGACCTGCTGAACGTCTGGGGCTGGCACTTGTCGGGCAGATCATCCGTCATATGACCCGTAACAACAGCAGCGCTCGTCCTCGAAAAGACCAGTCCTTCAACGTAGTCATTGTGCGCCAGGTTCGTCTCCCGTTGAATTGCAGCAACGGCCTCCGGAATCGTCGAGTACGAGTGATAGCTGAGCTTGACAAATTGCTTGGCCTTGAGCAACCTGAGCTCCAGTTTTGTGACGATACCTAGGGTCCCCAGGGCCCCTGCCGCACCCTTGAAGAGATCTGGATTCTCCGTCTTGGAGGCATTGACAATCTCCCCACTCGCGAGGATCATTTCTACAGACTGCACCGTCTGGTCAAAGTACCCGTAGCGGAACGAGCTGCTCTCTCCGGCTGACCCGGCGAAGCCGCCGCCGACCGTGATGCCTGGGAACTCCATCACTACGGGCGGGACAAACCCGCACCTGTAGGTAGCCGCGAAGAGCTGGTCCATGGGGACATTAGGCTCGACGACGGCGACGGATGCCGCGGTGTCGATATGAAGGACATGATGCAGCTCGCTGATGTCGACGACGCGCTGGCGGTGGGCGGGCCGGGTGCTGCTTGTGGAACCGTGGAAGATGCGGAAAGGTTCCCGGCGGGAGTGGAAGTCCTTAACCACCTCGACGATGCGCTTAACCGCCGCGTTGTGGTCGTCCATTTCCCGGATCTGACAGCAGAAAAAAGCTGCAGAACGGAAACTTTGCTGAAAAAAAACCTCGAAGCTGCGATCCGACGACAAGCTTGGAGATCTGGGGTTCCGGCGAACGGGAAGTCAATTGTCAAGATGTCATTGAGAACGGACGGATACAACGCTATGTGGCTAAGCCAAGTTGTAACGGGGATTGTCAGAGGTTGGCTTGACCCACTCCGAAGAGCTGGATACGCCATCATTGGACCTTTGCTGTGCTGCATGTACGATGACTAAGACAGGGGGTTCTCTAATATTGACGCTAGGGTCCGTGATTGACTGACAACCCTAACCCTGCATGATGTGGTAGATTAGACCGAAATTTACCGCCTCCTTTTGCGGGTTATCACTGAAGTCTGTCGTCTTTGAGGCTATGTATCGGCAATGCTAGGTAGATATCTTCTCAGCGAAAAGTGATTACTGAGCCTCGGTATCCTTTTTCTCGTCGCCCTCACTTGGAATCTTCTTCAGTCCGACACCAGCAACGCCAACGATACTCGCCGCAGACATAGCAGCGGCCACTATGTATGTCCTTGTGATGGCATGATTGTATACCTGCAGCAGTATACCATACTGTTCTGGAGACACCAAGTCCTTAAGCTGCGTGGCACCCGAGTTTCTGATTGCTTGGGGATCGACGCCTGGGATATCGGTGGTTATTCCCGACGTCAGCGTGCCCGTAAACACGGCCTGGGCAACTGTGATGGCAGTAGTAGGACCGAAGCATTGAAAGAAAAGCACAACTGCCACCCCGATCGCAACATCAGCCTCTTCCAGACTGCTTTGGACGGCGACCGCGGCTTGCTGCGTTGAAGCGCCAATGCCAAGCCCGGCGATGACTTGGAAGGGAATCCAGAGATTCGCTCCCGAGGATACTTTGAGTGTCGAAAGAAGGCCAGAGCCAACGGAGACAAGAATAGTGCCAGCAAGCATGAAGGGCTGGTAGTAGCCCATCTTCGTGACACCCCAGCCGCTGAGGAAAATGGTGAGAATAAAGGCTAAGCAAAGGGCCAGGTATCGAACACCAGACTCCTCGGGCGTGGCACCCTGGATGGCCTGGAACCAGAGAGGCACCTATAACCAACGTTAGCTGTGAGCTTTTGGCTGAAAGAAATGTAAAGAATCCGGTTGTCATACGTAGTAAACGAGGGTGAAAAAGGCACTGTCCAGGCAAAAGCCGAAAAAGGCCCCGAAAATGACCACGCGCATCGTAGCCAGGCGCGGCGGCACCAATGCCTTTTCACCCATCCACCACTGTTCGGCCACAAAGCCGATGACGAGGACGCCAGCAACGACAAAACAAGCAATGGTCCGTCGGTCGCTCCACGTGAACAGCGCGCCTCCGAATTGGAGAGCAAGGAGGAATGAGGTGATCCCTGGCAGTAAGAGGAGCATGCCAAGATAATCCAAGCCCCGGATTTTCTGCAGCCAAGGCCGCCGCTGCTCTTCGGTAGGTGGGGACGACTTGACCAGAAACAACGTCGCGAGAGCGGGTGGTGCCGCGATCGGGAGGTTGATGTAAAAACACCTGATGGCGATTCGATATCAGTAGGCGATGCATTGGCGAGCAGATCAAGGTCATGGGATGCTACTCACCACCTCCACGTAAGGTAGCTGTTCGTGATAATGCCGCCGACTACCGGCCCAAGAACAGCGGCAGTACCATAGACCATGCCGATGGCACCTACATACATCGGCAGGTGTTTCGCAGGCAGGGCTGCGGAGATGAGGACTAGACAGCCGCTCTGAAGGCCGGACGCACCGACGCCAGCGATTGCGCGTCCGACGATGAAGACTGCTGAGCTCGGGCTCACTGCGCAAATGAGGGACCCAATCTCGAAGATGGCGAGAGAGATCACATAAATGATCTTGACGTTGAATTGATTGTACAAACGCCCAAAAATGAGTTGAAATGCGCAAAGGGTCATTTGGTAAGCTGAGCCATACCACTAGAGACTTATTAGATAGAGTTCGCTGGTATGGGATCTGTCCGGGAATTCGGGAATAGTATGCGACTTACACCAACATCTGTAAGAGATCCAAATTCGTCCGTGATACGCGGAATGGCTGTAGCAATGACGCCTTCATCGAGAAAAGTACACAATACACCGAGTGCAATTGCTAACCAGACGACGAATATCTTCCATCCTGGAAGATTCTCACTGGGCTTGGTTTGTGTCTCTGCACTATTGGATTCATCAGACTGGGTGCTATCGAGCACATTGCCCTTCTCCTGTTGAGAATCCAGGTCCATACTGGCACCGCCTTTCTCAGGAACATTTGATTTTTCAGAAGCCATTTGAAAAAATGGGAAGAATTCTGCAGTTCAGGAGACCGTAGAGAATCTCAGAATGTGTAGATGCGATGAATCATCTGGATAACCACTCCTTCGCATTCACTTTTCCACACGAGCGAGGTCCGAAGTGCCTAGGTCTATTCTAAGGATAGCGCGGCGGAATCTCCAAACGAACTCGCCTCGCCCCGCTGCACCGGCTGACCGCCATGAGAGGATTCAAGCCTAGACATGGATCTCATCACACTGCCCCCAACCCGCATCTGGAAGGCCAAAACGAGCATCATGGGTAATTTTTGTGGATGTCTGAGGGGTAACACAAACCTCGACATTTTCCAGGTTCGTAAACACATGATATCGGCCCCCGGGACGACTCCGCCGCTGCCTTATCGCTGACCACCCCTCTCTCGATGGAGCTGAAGGATTCGCGACTGGCTGCTAGTCACCAGCTTCTAGGCACCTGCGTCAAGTGCAAGTTCTTTCAAGCATTTTCCTGCCATGGGCAATGCGGCCGATCATTGGTTCCCGAGGCACGGGAAGAATCTATGCGAACTGGGAAACCCGGAGACACGCATACGAACCCATGCAAGGCACAGTATGCAACCACTTTAGAATGCATGCACTACAAAAGAACCGATGGGGGTCAATAGGGCTCCCAGCCTTTCGGTGTGGCGAGGTATCATCACATCACTGACAAATGATTGGAATCACGCGTCCAATAACTGGGGAAATGTCCCAAGTCCATCCTCCTTCTACCCAATATTACTGTAAGACTGAGCTTTTTGAGTCTCGACGGAGACATATGATTCAGCGCAGACTTTGAATCAGCCAATCGGAATGTGCCTAACCATTTACAAACGTCAAAGCAGGCGCATAACTGTTGTACATATTCAACTGATTGCACTTCGAGATGAATAGGAACGGCAATGTAATGCCGAGAAATGCCGCACTCCACATTCTTTGATTTATGATCTCAAGCCAGACGGAAGGAACTAGTTGATGGCTGCTGTTCTGGACTCAAGCGGAGGAGCTGCAACACCCCGGTCTTGTGGGAGTCACTTTCTCGGGCGAACACAACCTGAGTATCCCCGTGATAAGGCGCAGCAACGAAGGATTGACGGTGTGAGAGGCCCCGGCAATTTTGCCTGTTTGGGGAGGTTATAGAACACCGACGACCAGTCTAGAAGACCTGATTTGGAAGATCCGATGATTGCTTGGTCTGAGTATTGATCTATCCGAGAAGGCGTAGTCTAGGCTGTTCCGTCTCACGCGCGGTTTTGAGAATGACGCCATGAACGGGAACTATCACGGGAGCCAGTTGGTTAGACTGGCAGCTAGGTACCACTTGACATGGAAGGATCTTTGTGGTCTCAGGTCTAACCTTCTCGGACTCGAGACCTGAAGGTTCCGAAACTAGTCCGAAGAAGTAATGCCAGGTCTTTCAGTATGGTTCATACATGTACGAAAGACAAGTGGTAAGCTCCTCCATCAATGCAAAGCTACCTTCTTCATACAAGCAACGTATACAAACACCGCTGCCCAAGACTTTCCCGTCTTGGCGTCACACTTCTATGCTGACATTGTGCATGAATCAACATTACCTACACCACTGCAACCAAGCCAGATCGTCAACATGTTATCGACAGATGGAAAATGGAAGCTCACACCCCGACTTCACTCCGTCAAGTTCGTCTTCGATGATCCCATCCCGGCAGACGCAAAGACGCCAGAAGAAATCGTCTTTGAAAGTCCATTTCCTGCTGATATCTCGGGCGTGCCTCAGCGGTTTGTTTTCAAGGCGGCCACGGCTTATGCTGTCGGCCAGGATACTACCGGCCTAAAGACATCAACGACCCATGGCGGAGATGGTCTTGATGCCAGTGAGTCAAACGCGACACAGGCATCTGATAAGCCGGAAACGACGAGAGGTTCGATCATATGCAACGACAGTCGAACGAAGATCGCGTCTAGGGCACCACGTAGAGAGTCCTTCTCCCATGTTCGTGGTCCTACTTGCGACTCACCGGATGACGTGGAGTCAATCGTGTGCGCAGCCTGGGCCTTGATACTATCCTCACTCAACGACAGCGAAGTAGTCAACTTCGGAGCTTACGTCACGAGCAGTGGCAGTCCCGATCCTGTGCGTAGCGTGACATCGGTCACAGCGTCTATTGACCCCCAATCATCGGTTGCGGCATTTCTGCAGCAAGTCAAAGACAAATCGCTCGTGCCTGAGACCTCCAGCAAAAGGGTTGAGGCAAGGCACGAGGGAGGGGGAGTATCATTTGTCAAGACGCTTGTCAACTTTTCCACGACTTTTGAACACCTGCAGCAGCTAGCCGACGTCTCCAATTTCGCTCTTCAACTTCACTGTGTCATCGAAGAACATGATCTGCATTTATATGCGACGTTCGATGAGCGTTCTATGTCTGGGCCAAGAGTTCGCCTTCTGCTGAGCGATTTGGAGCACGTCATCTGGCAGCTGGCGAACTCAACGGGAGAGCAGACCGTTCTTGAGGACGTACGGATCATGAGTCCCACTAGCCAGCGGCATCTCGTTAAGCTAAACAGACCGTAAGTTCATGTCCCTTTCTTTGCACAGCCTATGATTGTATCTCAGTGTGCCTGTCTAACTTTTAAAAGACATACAATAAGGGAGGAAAAGCTCGTCCAAGAGTCGATAGCACAATATGCCAGAACAAACCCTCACGCTGAAGCTATCTGTGCTTGGGATGGTAACTTGTCGTACTCCGAGTTGCAGCGCCTTTCCGAGATTCTAGCGACATATCTTGCAGGTCTTGGAGTCGGACCTGAGGTGGTGGTACCGATCATCTTCGAAAAGTCCGTGTACAGCATCATCTCTATCCTAGGTGTGGCGATGGCTGGAGGTGCGGTTGTGGTTCTGGATCCCTCGCTTCCCGCAGCCCGAATCAGCATGATCGTCAAAGATGTTGATGCCAATGTCGTCCTATCGTCTGTATTGGGCAAAAGCAAGATTCCATCCCAAGTACAACACGAGAAGCGGGTTGTAGTAAATCAGTCTCTTTTCGACCATCTCTCAACCCAAAGGCAATCCCCATCCAAGCAAATCTCACCGTCTCCTACCAACGCGTTATACGTTGTGTACACTAGTGGTTCTACCGGAAAGCCGAAAGGTGTGGTGGTCACTCACGAGGCATTTTGTTCCAGCGCGAAGGGATATTCCAAAGCAATCTGTCTCGATTCTACCTGCCGGGTCTTGCAGTACTCCTCCTTCTCCTTCGATATTTCCATGCTCGAGGTCTTTACTACCTTGATGGCGGGGTCATGTCTTTGCATCCCCTCAGAAGAAGACAGGATGAACAACCTTGCTAGCTGCATTTCTAGAATGAAGGTCAATTGGGCAATGCTGACACCAACTGTTGCAAGTCTCATGACCCCAGACGAAGTCCCCAGCCTCGAGGTCTTGTGCCTCGTGGGAGAAGCATTGCCGCAGGCTGTCGCCGACGCATGGGCTGATCACGTCAAAACCATCAATGCCTACGGCCCTGCGGAGTGCTCAGCAATCACCATTGTCAGTGAGCCAAGGTCTAGGGGGGTGAAGAGCATTTCTCTTGGAAGACCTGCCAACTGCGCCGTTTGGATTGTCCGAGAAGATGGTCAGCTTGCGTCACTCGGTACTGTTGGAGAGATTGTGATAGAGGGCCCGCCCGTTGCGCGTGGGTACCTTGGTGACCAGGAGAAGACGAATGCCGTCTTCTTGGATGATCCCAATTTTCTTCGCGGTGTAGTACGACGGCCCATGCGATGCTATCGTACCGGTGACCTGGGAAAGATGAACCATGATGGGACTATCGACTTCCTCGGTCGGAAAGATACTCAGGTCAAGATCAATGGTCAGCGTGTCGAGCTCGGCGAGATTGAGCATCAACTCGGACAAAACCTGAATTCCGAAGAGAAACAATCATCTCCTGAGACTAAGTGGGAGCTGGCTGTCGAGTTCCTGCGACCCATCGGAGGAGAGCAAGGTATTCTCACAGCATTTGTCGCTCCCAAGATAACCCCAGAAACCTCTTCTAGTGGAGAAGGGCAGCATCTTATCGAGAAAGTGCACCCTTTGTGGACAACGATACATCGGAAATTCCAGACAGCTTCGACAGAGCTCGTTCTCTCTCTTCCTGGGTACATGATCCCACGGGCAGTCGTACCATGCTACATGCTGCCCCTATCACCTTCAGGCAAGATCGATAGAAAAATACTGCGCACACACGGAAACGCAATGACGGCACAACAATTGCTGAGATCACCAAGCGATGTGGAAGATCAAACCGCGCCGACTAAGGTTTCTGGAGCACTTTCGGCCAAGTTCCCCGACAGCGAAGAGGAGTCCTCCGTTGGACAGCACACGCTGTTATCGGACACATACCCCTCAACAGAGGCGTCGATGCCACTCTCCGAGACTTCACTGCCTAGCCTAAAACCGACTGAGAAATCCCTACGCTTAGCTTGGTCAGAGGTTCTAGGGCTACCCGAAGACTCGATCCTGCTCGAAGATGACTTTTTCAAACTCGGTGGAGATTCTATAGGGGCTATCAGGATAGTGGCGGCTTGTCGCAAGCAGTCGCTCCAGATTAACGTCGCGAACATCTTCAAGAACTCTGTGCTGGGCAAGATGGCACTCGTTTGTAAGAGCGCGGCATCTGGGAACCAGATGGTGTCTCCTGTTCACTTCGTTCCATTCCAGTTCCTGCGGCAAGAGGATATCCCCGAGTTGCAGAAAGAAGCCGCCTTCCAGTGTGACGTCACTATCGATAAAATCGAAGACTTGTACCCTTGCACGCACATGCAAGAAGGTCTGATGGCGGTTAACCTCACGCGACCAGGCAGTTACACGGGTCGGTGGATCCATCCGCTGCCTCGGGATGTCGACCTCTCGCGGTTTAGACAGTGCTGGGAGAATATTCATGCCGCATCATCAATACTGCGGACCAGATTCGCAACTACTTCGACTGCTGGATCTCTGCAGGCTGTTATCAGAGAGAATGTACAGTGGCTTTTGCACTACAACCTCGAAGCGTACCTAGAGCAAGACGATGCGAACCCAATGTTTCCCGGAGACTCGCTCAATCGTTTTGCTCTGGTCACATCAGAGGCTGGCGATGTAACATTTGTGTGGACCATTCACCACATGCTGTACGACGGCTGGTCCCTAGCGATGCTTTGCGACCGACTCAATGATTTATACTACGGCCGTGCCATCAAGCCAGCGACTGACTATCGCAATTTCATTGCCTACGCAGAGAAAATTACGCCAGATACATTCGCGAACTACTGGAAGACAGAGCTACAAGGAGTGAATCCGTCAAGCTTCCCTGCGATCCCCAAACCTGGCCATCAGTCCTTTGCCCGAGCTGTGGTGCGCGATGAGCTTGATATAAATATCGATCCGTCTTCTGGCATTACGATGTCTACCATCGTTCGAGCAGCTTGGAGTCTGATGATAGGCCACCTCTCAGAATCAGACGATGTCCTGTTCGGTGCAACAGTTTCGGGTAGAAATGCACCCTTGGACAACATTGAAAGCATCGAGGGTCCGACGATAGCCACAGTGCCTGTCAGAGTTCGTATCGACAGAGGATCAGATATCCTCGACTTTCTGCGAAAGGTCCAGGACCATGCAACCGCCATGATACCCTACGAGCAGTCCGGAATCCAGCGGATAAAATCACTGAATCAAGATACGAAGAGCGCTTGCGAATTTCAGAACTTGCTTGTCATCCAGGCAGGTGGCGGCTGGGATGAGACTGGGCCCGGTCCACTGAAGAAGCCGATCTATCGCGAGGAATTTACGACGTTTCCCGTGACGTGCGAGGCGTGGCTTCATCCCGATCGGATCGAGTTTGCGACGCACGTCGATGAAGACGTGACAAGTCGTCTCTTTGTCGCCCAAGCCATTGAAACCGTCAAGGGTATCATGAGTCAACTCGCTTGGGCTACATCTCACAGCTACAGTCCTTCCAAGGTTGCAGACTTGGCTCTTGACCCAAGTTCTGTATATATCCAAGACCGAGCTTCACAACCTTTTGAGGCAAAGAAGCTCTCGGCTACGCTTCATCAACTAATCACGGAAATGAGTCTGTCACAACCTCAGAGAGACGCAGTGATATCAACAGCCGACTCACTGTCATACGAAACGCTGGAAAAAATGTCCTCTGCACTCGCTGCCCATCTTGTGGATACCGGTGTCTTGGAGGGAGACAAGGTTCCACTGTGCTTCGAGAAATCCGTGTGGACTGTTGTTGCGATGCTTGGAGTCTTGAAAGCCGGCGCTTCCTTCGTGCCCCTAGACCCGGGTCAGCCCGTATCACGTCTACGAAAAGTTGTTGCGCAAGTCAAAGCCAAGACAGCTCTTATGTCTGCATTCCAACACAAGGCAACCGATCTCGGTGCTATTGCGTCCATGATCATCGACCGGGATGCCCTTGACAGGATCTCCAAGCTCCAGCATCAACTCGGGCCACCATCTCAACTCAGTCCCGATAGTGCTGCCTACGTCATCTTCACCTCTGGGTCGACAGGAGATCCCAAGGGCATTGTTGTCTCTCATTCTGCGTTTGCTTCCAGTGCAATGGCCCATGGTCCCGTCTTTGGCATGAATAATGAGCACCGTGTCTTACAATTCTCCGCCTACAGTTTCGATGCGAGTCTGTTTGAGATCCTGACGACCCTCATACATGGCGGGACAGTCTGCGTCGCCACCGAGAAGGAGCGCTTCGAGAACCTCGGAGAGTTCGCAAGTCACGCGGGCGTCAACCTTGCCCTTCTCACTCCATCTGTGGCCCGCATCATTCGTCCCGCGGAAATGCCATCGCTGAAAACTTTGGTTCTTGGCGGAGAAGCTCCTGACGAGATCTTGATCAAGAAATGGCTTGATGCTAGAGTCACGCTATTCAATGCGTATGGGCCGAGTGAATGCTCTGTCATCGCTGCTTGCCATCAGTGTACCTATGATGCAGACCCGAAAACCATCGGATTCTCAGTCGGTTGCTCTGGTTGGGTTGTTACCTCCGACGATGACACGATACTCGTCCCGGATGGTGAGGTTGGCGAATTGCTCGTAGGTGGTTCGACTCTAGCCGATGGCTACCTAGATGACTATACGAAAACACATGCCGCTTTCATTTCGAGACAGTCTTGGGTATCAAAGAAGAACCTGCAAGGCACGGGTCGGCTGTATAAGACAGGAGATCTTGTGAAGAGAACAACCGATGGGACTCTGGTATACGTGGGGCGGAAGGACCTTCAAGTCAAGTTGAATGGCCAACGAATCGAACTCGGTGATATTGAATCGCACATTTCTGTTTGCGATATTGTCAAGCGTGGTATCGTCGTCTTCCCCTCGTCAGGGCCTTTCGCACGCCAACTCGTGGCGGTCCTGGAGCTCGAAGAAGACGTTGGCCAGAGACCGGCTGGTCTACAACAGATCATTTCTCGCTTCAATGTCGTCGCAGATAAGCTTCGTCAAGAGTTGACCGGCAAACTTCCAAGCATCATGCTTCCAGCACACTTTGTTGACATCGCGACCCTCTCTACGGAAAGATTCCCGCTTTCTTCCTCGGGCAAGATCGACAGAAGACAGGTGACGGCATGGCTTAAGAGGTTGTCTGTCAGGGAATCCGAGATTCTCGACCCTTCTGCGCCGATGCCAAGTACAGTGGCAACAATTCAATCCCATGAGCTCCCTGCCTACGAGTTGGCACAGAAGATCACGGATTTGGTATCTCAAAGAACGCTTTCGTCAGCGCCACGCCTAGATGGCTTCAACGATGTCCTACTGCATACTTCGGGTCTAGATTCTCTCAACACGATGTCACTCATGCACTTCATTCGCCTAAAGTACAACGTCAGAGTCAGCATGCAGCTGCTCATGGACGAGCACACGAGCATCAGGAGTCTGGCAGCTTTCATCACCCGTGCTGCTTCTAACAGACCAGTCACGTTGACCTCTTCCACTGTCAACTCGGAGAGTCAAAAACTCGACTTGATGGCTGAAATTGATCGTCTGGATGCGGGGCTCCAGAGACTCCCCGGCACGCTACCACGAGATATCCAGGGTAGTTTGACCAGGAAAACAGACAATCTCAGGGTTTTCCTTACTGGCGCAAGCGGATATCTGGGCACTCAGATACTTCGACAACTCCTAGAGCGGCGCGATGTTGCCTGCGTCACCACTCTCGTACGCGGTGCAACGCCTCAAGCAGCAAAGTCTCGTGTGATTGAGGCAGCACAAAAGGCTCTTTGGTGGACCAAATTTCATGACGAAAAGCTGGAGACCTGGATGGGTGATCTGGCGAAACCCAAGCTCGGCCTTGGCCAAGAACAATGGGACCTCTTGGGCGATGGCCACACTTACGACGTTATAATTCACAACGGCGCTGTCGTACATTGGAACAAGAGCTATGCAGCTCTAGAGGCTGTCAACATCCATTCGACAATCCAGCTCCTCCGTATCGCTGTCCAGAACCCGGTTTTGCGATTTGTCTATGTCTCTGGCGGTCGGCAGTGGAAGAATGCCGAAGAGAGAGACGAGGATGTCGCGCGCGAACTTTCAGACTCTATGGGCTACAGCCAGACAAAGTTCGTTGCTGAGGTTCTTGCCAAAAGAGCTGCGGAGCGGTGTTCGATCGACCAGAGGAATATTGGTGTCTTCAGGCCAGGGCTTATCATCGGGACGCCCGCTGAAGGGGTTGCAAATTTGGACGACTATATCTGGAGGCTTACGGCTGCGAACATCAATATGGGAATCTACAATGCAGACGAAGAACAGGCATGGCTGCATCTCTCAGATGCTGCTACGACTTCAGTGGCTGCCATTCGCGCCGCATTCAACCCAGAGTCATCGGCCAATCCGGTGACACAGCATGAAGAGGGAATGACTTGGGGGGCGTTCTGGACTTTGGTCAAGGGGATAGGTTACGACATCCGTCCAGCAGACGCTGCTGCATGGCTATTGACAGTTAGGAACGATATCTCACGTCGGAAAGAGAAGCATCCTCTATGGCCTTTGGCCCACTTACTCGAGGACGGCAGCATGGAGTGGGAGGGGACGGCAAATGGCCACGATAACTGTCCGCTACATCTCAAAGTAGCCGTGAAGAAGAACATGGAGGCTCTTGTGAGCGTGGGTTTCCTGCCGGCCGCGCGTCAGCGTCAATCACAGCGAGCTGGTCGAGCTGCCGTAGGCATATTTTCTAGGACTTGAGTGTTCCAAAGGCCGGGAGTAATGGGGTTGGTCTCCTTTCAAATCTTAGGCAGTATTAAGATGCCTAGAAATATGCAAATTGTCAGCACTATGCTTTATGGCTGTTTGTTGCTCGAATCGGCTGCTTATTGTTCCATGTCTGTTGAGTCTTACTCGAGCTGAATCTTGGCGCGTAATGTAGATGCTAAGACGAGACCCTTGAGCGCGCCGCGGTGACGTAGGTGGTGCACCATCACGAAGCGAGATGTTTAGGTTGTCATCCACGCCCTTGTACCCCCCATGGTAGCCTAAAAATTTTTGAGGAGATTGAAAAAGTCATTGATATCCTTCATCCAGTCTTTAAACACTTTCGACTTGGTTCATCCTGAAATTACAGACTTCCCGAGACTCACTACCTTATCCGCACCACAATGGAAGGCCTGGTCACTATCAAGGCACAGTGCATGTGTAAAGCACACACATTCTCCGCTTCGCTGCCGAAATCTGACTTGCCACTCAACGCATCTTGCTGCCACTGCACATCTTGTCGCCGACTTACTGGATCCCTCTACAACCCTGCCGTTGAGTGGCCAAACGCTTTTGAAGACCTATCTGCTCTGCGCAGGTATGCGTTTTCTCAACACCTTGATGTTTACTCGTGCAACACTTGTTCGTCACAACTCTTCGCCCGTGGCCACAATCCCAGTATCGCTCCATACGTCACGACGGGTGCTTTGGAGAACATTCCTGACCTTGTCAAATATGACAATCACATGTTCATCGGCGACACTATTGATGGCGGCCTTGCGCCATGGCTTCCGAAAGAAGAGGATGGTCACCCGGTTCAGCGCTGGATAGGGCATCGCAACAGCGAAGAAGTTCCATTCGACTGGCCGGTCACCAAGTCTGCCTCTGCCTCTAAGCTGAATACTGGCCCCTCCCCATCCTCGACGCCATTTCACTGTCACTGTAAGGGTGTTCGGCTATCACTGCGAAGCGCCGCCGACTTGGAGGTCGACCCGGCCAAGGAATCGACTTCGACGTGCGTGGATCCGAAGACACTCAAGTTCAAAGCATGCTGCGACTCGTGCAACTCTTGTCGCCAACATTTTGGGTCAGACATAATTGCTTGGACATTTGCTCCTCTCACGCACATCAATTTCAGCTCTGAACCCGAGTCGGAACCGTCCCAATTCCCGCAGTCAATTGTCGAACTCAAAGAAGCAGTTCTATCCAAGACCAAAGACCCACGCCTTGGGACGTTGGCGGTTTACAACAGCTCTCCCGAGGTAGAGCGATATTCATGTTCAGTATGCTCAGCCAGCATCTTCTACGCTGTCTATGACCGCGAAGACATGGTTGATATCGCGGTCGGTTTGTTAGATCATCCGGATGGTGCACGTGCTGAAGCATTGTTGGCTTGGAATTATGGGCTGCTTGGGTGGGCGAAGGATGCAGCAGGCGGATGGCGAGAACAACTAGTCGCGACGACGAAGGACTCCATGAAAGAGTGGGCCCAATGCATGAACGAAAATCAGAATATCGTCGACTAAGGGGCAGCTCGAACCCACCTGGAGGGAGTTGAGAGCACTCAAGAGTCGAATAAAAAAGAGTAAAAGACTGGCCTTGCTTTTGCGAAGCTTCAAGGATAGCTTCACAAGAGATCTAAACAATCGTCAGCGTCGATGGTTTAGTGGTAAAATTCTCCGTTGCCATCCAGCAGCGTCGGGGAGCCGGGGGTTCGATTCCCCCTCGACGCAATGTTTTGCTTTTGGAGTCCTGGAATGACGTTGCGAAGCGAGCTATGATCCTCGTAAATCTGACAAGCTTGAATTTTTTGATCTTCTCTCCTCTTGGTGGGTGGCTCTTTATAATCGAAATACATGCCTCGAGCTTTTTCCATTATCAACTATTTATTGACATCTACTACTATAAGCGAAACACAGAAAGCTCTCGATCCGTAATTGCATAATCCCTCGGAACCGCCATCGTCGACAGAAACAAAGTTCCAAGACCTTCCGTTCCAAGTAGGGAATTGTAGATGATTCCGAGAGGTGATGCAGCTAGCATAACTGAGGTGCCGTTACTGGCAGACAAGAGCTTCGGTGCCAGTCTCATGAGCCTCAGACCCTCCATCGATGGCTGCCACCTATGTTTGACCTCGTTTGGTTTGTAGAGAGGATCTCCTGCTAGCTTGATTATCGATTCTTCGATATTCCCAGGAAATGGCTGTGGGTGCCGCACGCCCATGTCCAACAAGGCTTCCAGGTTCATAAGTTGTGTGATGGAAGCGTTGTAGATGATTAACTCGGCAGCCTGTTCTGGAGTCTTCACCTCAATTGGCTTAGACAGCAAGTCCTTGGCCCAGAGCAGTGGAACACTTTCTGCTTCTCCTTCGAGAGGCAGATGAATTTCCCTGGCAGCACCTGGGTTGTTGTATTCCCAGCGCCATCTCCAGGCATGTAGATCACTGGAAAGCCGGTCAATTCTGGCATGCGCAGCATCTTTCTCATCTTCAGACAAAGATCGATTTTTTGACGCGATAGAAAAGGTTAGGCCGGGAATGTCGACGAAAATATCCATCAGGAGGTCGTGGGAGGTTTTGGGTATGAAGTGCCAAGGAATAGTTTTCCATCGCGTCTGTTCAAAGAATGAGTGATCATGCTGGTTGAACGAATTGCACGCCTAATGCCACAGTATTTGTTATTAGTATAGGCTCGGAGTACTGAGGAGGCACCAAAGTACCAGGCCCAAAAGTCTCTTACGTGAAGCGCCCTAATTTGGCGCAAATAAGTCAACATCGGCTCTTGCTGAAAGCATTCAGGTCCACACAATTCTATGATTTTCGACATGCCATAATAGTGAGGAACGTTGGGCACGTTTTCCACTGCATACTGCAGTTGTCAGCACACTCAACAAACTTGTCTGACCAAAGTTCCTTTCTAAAGACTTACTTGGTAAAGACTAAGGATGATGATTGTAAAGGCCCACCGAGCCAGTTCCTGATTGGACTTCGCTGATACGGCGTAGTGTAATGCTCTAATTACCTTGCCATTCAACTCATAGCCCTCGGCCAACATATTCGGCTCGTTGACAGAATTTCCCATGAAGCCAAGCGCCGTCGCCAGACTTCCCGTGTAGTCGGCCTTGGCCACATCTGAACTTGACTCTTCGTCCAATGACATTCGTAGGAGAGGTTTCCAGAATGGGGCCCAGCGGTAGTGGGCCATAAGGTGTGAGAATGCCATCCGGTCGCGGAAAGCTGTGAACGGAAGTTCTGGCACGATGTTCTGCTGAATTATGGTACTCGAGCTCGTGTTTGACACTCTAACTAATTGTTGACTGCCACCTGAATCGCCAGAGGCGGCGAAATTTTGCATACGGAGCGGCATCTCGTAGCCTCGGCATTTGTGGCCGGACTTGAGACATCTCTCACATGCGGGTCGAGCTTTGTCTAAGTAGTTTTATTTGCGTCTCAGTAAAGGGACTTCTGGTCAGACTTTACAGGCTGGAAAACTGTACAGCAAGAGGAAGGTGAACAAACCACATTTGACCCGTCTTCGTCGGCAGGTATGACAATAGCCGCTAGTAGGTGGGCGTCCCATGGTGGAACTTGGTTGCGTAAGGTAGGTGAACTTTGTGAAACTTAGAATGCCCGTGATGATTCGATTCTGGGGACTCGTCACACCAGAACAGCCCTCAAAAAGAGAATGGGGATGCAGCAGGTGTTTTGATTATGGGAGGTATTAATAAGAGAACTGGATCTTATCCAGTCCATGGGTATGGACACCGTCTTGAAATATTGCCGAATAGATGCAATTATGATAGTTATCCCTTCACCCCAAGTATCAAAAGACCTGCCCCGGTCCCGATCCCAAACCCGGACATTACGGAGATGTGGGGCAAAACAGATTGAGTAAGCACAGCGAGCGGCAAAGCCCACTTGGTCGCGCGCGCGTGCTTGCAGCTAAGGCACTTTTTGACTCTTTAGTCATCGCATAAGATGTAGGTAAGCCGCACTCTAGTTCTCTTCAGTTCTAATACATCACTTGACTTGAAGTCCGAAGCCCCCACTGGATACCACGGTATCCGTTCTCATTGGCCGGCGTCATGCTGACTGCATCTTCATTTGGTTATTCGTTCTCTGGTCCAATCATAAAGACGTATCTGAAAATGCACGGAACGATCGTCACGGGTACTTTTTTTCTGTTGAGATAATCACGAGGATTATATGCCGAAAGAAGGCACTGGCCCCATCGGTGTCTCCAGTTGCCGCGTTGTCTTAATAGACAATGGCAGCATTATTGTGAAGGATCGCAGGCTGATAGTGGCTCGTGTCTGAGTTACTTGCCTGATGCGTGTTGGCGTTATTTCGATGCTATAGTAGGCCATGTTGAGGGTTGGTCGATAATTCGCCGGAACTAATGATGCAGACATGGAAGTTATGATGCACTCAATCAGCAATAGTATTGACGATCTGCACCTTTGGTCGTAACACTCATTCCCCAAACGCATTGGCTTGTTTTTGTTTCTTTCTGTCGGAAGGACCTTGATATACAACTAAAGAATTGAAATGCTATCTTAAAATAAGTCATTGAACTTAACGTGGTATGAAGGTTGAGCTCACGTCAAGGCCTGCTAAGCTGAGGTAGTCGGAGGCCGGGAGCAGTGACCAATGGATTTACCTAGGTACCTTGAGTGTATACGTACCGTCGAGGCACATACACTGAGTAACTGTCAGTATTGTCCTGCAAATAATACCCTAACAGTACGACGATCTTTCTGTAAAGGTCCTCCGCAAACGATACACCGAGCGGCAGGTTGATGTTGACTGGGGTCAAGATCCTCCGTGCGTGCCGTACCAGCCATGAGTTAGCCGGAAGTACCCAAGTTCAATAAGGAAAGACAGTATCCAAGAACGGCTGCATAGACCTGTGCGCATTACTTGAGATAGAATCTCATATGTAGCCCAGGTATTGTCTTCTACCAGTAACATAATCCATCTATAATCCATCTATAATCCATCTTCTGAACGCAAGCAATGCTGGCAGCTAAGCCCATTGAAGTGAAGATTGTGGACTTTGCCATGGTAAAGTAAATAGGCTGGTTAATCTACAAGTTATTGATACTAGGCCTAAACCCTTCATTCACCCAGCCAATTTGACCTGACAGGTTGACCTAGCCGAACACGTCCTGGTTGATGACATGGATGGATTTGAGGGGGACTTCACAAGCTTCCTGTCTATTCGGGTAGTGGAATAAAAACCGGGTGAGAGTTTGGTCGGCAAGACAGGTGCGACCGACATCTCTTTGTCTCCCTCCCGAGCCGGATTTAAGGTGGAAAGGCACTCTTTATCCGTACAGACCCTTTACTTCCTGGCCAATTGAATGATAATTAGTTCGAGGAGCCTTATTCATAGCCTGGTAGTGGACCCATATGTCTTTGGTTGCAATGTTAATCAAATATACTTTTGTAAGGTGACTTTACACAAACTCAATTCTCTTAGCCGGTAACAGGGACTCCGCACGATCCGACCACTACATAATACAAAAGGCGTTCCGGTTGTAGAAGATACTGGAATACGTTCATGGAAATTGGTTCTTCTATTCTCATCGGAACCACCGAAACTCGGAACCCAGAGGCCATTCCCATAATGAAGCTGACTTTGAACATCTTGGTAATCGCGATTTCCGTGGTCCAGGCGGCCACTTTCCAAAATTTGGTAGAGAAAAGCCTCAATATCTCGTACGACTATGTCATCGTCGGTGGTGGTACCGCTGGCATGACTCTCGCGTCGAGACTTAGTACCGACAAGTCTCGTGAGTTGAATATTTATGACACGTTGGGTCACGCACTTTGAGGGACCTGTACTTCGCTGACATCCCCATAAAATGCAGTCACAGTCCTCGTTATCGAGGCAGGAATACCGTCAGTGAGCTTCGATAATTGCATGCGTGTTGGACTTGGTGAAGGTGTCTGACTCTCAATTAGTGACAACTATGAAGGCGCTGTTATGATTCCTCGATTCTATCCCGGTGCGTCTGGCTTCGCTCCAGGCACCCGGTATGATTGGAACTTGACTTCAACTCCGCAAGAGTTTCTCTCCAAGCAGATCATCAACCTGACTCAAGGACATACGATTGGTGGGAGTAGTACGGTCAATGCGATGATTTTCGATCGCGGGATGCCTTCCAACTACGATGCCTGGGCCGCTCTTGGAAACCAGGGCTGGAACTTTGCGGGTCTACTTCCTTACTTCAAGAAGGTGCGTTTGGAACGATTACTGAGAAGCATGAGTGTTTGCTGCACTAACGTATGCCCAATGTAAAGAGCGAATGTTTCACCGCCGCAACACCCGCGAATTTCGCGACATATGGCATGACATTTGATGCCGCTTGCCATGGTTTTGAAGGGCCTGTCCAATCAAGTTACCTAGCTTGGTCACATCCGAACAACAGCAAGTTGATCCCACACTCGTGAATCGGTCCTTCTAAGACGTAGACTAATCATATCGAACTTACACAGCGAACTTCCTTGATGCCATGCACGGGCTTGGAGTCAGCACGCCGGTGGACCAAGGATGCAACCCACTTGGCGCATACCTAACAACTCATTCTATCGATCCAAGAAACCAGTCAAGATCAAGTGCAAGAACAGCTCATTATGACCAAAATGTAGACAGAGTCAACCTTGACATACTTACAGGGCATCAAGTTACAAAGCTGTTGTTCAATACTGATGGAGAAAAACCTAGAGCTACGGGAGTCGAGGTAAACTACTTCTTAGGCCTGGAGACGTCTCGATGGGAATAGTTGTACTGACTTCATTTGACAAAGTTCTCGGCCGGACCTGGCTTGCCAGTTACTAAAGTTGAGGTTCTGAAAGAAGTCATCGTGTCGGCAGGTGCTCTGAATACTCCGAAGCTCCTACAGTTGTCCGGCATCGGACCAGTATCCCTCACGTCGGGTCATGGCATTCCCTCGCTAGTCAACCTTCCGGGCGTTGGAGCGAACCTGCAAGATCACCCATTCGGGTTGACGCTAGCTTCCTGTAACTTCACTGTCAATTCTCCAGCTACATGGAACTTGTTGCATGACTAACTCAACATCTAGTGAGTGCTGGGATACCCGGAAACTACGAGTTAGAAAACGCAACGTTTGATGCTGAGCAAAAAGATCTCTACTACTCCAAAAGAGAAGGTGAGTTTGGCACTCAAATGAAAATAGCTTCTCCTAAACCAGTTGTTAGGGCGTTGGACGGATACTATTGCAGAGGCACTCGCATTCATACCTCTGACAAACTTCACCCAGTCAGATGTTACTGACGAATTGCTGTCTATTATTAGCAGTGCCGGCGCCGCGCAGTACCTCCCACAAGATACTGACCAAACTGTCAAAGATGGGTATTTGAAGCAAGTACAACAACTTCTAGAAATGCACCAAAATGGCTCCACGGCGGGCATGGAGCTTCTTTACGTCGACGGTGGACGCTCCATAGTAAACATCCTGATGCACCCCTTGAGCCGAGGAACCGTTGCAATCAACTCCACCGACCCTTGGGCGCCGCCGGTCATTGACCCACGCTATCTTTCCCACCCTTACGACGGCCGAGTGTTGGTCGAGTCAATACGGTTCAACCGAAAGCTTATGGCGACAGAGCAAATCCAAGCCCTTGGAGCTACAGAAACGCTACCAGGGGTCGGTACCACGAGCGATGATGACCTTTTACAATTCATCAAAGGAGTCAGCTCTACAGAGTATCACTATACCGGCACCTGCGCTATGCTTCCGAGGTCACTTGGTGGTGTCGTGGATTCCAACCTTAACGTGCATGGGGTCGATGACTTGAGGATAGTCGATGCTAGTATTATGCCTTTACTTCCATCAGCGCATACCCAGGCGACGGTTTATGCGATCGCCGAAAAGGTAAATCGTGCCCCTACATTGGATCAGTCGACTATGAATGAAACTAGTGCGGTAGCTCCAGTGCTGACAAACTTCTCTAACACAGGCAGCCGACATTATCTTACAGCAAAGTTTTTGATGCAAATGGAAAGAAGTTGGATTCGACGAGGACTTTACAAGAAATGACAGACGTTGGATTGCTGTCTGGCCTGGGTACTCACTGGCAGATGATCTCTCGTTCAAGCTCCATAGCTTTTGTGCCGCAGAAGATTTGTTTTACTTCTGTGACTAGTGCAACCTGCTGTTACATTGGCAATGACTTGACAACCCTGTGGACTGCAGGAAACACTCTCCCTGGAACATCCTGCTGGCAAATTTTCAAGCCTCGAGTGCCTCAGATGCTCAACATCATCATATCTCAGAAAACAATAGCAGGCACAGCCCTTCCCGGCTCGTGAGAGCCACAAAGGGATGGCTGATAATGGAGGGAAGCTGAGAAATCGTCGTGTGGACCAGAGGGCTGGGCCGGAATAGCGGTGCCGCCTCCTGCATGTCAGCATGTCCCGCCGCAAGGATGTGCTACTCGAGCCAATGATGGTCACTACCGATTCTCGCGAACAGGGGACTGGGGCCCCTCCCAGGCCAACTCAACCAACCAACTGGGACCATGACTTCAGCCAGCTGGCCGTTTTGCCTAGTGCTTACCATGGGGTTGGAGTTGCTAGAATATGACTTCCAAGCCTGCGATTCTAAGTTCGAGCGGTGTTTTGATATAGGAGGCTGGCTCCAACTCTCATGATGAAGCAAAATTGTATCTTGGTTCAAAAAAGATAGGGTTTGGAGCGCACTTTGCTAATTCCATTAGATCCACAGACGGCGTCGGGGCGAACCTTAGTTCAGCCATATTGTGGCACATATGATCGAATGAGAAGGCAACAACTTTCAGCACTAGCCTACCCGCTAGACGTCCATATGACCACCATGCTCCATCAAGCTGGAGAGCCTTGCGGCCCTGGTCTTCCAAGACAATTTGAATCATTTGTCGTAGCTGTTCCATTATGGGGAAGTGCAGGGGTTACACGTGATACTAGACCCTGCGCAGGGGCTGATTCTGGCTGCCTAGCTCAACATGCATTTTGTCTCAGCTAGGCTCGCATCAGGCTGGCTACAAACACATAAGAATACTATTGATAAATCGGGCTTCCTTCTAGCCTTTCTCACTTTCAATATTTCAAGAGACATTCGGCCTCTGAAATCACTGGCCCTACCTCTTGCCAGCTCAATGTCAGCGTGTACAGCCGTTCCGAGTGCCTAGAGGAGCAACATCAACTACCTGCATCTCGGGCAGCCCCATCCGATCGCCAGCATGTCATCTTCCGACTCCACGAGCTCATCCGGCGGCGACAGTGACAACAACGACAACCAAGTTGAGTTGATTGTAGCCGTTGTTGCCTTGGTGATATCAGTCCTCGCCTTCATCATTGCAATTTTCCAAGCCCTCCAACAATACTACGCATCGGCAACCGGCTATTCATCATGTACCCCGAAAGTCATGGGAGATTGGGCGAGATTCACTCGTCGACGGTTCAGATGGTACGAGTTCCGTTTCGAAGTGGAGTTTGAAGTTCCGGTCATCTTCGTTGCGCCGCCGACAAACCCAAGGGGGCCTCTCGGCGTGCACGACGACAAGGAGATCACTTACATGACCGGGACGACAGACAGTTATAAGAAGACGTATACCTGGGACCAAGAAGAATACGACAAGCATTCCAAGACCTTGCGGGCCGGGATGACACGTCAAGCCATCCACACCGCTGACAACGAACTCGCAAATTGGACGAGTCTGTTGATGGCTATTCAGCGTATGGAACGGGAGTCGCGAACGTGGCAAGATAAGGAGTATTTCGGATACAACCCTCAATGGGAAGCCCAAACACCGTGTCATCCGACCCAATCCAGCACTCCGGTACCTTACACGCTTACCGTCGGCATGCAGAGGAAGAAAAAGTCTTGGGATAGCATGCCAGACAACATGAAGAAGCCGTACGCAACAACGACGATCTCGCACCTGGTAGAGATGGCAGCGATGTTGGGTGTTCACTGGAAAGAGTTCAATCGCAACGAGGACCGTTACCGCGGACAGGGCAACGGATTCAGCATCAATGGATATGATGTTGACGACCTCGGCATCGTCTTCACCTTTGAGAAGACTGGACCGACTTGGTTTCACGAGAACAGGGTGGTGCCGAATAACAAGGTCAAGGAGCTTTGTTTTGGGTACTGCCCCACGATTTTCCGTCAGCAGAACAACGACAACTACAAATACGCCGACGAACCGAAAGACATCGGAACGCTTCAGCTCGGTAGTATGTCAGCTATCGCAGAGACTCTGGTCGTGATCGGTTGCAACACTAATACTGTCCGGCACTTCCGAAAGTCAACTCCAGATACACGGCATATCCACCTGTTTCCGAGTGGGTCTTGTCCTCATCATTCCAACCAAGCTTGAATACTGACTATGATGTAGTTGCTTTCGAAATGTTAGGTATGGTGGGTGGTGTCTTACAGATTCCCGGCACGGCTTTCCGCATGCTCCCAAACCCAACCATCTGGCATTGGGACCGAAAGTCATTTTCACTGAGAACCTTTCTCAGCGACTACGTCCATATCATAGGCGAGTCGGCAGAGACCGAAGCCATGCTCAAAAACACAGAAGGGTCTCGAATTAGCGTGATTATCAAGGAAACCGGCAAAATTGAAGACAAATTCGAAGAGCTCGAATCTCGAGACGGCCCGGAAGCGATTTTGAGACGCACAAACAACACTGAGGAAAGAATTTACTCTAACGACCTAGTCATGGCTTTGCACTCGGCCATCTCGAAATGTGATGAGTTCCTTCAGAGTCAAGAGAGGATACACCTGGTACAGAACGTCCTGCGCGTACACCTGCAAGAGCTTCTGCGTATTTTGAACGATAAGGAAGGGGAGTACAAGACAGTTGTGGTTACAACAGGAGATGCTACCCGGTCCAAGAGGGACTCGAGACACGATCTCGTTGTTCCCGGCGCATCCCCTATCCTGAAGACGCGAGAGGAACACGAGGAAACCGAGAAGGAGGTATCGCTCCTACAGAAGCTGGATGCTGCGTCTTCGAGCGAAAGACATAGCGTTTTAGCTGAGATATACCTTCTCTCCGTGCGCAAGCGGGTCATCGATGTTGTTTGCAAACAGCTGCGGGCCGAAAAGGCTCGCAAAGGGCGCGGAGCCAGGTCGATCATCTCTGATGCTTCTACGGACGTACTTGCTCATGACCAGCAACAGCAGATTAATGATGTTTGGTGCATGCTTGTTTTCCGAATGGTATGCTGGCTGCTTCTGCATGATTTCCATGGCAAGGATATTCAAGTTGAGAAGAGCGAGGTATTTGGAAGCCGTTTGCCAGTCTACATTACATAGAGGGGGGCCCAACTGGCGATTTAACGAATTACGATGGGATGGAAAATGTTTCAACAATGGCACCGTGCATTGCATAACTACTTGAGCTCATCCGCTGCTTTTGATGGCTCCTTTCGAGGTTGTCATAAGTCTCTTGATATCTAATTGCTATTTAGACCGGCTCACTTTGCATGCCCACAAAAGCCATCCATGCGATCCCAAAAAATACACAAGCGCTAATCATCAAACATTCAAGCCCCATTGGTGCCACTGGTCCCGTTCTCACGCTTCTGCAGCTCTTCGCGAACCGCAGGCAGGATATAGCGACCGTAATCAATAGCGTCGTTGAGGTTGTCGTAACCACGGATCGAAATCAGATCGGCACCTAGGTCGACGTAGTCCAAGATGGAGTCGTTGATAGTCTTGGGAGATCCAACCAATGCTGTAGAGGCTCCACGGGCGTTGGTCGCAGTGACGGTGGGGTACCACAGCGCTCGGTCCTGGACTTCGCCCTTCTTGGCGATGTCAAGCAGACGCTGCGAGCCGACGTTCTGGGGCTCGGGGCCATTCTGACCAGGCTTACCCTGTCCGGCAGAAATGCTACCCTTGAGGGCTTCGAGCGTGCGGTGTGCCTTAGCCCACGCAAGTTCCTCCGTCTCGGCAATGATGGGACGGAAGGTAACCCAGATGCGGGGCCGGTCCTTGCGGCCGGCCTTCTCGGCCTCGGCGTAGATGCGGTCGATCTGCTCCTTCGTCTCCTTCAGCGGCTCACCCCATAGTCCGAAAATGTCAGCGAGAGAGCCACCAATGCGGTACGCCTCAGGCGACGAGCCGCCGACGGAGACGGGAATTGTGCCCTTTGTCGGACGGACACTGCTGTGGAAGTCTTTAAAAGTGTAGTACTTGCTCTCCCAGCTAAAGGGCTCCGGCGATTCCCATGCGCGGCGGAGGATCTTGATATAGTCCTCAAGGCGGCCATACCGCTCGTCCTTGGAAAGGAAGTCACCCTCCTTGGCTTGCTCGGCATCGCTTCCGCCGGCGATGAAGTGCACGACGACGCGACCCTTGCTGAGTTGGTCAAGCGTTGCCAGGGCTTTCGCGGCGACGGTGGGGTAGAGAGTGTTTGGCCGCAGGGCGATGATGACGCTGACGTTCTTAGTCACTGCTGCGATGGTCGCGCCGATTGTGAAGGGGTCAAATGAGTTTGAGCCATAGGGAACGAGTGTGTAGTTGAAGCCGTAGTCGTCCAAGTTCTTAGCGTAGCGGACTAGGAACTCGGGGTCAACGCCAGCACCGGGGATCGGGTTGATCTCCGTTGAGGCGTTGGGGAAAGTTACACTGATGAACTCGGTCGGCATTTTTTCTATGTGATTTTTGGGTTTGGGTATCAAGACTGCTGAATTATCTCCTCGTAAGACGTTGCTATTCGTGGATCATGTGGCCGCCTATATACATCCGTTGCACGATATGACGACAACTGCAAGATAATCACGCCTTACACCCCGAGCCGATTTCGGCAAGGAGTTCCCCAGTGAGATGTCACCATAACCCCATCTAAATCCAGAATGTTTTATCAATATGGAAAAGAACAGCGGCATTCTCGTTAGCTGTTTTGGATAGCCTCAAGAGGAAATCGTCAGTTCTTCAATGCAGTTTACTGTCGGGCGAGATGCGATCGGTGCGCGGATACTTGGCGACGTCTCCCCAGACTGGGGCAAGTCCGCCGAGACGCGCCAACCGGGACCTCACATTAAGACAAGAAACCACAACCAAGATTGATCTGTTGATTAAGAGTTTCTGAAACTGCCGAAAACATTCATCAGCAAAAAAATTACCCCGCTCGTCGTCAACACGCAATTCTCAGGATCAGTTCCACACATCCACAACTTGGAGCCAACGTCGGCCATGCCCGCACACCTGGAGCCCCGAACGCTTGACATTGGCTGATTCAAGAGGCGCAGTGCCTCCGACGCGGATCTTATCGTGCCATTTACTTACAAATCAACGATTGTGCAAGAGGCGAATTACTATGGTGATTTGTCAACAGATATGGAAACATGTTCCGGGCGCACCTCCGCAACGTTCCCCACGCCTCAAGCCGTCATTGCCTCAAGGGTAGGCTCCATTGAGGGGAGAGAACCCAGAGTTACTCCACCTATTGAGTGTTAGGCATGTTGTTTATGATAGACGTGTTCTTATGTTGAACCCATGACGAACACCCCCAAATGTCTCTAGGCAGTAAGAGAGAAGGTAACCTACAGTGCTTCATAATTATCAGACGGGTAAGGAACAACATCGACTCTTCCGGTTCCGTCACGCGATGGAACATTAAGTGCTCAATCTTGCAAGCACCACAGCAGTTGGTCAAAGTGATTGAAATTCATGCAACGTAACAAACGTTCAACCTGAACTATGTTGAAATCTTGCGCGTCCAGTCTACCCTAGTTGAGGAAACATGCAGCCTTGAACGGGTCTCTCTTTCCAGGTGAGATTGGCCTTGTCAATGACGACGTCTATCTAGAATATAGCTAAATGAAGTAACATGAGTCAAAAGGAAACCTTTCTTAGTACTCTATGGGATACTGGAAGAAGTGAACGAAAAAGTAAAGTGAGTTGTTGTGTAGTAATAGGAATTACATGTCGAAAATCTTGAGCCTTTTGAGATCCTAGAGACACTCTTCGGCAGTTTGAATCCTCGATATTTGGAAGTAAGAAATATGAGCTCCGCGGTTCATGAAGATTTCTTCTTCCAAAGTTGAGCGAACGAGTGCTTTTTCGGCACCCGAGCCAACCAATACAGCGACAGAGCTGCGAATAGGTTGAAGATGATGTAGACCCACATCAGCCCATACGACCGCCATCGTCTGCCATACGACGTAGAAGTGGTGGCCAGGAACGCATCTGTCGTGGCCAGTGGGCAGAACTGGCAGACGTCGGTACTGTTGGGGTTGAAGACATTGCCGCCGGCCATTTGCATATACGGCGCCATGTAATCACCACACGAGGTTCCATTTGCCGGACTGAATTGTAGCAACTCGAGCTGAGAGCACTCGACTTTGTTGTGTGCTAGTCCCGTGGACAAGAGACCTTCAACGAGGTATGTCAAGGGCGAGACGCGGTACATGAACTTCCAGAAACCTGGAAGGGCGTTGACCGGTACAATGACACTTTCAATTCGTTAGTCTCGGATGTGAGGCAGGCCGAATTGGTGATGGACTTACCCGCAAAAGATCAGACATAGGGCAAAGAGCAGAAGAGAAAGAGTTGCGCCAATCTCTGCTGTCGGCACACCAGCGACAACCATGTCGGCAAAGGTAGACTCGAACAGCATGAAAGCCCAGATTAGTAGGAACATGAGGCCGCCACGTTCCGTGACCGCATCCGTCGGAATAGCATTGCGATACATGCCGACGAGATAGTAGAACGGGAAGAAGATCACAATGGCAGCCAATGTGTTCCAGGGAAGCTCGACAATGATGTTGACCAGCACGAATACATACCACGAGTACGCCCTAGAGGCGCGCTCTCTCGCCTCGTATTGTTCACGTTGCAGGATGAAGTTGGGCATCGTTTGGTAGACGAGGAAGGCAAAGACCACCAGCAACATGAAGATGGAGAACATCTGGCTCTGGAGGCCTTGCATTGTAAGCGGTGAGTTGTAGAAAGATACGCCGATGAACAAACTCTGTACACAAGTGTTAGTTGGAACCTCGCCATCGTCGTCGACTAAAAGCAGTTGAGACAAACCGTGCCCCCAGACAAGATGAGCTTGGAGTAAATGTACGACGGCGTGCGCCAATACTGCTGAAAAACTCTCTCGGTGCACAAAGCAAGCTGAACATGGAAGGGCGCGGCATAAGTAGACATCTCATCGGGACTCGTCGTTGAGCCGTTGGGCGCCAGGCCTTGTTCAAGACGCTCAAGCTCGCGGCGCATATCGGCACACTCGTGACTCTCCTTCCAAGTCTCGGGCCAATCCCTCTCAGCCTTTGCGCCAGGCGCAGCGCCGATGACTTTGAGCATCCACTCAGCGGGGTTCTCGTCCTGCCCGCAGGGCATTGCTCCATATTGCTCAAAGTAACTCGTGAGCACGCGGGAGTTCTCGCCAATGTCGCCAAAGTAGACTGTTCTTCCGCCGTGTGCCAGAAGGAGAAGTCGGTCGAATTGCTGGAATAACAGAGCGGAAGGTTGGTGGATCGTCACGAGGATGGCTTGACCGTTCTCGGAGAGCTTTCGGATCAGTGATGAGATTGACCACGCTGTCTGGCTGTCGAGGCCTGAGGTTGGTTCGTCGAGGAAAAGGAGGAGATCGGGTTTGGCGGCGAGCTCGACGCCGATGGTCAGTCGTTTTCTTTGCTCAACATTCAAGCCTGGGAACATCAATCAGCTATGACTCTTCGGGAATCGAATATCGTAGTGGACTGGACACTGACCTTCTCCAGGTACTCCAACAATGGCATCGGCGTAAGCTTCCATTTCCAGAAGCCCAATCACCTCTTCAACATAGTCATACTTCTCTTGCTTGCTGACAGATGCTGGCTGGCGCAGCATGGCACTAAATCGTAAGGCTTCCCTGACAGTGGATGTCTCGAGGTGGATATCTTGTTGCTGAACGTAACCGGCCTTTCGCTGGAAAGACTGATCTCTGGGAATGCCATTGACCAAGATATCCCCAGTCACCACACCCATGGTCACTCTATTCGCCAGCACGTCAAGCAGCGTTGTCTTGCCAGCGCCAGTAGAGCCCTGAACTCGTCATCAGCACTCCAGAGTCAACGCCAGAACGGTCGTTTACTTACCATCAAAGCAGTCAAAGTTCCTGGCTTCACCCATCCGCTAGCTTTGTCAAGAATTCTGCGGTTGTTGCCCTTGATAGAAATGTCGTAGCAAACATCTTTCCAGTGAAACACCGATTGGCTCTTGTGGATCGCGGCTTGCTTGACGCCAGACTGAGCGACATGGCCCTCGGACTTTTCGTGTTGATATACGCGTTCAGATTGGCCGGTCTCTTCGTCGGATGAGTTCTTCGATAGTTTCGGGGCCGAATGCCCGCGCTTGAAGATCAATACTTCACCCTTGGAGCGGTCTGTGGTGATGTACTCCGCTGCAAAGAGGTAGACGCACATGAAGAAGACGATGAATGCGATCAAGATGCCAAAGTTCCTGAGCGAAATGTTAGAAAACTCCATAGCAAACTTCGACAAAGAGGATGACATACCTCCAGATGTGAGACTTGTAGTAACTGAAAGTGGTATTCATGTAAACGTCGCCATCTACGAAGTCCGCACCGGGAGCAGCGCCAGCAACAGAGCACGTTCTCTCATTTGGCGCCGCAGTCGGGTAGGCCGGAACAAACGAGGGACAGGGAAATTGTCGACCGTTGAACTCGTTGGCAACCAGACTCTCAAACGCATAGGCGATGGGGTTGATGTAGTTGATCCACCGGAGCCAGCCCTTCATGTCGCGAGTCGGAAGGATGAAGCCGGTGTAGATCACGAGCGACAAGATGAAGATCGCGGCCGGTGTCAAGGCTTGGTGGATGGTGCGGGACGTCTGGCCGATGGTTCTGATAATCATGGACATTGAGAGTGTGGTGGTGAAGCCAAAGAGGAGGAAGATGAAGAAGGCATCGGCCTCTTGGCGGAGCTTCGCCATGAAGTAGAGTGGAATATTAAAGGCCAAGGTCGACAGAATCTTGCTGGGAAGATCGCAGATTGTCGAAGAGATGGCTTCGGATGCGGGGTGATATAGGGCATAGCGAGCGTGCTTTTCGACAATGGGCCTTTGGACATATAGTGTGAGGATCTTGATATCGGCACGTTAGCTTGCGCGCCCTCGTCGTAGGCCATGTGGCGGCAGAAGAATGACATACCTCAAGGGCACTGCTGAGTCCGTTAAATAAGATAGCAAAGAACAACAGAATGCAACGAGAATTCATGCTCGATGCATCAGAGGGCAGGTCGAAGAAAATACTTCCAAGAACCAGAGAAATAACCAGGTTGCCACCAACAGTGACAACGAAGAACAGCCAGTCACCCAGGAGACGCTGGTACCCACGCGTCATGCAGAGCCAGATTTGCATGGGCATGGAGATAGTGTAAGGTGATTGCGGTGTTCTTCTTGACCGTTAGCGAATTGTTCTTCTCCCCTTGTTCATTAACATTCATCAACACTTACACAAGAGAGGCTTTATGAGCCTGACGCGTCGCGACAAACTTGTCGACCCCTGATCCGTCGAGGGGATGTTCCTCCTCGAAGGCAAAGATCTCCTCCATCAGGCGTGCCCTGGCGTCACTCCCCTTCCACACGATTGCAAACTCGTCTGGCGTTCTGGGAACTCTGTTCTCGAACCCTTCTCGAACGATTCGCTCTGCAGGGTTCGTGAGGGACGTGAGGAAGTCGGCAGTGGTTTGCCGGTCGGGGCAGCGGTAACCCATGTCGATGAAGTACTGTTTCGCCATCGCCGTGGAGCCAAAGTAGATCTGGCGACCTTCGTAAAGAACCGCAACCTTGTCGAATACCTAGACAAGTATGAGCCAACAAGGATGAAATACGAGTTTGTGTTGGAGAAACTGACATCATATGCCGGCTGTGAGGCTTGATACATCGCAACAATGGCCGAAGTCTTTGCCATGTCTGTAGACAGTCGCAGAGTCCGAGCAAACTCCAACGCAGTAGCACTATCCAAACCACGAGTACTATTGTCCCAGCACTGGATAGGACTCTGGCTGAGCGTTACCTCTGCAATACTCACGCGCTTGCGCTCTCCTCCGGACACACCTGTCTAGATTTAGTCGAGGTTGCCTCAAAGCTGTCAACTTGTCAAAGGTTTGAGCCACTCACCACGGACGAAGTCATTTCCGACCTTTGTGTTAATGGTATGGGAGATGCCAAAGACGGCCATCACGACGTCCCGCAGGTGCTCGGCGTACCTCTGCCTACTGACACCAGGAAGTCTGTTCTTAGGTGTTCTTGCGAGTGAGGCGAAGAGGAGAGTCTGCCCGACTGTGAGATGGGGGAAGTGGATGTCGGTTTCGGCTTGGTAGATGACTTCGCCGCGAAAACGCTTGTGCATTGTTTCCATTGGGATGCCTGTTGGCAATGTTTGTGGGAGTCAGCTATTGTGATATCCAACTTGATACCCCCAATGGAGTCAAAACGATGCTGTCACTGACCTTGATAGCTAAAGTGTGAGTGGTCTCCGAGATGAAGTCCCTGGGTCTCACCGGCGATCGTCTTGAGCAGGGTAGAAACACCACTGCCGGGGCGACCCAGTACCAAGAGCATCTCGCCACTCTTGATGATACCGTCAAACTCCCTCAAGATGTCAATCTTTTGACGACGTTTGCTGACAGCCTGCTTGATCATCATGGGTGCTTGCCAGAGGACATTAAGAACATCCTTCTGGTAATCCGTATCAGTACCAAAACCGTGGACGCTCAAGTTACGATAGGCAACTCCAGCTTCGAGTCTGGGATAGTCCTCGGGATTGTGATATGAGTGCTGGAGGAGGGCTCGGGCCCATTTCTTGGCGTTGAACTCTTCGCGACAGCTTGGGTCCAAGGCAGGATGGTCCGACAGAAACGGGTTGATACCAGGGTCGAGTCTTGATGCTGAACGGATGAGGTCGAGACTGTAAGGTCGGACAAGCGCATTGACTTGGGCATCGTTGGCTTCAATATCCATATTATTTCGGTGGTCGTCGTGCTCCTGAAAGGCTTTAGCGTGCAAGGTGTCGTCCGACGGCTTAGACATGACGTTGCCACTGTCACCCTGCGAACGATACATTTTGTGACTTGTTATGCTGATCACACAACGTGCAGATGAGAAAGGATCTGAAGATCGCAGGAGAGAGGAGGCTCAAGCAATGTCACCCACCGGGGATCACGAGGAAGTTATATCTTGACAGGTTTCTAAAAAGAGGCACCCTCCTCGTTAAAAATAAGTTTTCAATGGTCAGCATGAGGCAGACATGTGAAAACAACAACACACATACGCATTATCAACGTCAATATACGCATTATCGGCGAGTTGACATGGGGAGGATGAACCCGAAAAGCAGGGTCCAGATCACTAGCGTCACGTCACGCTGCCGAAGCTTACTTTTCGCGAGCCGAGCCTCACGGCCCAATTTCCATGTTTTAGCTGCATATTGTGCGGCTTTGTTGATGTAGGACAGCCGTATAAATCATGTCGGCGCCGAGATGGGGGGACTCAACGCAAGAAAAGTTGACGAAGTTGACAAGAAAGCACCCACACGCGCCGCAAAGATCTTGATCGCAGATCCCGGGATGGCGGCGTTCTGAAGTGGTCCGATGCTTGCGTACAGTTACCCGATTCGGCATCTCGGGCGCGAGACTCTACACCCACATGGCGGCCGAACTTCTCCAAGTCTCCACTCTCCCAAAAGGCAAAAAAGGAACCGAGCTCCTTTTAACATAAGCTGAATGTCTTGGTCCCCTCCCCCCATGCGAACCACATCCTCGCATACTTACAGATCTCGTCTCCGACCTACTCGTCTTCGTCTCTCGGTGCTGTTTTGTTTCCAGTCTGCATTTCATCTCATCCTCTGCGAGCCGAGACGATGACTGCTGATAAGCCCTCGCCCAGTTCTACTGGTGTTGGTGCTGCGTCCCGAACCCACAAGTCTTGCGATGCTTGCAAGTCACGCAAGGTCCGCTGTCCTAGTACGTGACTCGAGAGAGCTTATTGCCATATCGTTTCTTTATTCAAGATCAGATGGGTTAACTTTGTAAACAGGTAACGGTCCGCCTGGACCTTGCGCGAATTGCATTGTGAGTAGTAAAGCCTACTGGTTTCTCTTCTCCTGGCAAGACATGCCCGTTTACTCACAAAACTTGAACCTGTAAGCGTCGAAAAGAAGAGTGTCGCTTTAGTGTAAAAAGGCTAGCCCACAGGCGCAACGGTAAGCACGAGCAACGAAACACCCGCCATACAATAGTTACGCACTCTGAAGAGCAAACACAACAGCTTTGGACGACTTTCTATGGCAAAAGACTGCAAATTACTAAGTAAGCACCCAGTTGCCGGACAACTTCTGCCAACGAATTACTCGCCCTCGAGCAATCGACCGCCCAGTCTCCCAGACGCCAAAGCCGTGCTAGACTTGTCGACATCAGATGGAGAAACCAAACCATTAGTTCTCCCAGATCGCACATCGCCAAAATCCCCTCCCCACCGCATCCAAGAGCTCCACGTCGATCGCGTCCTCGCACGAGCACAGAGACCAAAGACCTCTACCGGAAGAGGACAGGAAGAAATCATGTTTGTACCAGTAAGCACCATCGGCCACTCTTTTGATGTCATTTGCGCATGTGAGCTTGCTGGAAGCTGACAGAACGTCAACAGCGCAATGGCATTTTTGGTATTGAAGAGCCACATGCCCTCAGTGGCTTGCACGTACTAACAGATCAAGGGGGCCGGAACAGCCTCACGTTCTTCTCCGACAACAGGCTCCTGTCCCTGTCGACGCGCCTCCAGAATCAAAAGGTGAACGAGCTCGTGGGGCGGATTTCCGTCATTGTCAATGGGCGGTTACGTCGTACCGACTCGACCACCACGAACCCCCGTAGGACGCAACCTCCAGACTTGGGTACCGACAGGGTGCGCGCTGCCTTGTACATTCGCCGTAATTCTTCTCCGTTCCACTTCCTGTAGTTTCGTTGAGTGAGACAGAAGCTAAGCATAGTCAGTTTACTTTGAGCGGGTGCATCCCATGTTCCCGTTCCTCGACCGCACGACTTTCGAGACTACGGTCTCAAGTCCCAACTTTCCCAATCTCCTCGAACGGAGTAAGCCGTGGTGTTGTCTCTACTACTGCGTCCTTGCTTTGGGATGTCAGTACGCTGACGGTGGCACATTCGAGCCTGGCAAGGGCGAGTCTTGGCGGCTGTTCTCTGTCAGCTTGAGTGGCTTTTCGGAGCTGCTATTGCTTCCCGATTCTCTGACCACCTTGCAAGCACTGACGGCCATGTCTGTATATGGCTTAGGAATCTCAGGCCTGGCAGTCGAACCCGTCATCATGTCAGAGGCAGCAAGACGGGCTCAGATTATGTCGAGTCATAGCTTCACTGGCCCGACAGCCCACGCCTACCAGAAGTCCTTCTGGATCCTGTACGCCATCGAGAAAATCACCAGCTTCCACTTCGGAAGGAGTTCTGTGAGTACCTTGATGCTCTCCCCATCACTACTTGGATCTTTCGTTCCTATGGATGCCCACTTTCCTTTACCCTTCGTCTTCTAACACTGCCAAGAGCTTTGTCGATAGTGACATATCCTGTCCAATCCCAGTCGTTCCCGAAGCAACATCGGGAGACTTTAGCTGGTTTCTGCACTTGGTGCGCTTCGCTCGTCTCCTTTCTCGCGCATACACATCGCTCTTCTCGGTCGGCGTGTCGGGTAACTCCGATTCGTATTACCTTGACGTGATTGACCAGTTGAATGGTGAACTAGAGGAGTGGAGAGCATCTCTACCCGACAATGGCTTTCGCCCGGGCGGAATCTTACGCCCTCAAACCGTGTCCGGCCCCAATGCGAGATCGTTGGCTCTCATCCTCCATTATCTCTACTATAGCATGCTACTGACTCTCGCGAGAACCACGCTGTGCTATCTGCCTGTTCCTGAGACGCCGGCGGTCACAGCGACAAAGGATGACAGGATGAAGACTATCCTGAATGCATCAAGGGCTATCTTGGAGTTGACTACAATGATTGAAGTTGAACCATACACGGTGACATGGTGAGTAGGAGGGCGCCCAACATCTTGTTTTCTCCCCCGTTGTCGTTATATGGGTTGCTAACAATGACCCCAGGGTCCTTGCGGGAATTCCCATCACAGCGCTTTTCGTCTTATTTGACCTCGTAATTCATGATCCTCGGCAGCCAGACACAGGTACCAACCTGGCTCTGCTCGACATGGTTGCTGGTCACTTCAGTCGGATTGAGTATGCCAGCGGTGGCACCGTGCCTGGTTCTTTGATCGCCGAGTTCGCAAAGATTGCGCGGGACTACGTCAACGAGATTCAGCTTACCGAGGCTGGCTTGACGAATCCCGCGAGACCACATGCACCTGCGAACCATTCCGCGATGCAAATGGTACAGCAGTCATCAGAGCTTGATGGCGGAGGCAACAAACAAGTGGCTAGGCCAACACAAATGACTCTGGATCTGTCTGATGTAAGTTTCTGGCCCTTCATATTTGTCGTTGAAAAGGGGGCATTCCTAATCGTTATTGGTGCCGAAGACTATGCCGATATCTGGGTCGATGCAACAACCAGGATACACCGACTTTGCGTTCGACAGTGGGATGGGTCAGGTGTCTCCCAGTGCGCTCATGGGGACCGACGTGATGGGAATCTTTAATTATTTCCTCCCCGATCTGGACCCTATGTTTTACCAGGGTATGACGCAGGAGTACGATCTGCTACCGCAGCAGCATGGAGGGACCGTCCAAAGCATGGACAAGTGATTTGACGCGGACGGGGTCCAATTCTTAATTTCCGTCCGTTTACCAGGCCAGATGCAGCATGACATAACCTTGTTTTTGGAGCTATAATAATGCGTCACCCCCAACGAATACTAGCAGCTACCTTAGTTGCCACGCCTGACAGTCGAGATCATTGCTGGGCATAATGACGAAATACTTATATAGAGCAGAACCGCACGTTCGCTGAATATCTTCCAGGATCGAAAAGAAGGTCAGATGATGGTGTGTGTGGGTGGGAGGGACTTGGTCTTCGGTGGCAGTGAGCTCCGGGATCCCGGGCTTCGCTCCGGTCCGCTGCAAGGATCAGCCGGGTCTCGGACGGTCTAAAGCAGCCTAGCGTCTCCATTAAAGTCCGTTTGGTGGATCCCCAAATGTCGTGGCCCCCTGTCCTTTTTCCCACAGATGTGCGCGCACGTTTAAAAGAGTCTTGCCGCCAACAGAGCAGAGCTCAAAGAGAAACTTATCATGCGATGAACGACAACTCACACACTTCTCTGATCACTAACGAGCCCCATATTCTCATCTGTAGATCTTGATGGCATCCGAAAGTCCAGCTTCGCAGGCGAGTACTCCGGCAGGCGACAAACCACGCAATGTCTTGGCCTGCGTCTTTTGTCACCAGCGCAAAATCAAGTGTGACCGCAAATCCCCCTGCGCGAACTGCATAAAGGTTGGTTTGTCATCATCTCACACGACTCTTCAGCCGTTGCACCCGAGGTCGACACACACCCACTTCGATGCGCATGCTCACTGTCCACTATAGTCTGATCAACCATGTGTCCCATCGACGCGAGCACCACCAGGAGCCGGTAGAAGGCGCGTAGTGAAAGACCTGTTGGAACGATTAAATCAGTGTGAGAGTCTGTTGAGCCAGGTTGCTCCGCGCGATGCCGATGGACGCCCCGTAAATCCCGATACGCCGGGTTCCTCACGCGATGTGGCGGACAGCCCGGCAATGTTCCATATAAGCTACGAAGAGGCCCGGAAGCAACCCAGCTCGAGACCAAATGGCAAGATTGTCTGCGATGAGGGTCGACCAACCTTTATGGAAAATCCCTTCCGCGGAAATGTCATTGACCATGTAAGTACACTTCGACAAGATCCCAAGCATCAGTGAAGATCTAAGTGAGATCCCAGCTCCAATTCTCAAAGCTCAGTCTCGACGATAATGACACCGAGAAATCAACGAATCCGTCAGGTTCTACCAGCGTCTCAGAACACGGCGATGTAGTTCACCAAAAGTCTATGGATTTTGACATATTAGCCCTAGGACCAGTTGAAGTTCTCCGCCTGTGGCAAGTATTTTTAGAACGAGTCAACCCCATGATCAAGGTCATCCACGTCCCTAGCTTGGAACCTCTAGTCTTCGAAGCAGCAACAGACCGCTTCAACCTGAGCCCGGACCTCGAGGCTCTGCTCTGCTCCATCAACGTCGTCGCAATAATGGCTCTTTCCGAAGTAGAATCAATCCAGATGCTCAACGTCGAAAAGGAAAAGGCATTGCGGAATTCAATGTCTGCACTAAAGAAAGCCATGTCCAAAGTGGACTTCTTACGAAAGTATAACATGACCACTTTACAATGCTTAGTGCTGTACCTAGTAAGATGTCTGTCCTGTGCACGCGAAGGTATGATCTGACCGCAGGCTAGGTATCTCTCCAGGGGCAATTCGATCGTCATGCCGCTTGGGTGTTGACCGGCATGCTCGTCAGGATAGCGCAGAGAATGGGCCTTCACCGTGATGGAGATCTCATAGGTCTGCAACCCTTCGAGACCGAGATGCGCCGCCGTATCTGGTGGCAGATCATCATGCTGGAAACAAAATACGCCGTCCTCGCAGGTTTCGGCGACACACTCCTCCCACCCAACTGGGACGCAAAACTGCCATCAAATGTTAACGACGCCGACCTGCTACCGGGTTCAGCAGAGCCCGTCAAGTCTCGTGACGGAGCAACCGAGATGGCATTCTGCCTCATGCTTTACGAATCGCGCGCCTTCTTCTGCGACAACCCCATGCCCGAGTTCGAAGCAGTTATCCTGAGCGGGGAGAAAATCAGCCCAGAAACTTCGAGAAGGTTCTCCGGCCAGCCACTCGACAAGTACAGACTTCTCGTCGACCAATACGACGAGAGGCTAGCTGCGGCGGAACGGCGGTTCTGCAACCCGAGTGCTGGTGGGATACACCTCGTGGCGAGCAAGATCCGATCTTTCACGGCGCAGAGGCTGCGTGACATGATCATGCATGCGCGGGAGCCCTGGGACGAGAATAAAGACGGCGGAGCGAGCCAGCAATCCTTCTTCCGCGCGTGGGTCATCTCCTTTGAGAGCGACGTCAGCTGGTACGACACGATAGACGACAAGTTCACCTGGTACCTGAAACTACACTTCCAATCCGACGCCTTCTCCGTCATGATTGAGCTCCTGCAGTGGCAGCCTGTCGGAACCCTCGTTGATAGGGCGTGGAAGGCAATTGACCGGCTTTTTCATCATCACCCGGAGATGTACGACATGAACAGGAGGGACAACATGCTGCGCGCGGAGAACTTGCTTGCGGGTTGGGCGAGACGGGAGCTTGCGTTCCGGAACCTGGGCATGTCTTGCGACACGCCGCTAGTCGTGGCGCGATTCCGAAGCAGCGAGGTTTTCAAGCAGAAGCAGCCTGGTGGTGTCCCTGTCGAGCAGTGGCCGGCTTCGACGCCGGATACTGCGTTGTTCTCTGATATGAGTCCGTCTGACTTTGAGACGTTTGATGGTGGGATGCCTGGAGATATGCATGGTCCCAGTTTCAGCCTTTGGGGTGGAGGTGGGCCGGGACAGCAGGCTTTATGATGAAGCCTGGCTGGGTTGTGACGACGGGGTGATGACTGGAGGAAGCGGGGTTTGAGCGCTTAAAGCACTGGACCATGACTTTATGACATTCAAGACGGCTCAAGGGTAAACTGTACCCAATACGGAGTTTACCCTTCACTTCGAGCGTCTTTGGGGCTCTGGACTATGAATCACCTCTGAAAATTCACTGATAGATTTTGAGTGTTCTTCGCTTTGACTCATCGAGTTGCTCTTGTAAATTCATCCGCGGGTTCCACGAACTACTGGCTTCAAGTAGACACTCAGCGGAATCCTATCCCATAAGCCGAATGCTCTCTGCCTCTGTATCCAGGACCCGTTTCCTTCGGCAATTTGAAGATCAAAGTCAAAAACAATTCGTGCCAGGATCAGTCTCATCTCTGCATATGCGAGGCTGTTTCCCAGAGGTGTCAATGTTAGTGGCAGTGATTGAATAGACGGACGAGGAGCTCTTACTTCTTCCCAATGCAGTTGCGCGGTCCAACGCTGAATGCTTGGAGGGCATCCAAGTGGTTGTGTTCCTCTTTGTTAGTTTCTAAGAAGCGCTCTGGTCTGAATTCCCAGGGCTTGGTCCAGTTATCCGGACTGTGGTTCGCGGACCATTGCTGAATCTCGACGAAAGTCTTGAAGGGGGCGAGGTCAGCTACCGATTGCAATTCCAGAAGGCGATGTGATTGCTTACTCCTTGAGGGACATGCTCCGAGCCAATCTGACACCCAAACTCCGGCACCTCTCGAATAAGATTTGACGTCACCGGAGGATACATCCGCAAAGCTTCATTGAGGACAGCGAGCATGTATGACAGCTTGCTCACCGAGTTAATGGTGATCTCACTAGAATCAGTAAAGCTGGAACGGACTTCTTCGTTGAGCTTCTGCAGGATCTTGGGATGTCTCAACAGAAGATATGTCGTGCCGGCCAGAGTGGTAGCCGTCGTCTCAGAGCCTGCGAGGACGAGGATGAGACCGTTGGCTGATAATTGTTCAAATGACAGGTTCTGTCAATACGAGATCAGCTTGCGTTATTTCCTCGGGCAACTGTGGGGATTATTCTTACCCATTCTTCCTTCTTTCTCAAGAGCCCCTCAAACAAGTCCTTACGATCCGGATCCATGTCCAGGCGCGATTGCATCATCTTATCCGTGCTCTCACGCAACTGCATCATCGCAGCAAGACCGCCGATCCTGAAGAGACCCTGGACAATAGGATCGAGACCAATGTATTTCATTGCAGTCATGATGGCGTTGTATCGGATCGTCTTGAAGATGAAGGCGATCCACGGGTGGTAATTCGACCGGTCGAGAAAGCCAAACGATTGTGCGAAAATCAGATCACCAGCAATATCGAATGTGGTCCAGTTATACCAAGCCTCGACATTGATCGATGCATCCTTCCCATCGCAGTTCTCATGTAAGCGAGATATCAGTTTATCAATGTACTTCATTATGATCCCTTCTTGCGCCCGCATGGAGCTATCCGAGAAGCCATGGGATAACGCACGCCGGTACCGCTGATGCTCTTCGCGCTCAGCGTTGATGATGCTTGTCGGGAGTTCCTTAATCGTCGTGGAGAAGAGTCGTGACTTGGGGATCTCGTTCTCAGTGAGCTCTTTGCCGATCTGGAAACCGTAGATGTCCTTCCAAGCTTTCACGTCGGTGAAGGACAGGTGGTTTGGGCTGATTCGGACTATGGGGCCATATCGATCGTGGAGTAGTTGGGTTCGGAAGGCCTGGTAGCCAGTAGCATGTTGCCAAGCCCAGATTAGGGGCGAAGCTCGTTGGAAGACGGGTCCGGGAAACCTTCGGAGGGGATGTAAGAAGAGGTTATAGCCAGCTAGGAGGAGTTGCCAGAGTACGGCCTGGCAAATTAGCATCGTTCTACATTCTGGAAGGAAAATCTGCTCTAGTCATGGGTGGGAATGTGCTTCACTCACTGTCCCCAAGGCAATAACCAGGATATGAGAAGGATGCTCCGAGAGAATCGTCAAAACACCCGCCATTTTCGTGGTTAAGTCATGAAGATATCAAGACTTGTGGCAGTGTTCTTGCGACTACAATAGCCGTCAACCCCGCGTTGACGTCGAAGCGTCGTTTATGTAGATCCAATCCCGAGTACGAGCCTTTACGAGCTCCCCCTTGGCGGCAAACATGTTCGCTCCTGGCCCAATGAACACACCACTTGGTTCTGCGTCAAACGGTCAATCACCTTCCATTAAGGGGACAGGCTCTCACTAGGCGCAAGAAGTTTTGGTTCATCAGACGGTTGTTTCAATACTACGTTTTCTGCGCGAACCAATCTACTGTCCGGCTTTGTAACATTCATGCATGCAGCAAGCGTAAATATGCGCGGGGGAGGTTGGGATGGTTGGCCACCGGCGAGTGTTACTCCGCATTGGTATTTCGCGGCTGGATATCCTGGTCATGTTCCTACCTACCAACATTAAGTGTTCGTAGCCTTGGGATCCAGTTTTCAAAATCGCGGGGAAGCCAGGGCACATATGTTGCCAGTAAAGGCCTAAAAAATTGGGACGGAAAGCACCCTCGGACGAGTATTCAACCCAAGACATGATTACCTCAAAACTTACATGGTCCAGATTTGGTCATATGTAATGAGGAACGACAGAAGGCAAGGCCACATGGAGAGACAGTTACTACTATGAGTTCCTGTGTTTGGGTTGACTTGGATTGTCGGATCGCCCAACTTGCTATGTTGTCTATTAGTGACTAACTACTAGCCGTCGATCAAAACTCCGAGATCACAGTACCTGCCCCCTTCTTCTCCGCCATGTCTAAGATAGCCGTTCCAATGGCCAGGTCGGTCATACTTACACCGATACTCTTGTAGATGATCAATCCATCCTCCAGTGTCGATAGTGATTCCAGCTTGTCTCCTTGTTCCCGTGAAATCTCTATCTCCCCAATCTCTACTATGCACTCCGCCGCGACTTTACTCTGAATGATCTCGCCAGAATGCTTGAGTGCATTTTCGCGGTCGTCAACCAGCACTGCGACCTTTGAACCTTGCCCGCGCAGTGTCCCACCAGCGGCACTGGTCGCCTGGACCAGCAATTCCGGGTCTACTTCCAACATGTCCGCCTGCCAAGACCCGACGGCAGAAATGTAGGGGCTTCTTTCCTTTCTCCCGTTCGTGACATAGTGTGCAGGAAACACTGGGCTCTTGGTGCCGACAGTACAGAAAATGGCGTCTGCAACGGCAAGACGATACTGGAGTTCAGCGTCATAATCGGAGCTAGAAGAGCCGAGATACTCAAAATTGGCAGTAGATTTCCAACGGGCTTGGTTCTCTTCCTTCAACCTCGAAATAAGCTGCTGCGCCCGCTCCGTAGATCGATTCACCACGGTGATGGACTTGATCTCCTCACCCCTCAGCGAAAGTGCGAAACGGAGATGCCACAACGCCTGCTTGCCAGCGCCAAACACCACGATGTTGTCGGTATGGCGCCGCCACAAGTACGGCACAATGGCAGAGAGCGCCGTGCGGTATCCTGTGACTTCTTCCGCATTGATGACGCCCAGGGGCAGGCCGTCCTGGTCGCAAATGGAAATGATGCCGTGCAAGCTGTTGGCTGCCGGTGATGAGGGCGCGGGGGTGACGACGATCTTGGTTCCGAAAGCGCTAGCGGAGCTGAAGGGTCTGAAGAGGCACTTTGTGCCCTCGGGTCTGTTTACGATTGATGCATCGGGCTGATGGTCCCGCTCTGTGCCCTTGGAGAGTTCGACCAACGCTCCTACCAGCCGATCTCGGAGTTGGAGGATCTCGACTTTCGGGAGGTTAAGCAGGATATCGAGCACAGCGGCATCGCTAAGAATTCTGAATTTTCCCATGGTGATAGGACGTGAAGATGCCCCGGTTCGTAAATGGTCGTAGACTGTCCAGATCGTAAGGTGGTTGTGCGGGGAGTTCTCGTGGAAGTAAATTAGCAACTAGACCTTATCGGCAGCTTGTCAATTCGCAATAGTCGGATGGGTTCATCAAGATAATACATGTGAGAAAATGCATCGATAAGACCCGTAGCTAAGCACGTCACGGCGGATAAGTTCGTATGTAAAGGTCAGACTCGGCGAGACCTACCGGATACTTATCCAACCGGCACGACATCCGCTGCGGGGAAATAGGCCGCTACGGCGGGTAGCTGAGCCGCTCATCGGTGTCCGTGGTGGGCTCCAGTTTACCGAATGCGAACGGTTTATACGAGATTTTGGGGTGTTAAACGAGCCGGCTGCTAATCCGTCGACAAGGCTTCATTCCATTTCTTCGGCACAGAAGTCGTTCTTTAATATCCTTGAGCCTAAGGACGAGGAGTCTTTGGCTTTCATTAAACATACTTATAGGCCTGGGGGGAAATTACGCGATTATACAGATCGCGAGCCCATTCTCGCCCTCATCTATCATGCTTCAAACTATTACACCATGACTATCGGCCGAACCTTCAACGTCGTTGGCGCCCACTGTGGCGGCGAGGTCTGCGACGTCATCGTCGGAGGCGTCCTCGACGTCCCAGGCAAAACAATGTTTGAAAAAATGATGCATTTCTGGAAAAAAGCGGACCACTTGCGCAACCTGTTGATGAACGAGCCCCGAGGCTCGTCGTCAATGTGCGTCAACTTGGTCCTTCCGCCATGCAACCCCGAAGCCGACGCGGGCTTCATAATCATGGAGCACGAGGAGTACCCTCCCATGTCTGGCGCCAATACCATCGCTGTGAGCACCGTCCTTTTGGAGACGGGCATGGTACCGATGCAGGAACCCACCACTACACTCCGTCTGGATACGCCAGCCGGTCTGGTGACGGTTACAGCTGAGTGCAAGGACGGAAAAGTAACATTTGTGGAGTTTCAAAACGTTCCGGCTTTCGTCTACGGGTTGGATCTGGATATCAACGTGCAGGGCTTCGACACGCCCGTCAAGGCTGATATTGCGTGGGGAGGAATGTGGTATGCGCTGGTCGACGCGAGCTCAGTGGGCCTACACATCAAGACGGAGAACGGAAAAGAATTGGTCGACGTAGGCGAGCGGATCAAAAGAGCTATCCAAACGCAGACGAGCCCGGTACACCCCGAAAACCCAGAGATCCGGGGCGTCAGTGTCTTCGAGTTCACAGAACCGCTGTCGCCCTACACGTCAGATGCACAGCAAACTGCCGTGAACACCGTGGTGGTCTCCCCGGGAAGACTGGACCGGAGTCCGTGTGGAACGGGAACATGTGCGTGGTTGGCGGTTCTCCACAAGAGAGGTCAGCTCGCGGTCGGAGGATCGTTCCGACACCGCAGCGTGATTGGAACCGAATTTGTCGGAACGGTGAAGAGTGAGGCAAAGGTTGGGGACTATGATGCTGTCATTCCCGTGGTGAAGGGGGCTGCCTGGATAACGGCTTTCAAGCAAGTCATCTTACACCCCACAGATCCATTCCCTGAAGGGTTCAGGGTTGGAGATAAGTGGCATGTCAGTTAGAAGATTCAGGTCCCGCAGATCTTGGCTACTTTAGTACATATTATTCAAGTGATCGGCACAAGTCATTTTGCCTTCCTTTTCTTCGAGAAAACTTTCTGTCTCAGCCGCTTCTTCAACGGCGTTTGACTCGGTACGTAAATCTGCCCGTCCAAATGTACGTCAGGCCCGCATTCACAGGTGCCGTGCCACAGCCAAGCCGGGGTATCATGCAGGCATATAACACTTGAACATTTCAAGGTCCAGAGACTTGACAGGAATAGAACATAGTGGGTATATTTCAAAACGCGTCGATCTAACTGGATCGTCTCCCGCGGACAGATCTGCTCGCCTAACCCATTTGATCATGCGGACATGAGATTTAATGGGCCGAGGACACGGAATTCGAGTTATCGGCGCAGGAAAACGCGGCCGATCCACCAGACTCCTTGTAGCTATCCATGATACCAACAACCGAGCCGTAAGCTCCAGCAATCATCAAAAAGGTGCCGCTGACAATGACGAAGCAGCTGAAGCAGACCATGGCGATCCATCTGGGTCTCTTCTCAATCTTGCCCTCGGCCCAGTGGTCGTACAGCCACATGCAGCCCATGGGCTGGAAAGACAACAGTGTGCCGAACAGAGCACCGACGAGAGAGACTAGGCCATCAAAGACGGGGATGGAACTTGCGACGATGTATGCGATGATGGCGATGCCTGCAGTACAGCCGAGCCAGATGCCCCAGTGCTTCATCGTGTTCTCGGTCAAGTGACGGGATCCACGGAGCAGGCGGATGAAGATGTACTTGGCGGGCAACTAATAAGACACACATTAGTGTCAATCCAAATGACTGGGGAGTCAGGGACTACTCACGTGAATAACCAAAGTGGTGGTAACAATCAAGCCGGGGAAGGCAAGACCGTAGCAGACTCTCTTCATGGTCGCACCGGCAGAGCCAAGGGCGGGAGAAGCGACGTAGGAACCGCAGAAGTAGTACACAACGCATCCGATGGCAATGTAGGTGGCAGTCACACCACCCTGGCAGATGACCAAAGCGCGCGTGTAGTGGCGAGGGTCGCGCATCTCAGAGACGATGGAGAAGAAGGCAGGGGTACCAGCGAACGCAAAGACGAGGGTCGAAAGCGCCGAGGAGGCCTGAGCAAAAGTTGGGTCCCCAACGACCTTGTAGTCCGAGGTCCAGTGGCCAGTCTGGGGAGCGGCAGCAGGTCGGTCCTGGACACCCACAGCAACGGTAACGGTGAAGACTGAACATGCATGGTCAGCGTCTGGATTCCAAGTATCCTTGCAAAAGGAAGTTGAGCGGCACTTACTGGCAGACATGATGCAGATGAGACCAATCCACGCAAACCAGGTTATCTTTCCGAGAGTCTGAATGCTACCGAAGCAGAAACCAATGGCTGCGGCAATGGCGACGAAGCCTGCCGTGCATGCACCGTGGAGAGAAACCGAGTTGAGCGCGATCGAGGCACCGAGCATGCCAGAGCCGGCAACGAAGATCCAGTCTTTTCAGAGACAGTGGTTAGTTTCTGAGTTACGGTTTAGAACACTGGACCAACTTACAAAGGCAGAAGACAACGCCGAAGAATTCGCGGCCAACGCGGCCAAAGAGAAGGCGTCCAACGTCGTCGATACCGTAGACCTCGGGGTGGCGAAGCTTGAAGACACCGACAATGTAATCGGACCACGTGGTGATGGCGGCGATGCAGCACAGAGCGATCACGCCTGGCACAATTCCGAGGACGTCAAAGACACCGGGAATGGACAAAACTCCCAGGCCAATTTGCGTCTTCATCATCAGGGCGACTGTTCCTTTCCAGCCAACCTAATTGAGGAAATTAGTATCCGAAGGGAGGTTTAGGCGTTCCTGGCCGAGAGATTTTCCGGATCGCTCCTTACATTGCGGTAGTTGGGACCGCCCTCTTTAATCTCACCAAAGACAGCATCGTAAGACGCATTCGGGTCTTCCAAGACCTGGCCTTGTTGTGAATGCGTTGAGACGGGTCCCAATGCCTCGATATCCTCCTTGTTCTTCTGCGTCATCTTGGCAGTTGATGAAGATATTTTCACGTGATGTTGGTTCGTATGCGGTCGATCAGTCAGATGTGACTTTAAAGTCTTCAGAGACACAGGTCACACGCGAAGTGGAAAATGTCGTCGAGACGATTCTTTTGACTAAGGTACTGAGTCCGAGTTGGAAGGACAACCGAATTGAAGAATCAAGAGTTGTTGTCGTTGGTGATAGTCGTTGACAGCTCAAGACGAGGAATGTGTGGCCAAGCAAATGATAATATGCATTGACACTGAAGCGAAACCGATAGCTCACTAGAGAGATTGATAGCTTAGAGGCATGATGAGAAGACCCATTCCCAAGTTGGGATTGGGAATGATGCGCTTTTGTACAAAACCAGTCCAAGCGCGACCTTCTCTACAGCCTCGAAGTCCCAACCAGGAGGAAAAGCCGGCAAGGGCTGCCAAGATTTCCCTCTCTATCAGCCTGACAGGCTTCCTCCTGCAAGAGTACCAGATAGCCTGCTATCGCTTGAGTTAGATTACGCACCGGTTAGGTAGAACATACCCCATATTTTCCCCAGACTGCCTTTCAACGGGGGGGTCCTACGTCACAGCGGGACGATTTCTTTTCTCAAGGGTTCAGGGGGAGGGAAATGACTCGCGCGGCATTTCTCGGTGAGTTGCCTAGGTTAAGACCACGGTACGCGGTATTGCACGCGTTTGCACAAAAAAGCGCTGGCGTGGGAAATATGCCTCACTAGGGTTGCTAACTCGACCAACATGGGATGACCGGGTGTCATCCCGATATCTTCCTTCTAATCATTAATGCTTGCGTTGTTGTATTCAATGTTTTCACCTGGTATCTAGTGTATCTTGTGTATCTTCAGCTGAGGGAACCAACATACCACTACCTCATGCCGCATGCCTGTGGGATGGGATATCGGACGGAATGGCCGGATAAGAGTTGTCCAGGCCCATGGCCGCACTTTCGGATTTCCACAAAACGCCGCAAAGAGCCAAATGCAACCGTGGAGAGTTGTGATAACACAGATATGGGCCAATTCTTTCGCGTCCCATGTCAAGAGACAAAAGTCGCTTTTGCCGTACAAAGTCGCGCCGTCGCGAACGCTTACCCGCCCTAGCCCATACAAGCGGAGGCGCCGTCGGCACGACTCGCGGTCAACTTCCTTGAGCAAGGAATCTTTTGCTGCATATACCCCTGCTTAGGCGGAGCCTCCGTTTCAAATTCACACCATCGGATGCTCACCCGGTTGACCTACTGCCCCATCTTGACAAAGTCGGGAGGTCATCCCGACGGCAGAGAGTTGACTTGCCCCCTTCGAAATCAAGTTCCTCTCATGTCTCGCACACGCCACCGCGCCACCACAAAACCCGGCACATGAGAGGGCGTGAGACTCGAGACTCCAGTCCAGAGCATGGTTCCTTCCCCAAAGTCAAACTCACGATGAGTTTCTCTTAGTCACTCGTGCAGCACTAATGTTGCCAATGATGGGGATTCAAGCCTCGAGACGTTGGGTTGACTTCCGTTTCCCCATGGGGAGAAGGCAAGACCACATGAGATGATGATCGCATCAACCCCGTTAGCAATTGGAACTCATGGGGATCCATAGTGCTGCCACCATGAACCCGGAGACACGGAGTTTGAGATTTCTCGGATGGCGGGAAAACCTGCATTTCGGCGACAAATTAGCCATCATTCGACAACCACTTGGACCCCCAAAGGCTGCATCAGACTAAGGTGCTTTGTATTCGGACGGCCCGTAATTACTGCTGGACTAGCACAGAGCCTAAAGTATGACAGCAGGTAATTGACAGGCCTAACCAGAGATTCCCTCGGCGTGAAACAAACAGCACAGCCCTCAGCCCTCTTTCTCGGTGCTTTACTATCTGTACGAAGTAGAGGCCCACGGCTATTGATAGCGTGGCACGCGTGGGTACGAATAGAATCTTCCGTCTTGGTCACTTTGTATCGTCGCATCCCCCGCAGTCCGAGAGGAGAATGCTTCTGTCAGAGCTTGTCTTCCATTGGCAGAGGCTCGGGATGTCCACCGACGGGCAGATACCTATCAACACAACACGACGACTCGACGCAACCATGCATGTGAGGTTCCCAAGGTTTGCAGTGCATCTCATGTGGCATCCTTCTGGAACGTCTTAGCCTTCATCCAGCGCGGCTACTATCAACACGGCATGTGTATGGAGTATGGTATTATCTCCTAGCCAAGTCCTCCGCGGGCCGCCCATCGTTCCGGCATCGGTCCTAGTCTACAACTCCGCATACCATACAGATAGCTAGTATAGAAACCGAACACCTACTTATCGCCGGCGCCATCTCGTGACATTTTTCGGAGACTAACATAGATGCAGATAAGCCGTGCCCCCCTGGCCCGAGAGCCCAGAGCCCCATCAATTCGGTTCCACCAGGACCACTACCCCGCGTTCTGCTTTGGCAAAAAAACGTCACATCACAGTTGAGGCTCGCCGGGTCCATACAGCATAGCACGCGATTTCCGCAGCCAAAGAACACAGACAACCCTTTTATGCCTGTCTAATTATCCTATTCTCTACCAGGTAGTTTGAGTATAAGCCTTCCTAAACAGTGAAATGGAACCTGGAGCCGGCCGAAACAAGGTATCCAAGCGGTCGTCGAATGCGTAAGTCTGCCCGAGCCAACCACACCTCAATTTCCCTCCCTTGTCAATTGGTCGCAATCGCGCACGACTTACACCATTCGATTTCTAGCTGTGTGCGTTGTCGTCGACAGAAAATCAAATGCTCAGGATCTCAGCCGTGCGATGCATGTGGCAAGCGCAAACAGTCCTGCACCTTTGACGAACGAGATCAAAGAATCGTCGTCACCAGAGGGTAAGCAAACGGGCCTGGCCTCTCTGCCAAAGACTAGATCTCGCCTATATGTCCGGCTCACCATCCGTGTTCTAGCTACATCATCGACCTTCAACAGAGAATCGAACGGTGGGAGCGAAGCCGAAGTACCAATGAGCCAGCCCAAGTATCAATCGAGGGCGGCCAGCGTCCCGATAAAGAAGGAAACAGTTAGTTATCCCTAATTATCCTTACTTGCATTGCAGAGAACATGTCTGAGCTGACAGTAGGAGATGAGAGCGACGGTGATTTGCCCATGAGGGATGAATCAAGTGGCCCGATCATTGCAGATGGTACGCATGAAAAGGAAAGTCAGGAGACTCGGCCTAAAGCGCCAATAGATCCTGTCGCGTCGAAGCTCATCAACCCTCTGTCCACGGGCCAGTCGGAGTACACATCAGCGCCGAATGGAAGGCTATGTAAGTCATCTATCTCATCACTTAGAAAACAATGAAGTTTAACAAGAGGATAGTCTACCTGGGCACGTCATCTAACTGGTCATTCACCCGACGCGTCCTCAACATCACACACCAATACGTCCACAAGACTCCGTTGCCAACCAACGCTCTGCTCTTCGATGGCACGACGTACGCCCTCGATTGGGATGGCTACAGAGCCGGCGAAGTCCCAGATATACCAGCCCTTCCAACGCAGGACTATGCCATCTACTTGGTCAACGCCGTCAAGTTCCACTGCGGCCAAATGTTCCACCTCTTTGACGAAGAAACGTTTATGAAGTCCTTGTACAGCTTTTATTCTGACCCTAATCCTAGACCCGATCCTACCGATCCGTGGTTTATTCATTTCTTGCTCATACTTTCTTTCGGAAAAGCGTTCACGACAAAGACCAACAGGGGGAATAGGCCCCCTGGCCATGACTTCTTTGTCAAGGCTATGCAGCTGCTCCCAGACTTCAGTGTTTTGCTGAAAACCCATGTTCTGTCAACTGAGATCATGTGTTGCATTGCTCTATATACGCAATGCATTGACTTTAGACACTGTTCATATAACTATGTAGGTTCCCTCTCTCTTTTCCAAAATGCATTATACTGATATTGGGTATAGATCGGACAAGCACTCCGCATTGCTCTTGGAGAGGGAATGCATACAGACATGCCTGTGCAGCAACTAGGAGAGGCATATGTTGAAAGATGTCGAAGGCTATGGTGGACAGTACACATCCTTGACCGCGAGATAACGTCGTTGTTTGGCATGCCGCCTTCGATACATGACGATTATGTACTCTGTCAACTGCCGACCTACTCCGGCTCAGTTCAGAGGACAGCCGCGTTGCGAATGCGTATCAAGCTGTCGAAGGTCATTGGGAGCATCAATAGGAGTATGTGAATCCCTGCCGAAGTCCTCCTGACGAGCTTATCAGTTACCTTATACTAACAGCGATGCTAAACAGAGGTCTACGGCCTCGACGGAAGACTCAACAACAAGTTCATGCTGGGCACCAAAGAAGTGCTTGCTAGCGTGGCAGAAATTGCTGATGAGCTGCAACAATCGTTCGCGCTTCCTCTGGAGAGAGACACCAGCTGCATTTCGAGGACATCCGCCCATTTGCATTTACTGCACCATCAGGTATGTCCACTTCAATATTCAAAATAGCGCTGGAAATGAACTAACGAGGTTACAGTGCATTGTTCTCGCAACTAGACCGCTGCTTTTCTGTTTTCTGAAAATTCGATTCGAATCTCAGAGTAAATGCACAGAGCTTTTAGGGTCTTCGCAGACGGTCAGAAATTTGATTCAGATGTGCATTGATTCTTCTCAACAAATGGTTTCGATACTAGACTGTTTACAATCTCAAGGGTTGCTGGGTGAGTTCTGTCCAATTCTGATTCAACATTTTGTTTTGAGAGACAAGCCAGGCTGACTTTTGTTTTTTTTCCAAGAAACCTTTCTTCCATTCGACCTGGAAGCCAGCTTCGTGTCTGCCAGCAGTCTACTACTTGGACCCGCAATTGATCCGCAATGTTTCGAGTGTCTCGATCCATCCCTCGAGAAAGTCTACACCGTTTTGGACGAGATGATTATGGCTGGGAACGGGATCGCCAAGTACCGCAAATTTGAACTCCAGCAGCTGGAGAACATGCTACAACGGCTTACGCCTTGGCCCTCACAGGCTTCCGAGCAAACGACGCTTGTAGACGAGGCGCGGCAAACGCAGCCTCCGGATGACACGAGTCCACAAGACACGGTGGTCTCGTCCATGGCGACGGACCACTCACAGCACGAGAGCTACTCTTCTTCTATCCCAGGGAACATGGATGAGATGGCTTATGATAGCGGGCTGACTATGGCGCAATTATTGGACATGGCCAACTCTATTGAGCAGGAAGATTCGGAGTGGATGTCTCAAACGATAGTGGAACATAGCATTTGGTAGATCAAGAAGACCTATCACTGTCATGACGGCGTCTTCTCCCTTTTCGGAATACTGCCGAGTGTACATGTACATCCTGCTGCTTGGAATAATACGCTTTGTGAAAGGTTCAAGCGACCTCTGGATCCCTTGAACACAGTCCATCACCTGTCGTGGCCGGTGGTCAGTCCGAATTATGCACAGCGGAGCTGTCTCGGTATCAATGACTGCCCGAGGGGTAGATCTGTTATGATGAGCAACTCGGAGAGGAACCCGTTGAGTCAGCGTTCTACGTGTGTAAGCCTCAAGCCCTCGGCTCCTCACCCTAAGGATAAATCTTAGATAAACGTGATTCATAAAATGATGCTATGCTCATAGATAATCTACAACTTGGACGTCCTTGCCTGGCGAATCTTTGCAAACTCCTCGGTGTTTCCAAGACGCCAGCTGACGGTATCACCCCACTTCCCTGCCTCCTTCTCCTCAGGTTCCTTCCAACGCCATCTCTGAACCGGCTGCTTGTTATCAGGAGCCTCCAAAAGGTTCTTGACCCAGTCGCCGACAAGTGGAATCAATTTGGCAGCGTGACCTGAGTCGCCAGACATCAAGACCACGGAATCACTCGACTTGGGGACATAATCGATGATGAAGTCCGAGTCAGCCGTATCAGCGAACCAGCAGATAGTCTGCTTAACCAGCGGGCGGTCCTTAAGAGCCGGAAGCGTTTCCGCCAGCAGCTGCCGCACCTTAGCCTGGTCTTGTGGCGGCATGAACTGGCTCTCCTCGTACGCCGGCGGAAGTGAGATACCCGTCTTAGGATCCGTGTTCACATATCCTCCGCCCATGGGGCACAGCTTGAGGAGGTTGGTCTTGGGATCCGGCTCAAAGTAGAAACCGAGGTCGCGCGCGTATGTAACGGGGATACCGCGAAGCGCAGACGTCTCGTCGTCTGTCAGCTTGACATGAGCGACAGACCATGACTTGGCGACGACCTGCTTGCCGCACTCCGGTACCAATCTCGCTGCCGCCGCACCGGTAGCAACAATAACAAGCTTCGCCGAGATCTGACTGCCAGTCTGTGTCTTGATACCGGTTGCCTTCCGGCCGGCGCCGGTGTTCTGGTACACAATCTCTTGAACGCCACCGTGCTGTCCGAGGAAGAACTTTACGCCTCGTACCCGAGTTGCGTTGTAGAGGGCGATCAGGGCGTTGCCGGAGTGGACATATCCGTCAAATTTGTTGAGGTAACCCTTCCAGCCGGAACATGGGCCCTCGCCGTACTGCCAGACATTGTAGTTGATGTCCTGGCCACCCTTAATGGGCACAACGTACTTTGCGAGAAGAGGGTGGTCTTCCGAGGCCTTCTGGAACCTGTGCAAAGTCTCGGCGGCCCGCTCAGGGGCGTTGGCCGAGACGCAGTGAAGAAATCCTACCCGGTGAAAGGATGGTGCGAAAAGAGGCGTTTGCCATGCTTTTGCGGCTTCCTGTTGCTGGTTAGAAAGGATCTCTCTCACAGATAAGACAGCTCACAGGACGTCAACTTACAATGGTGAGATTCGTGTAAAAAGGATCCTCATACTCTGCTCTGAAGATCTTGTTGATGTCGTTGGCAGCAGAGTCCCGAGGGGGTATTTGCTCGTGCTTGTCGAAAACGGAAATGTCCGTGTAACCAGCCAGGGACAAGTGGTAGGCCGTGGACAGACCAAACGCACCGGCGCCCACAATGATGATTGGGTCGGATTTACTGACACCCATGGTGATGGTTGGAGGCTAAGGCGGAGATTAATGACGGGTTTGTGCGAATGATTGCACTCTTGATTCAGTGTGAGTACAGGGCCCTTGAGCAGCACTACTAGCCATTGAAGTATGATATCTTCAAGCCGTCGTATATGACCTTCCGTGATCTTTCCCAGGACCGGCTGGCTTCGGGCCCTTGCCCCGGCTTCGGAATCAAGATATTGGAGATACTCATGGCACCATCTCCATCATGGGGTAGGTGGTTAGCGTAGCCGCGCCGAGCGGGGTGGTGGCCGTGGTGGAATCAATGCCATGCTACTTTGTATATCCGCACGGCCAGCCAACTGGAATGCCTGGACCTTGTTTGTGGCACAAGAGGCGTGGCTCTATGTCTGGGCTGTCGAGGCGGATGGTGAGCCGACTATCTGTCCAAGAGAAATCGGGAGCTCACCCGGTGGTCACCCTTCTTTCTATTTGTCAAGCTGACTCGGGTGGAGCTTTGACAACAGCCGGTCATCCTACCGCCCAGCCACAGCTTTGGTTCTAGCGTACTCCGTATCTGGTGTAGTGACATTCGGCAACAGTATCAATACGAAAAAGATCACAATACGGATAGCGATAACGATATCACCAGGTCCCCAGAAACACGTAGTCTTGTTGCTGTTGGGCTTGACCTCTGATTTGAAGCAGACCTGTGATCATGTGATTCTAATACCCGGGGATCAAGCCGCTGATACGGCGGTTCAGCCAACACTCAGCTCGTCTGCGAGTTGCGTCACTTGCTAACGAGTCGAGAAATGAGACGATAACAAGGCCGCTTATTCCTCGAGTACCGCTCTTATGGTCCTCTTCTGATATCAAGTGGAACGAATGCTTCGCGCAGTCGAATCAAGCTGAGTATCTGTGTCTGGGATGATAGTACTGTGCAAGGTTCACAGTTTACAAGGATGTCTAAGCAAGCTACACGTTCTATGGCACGACTCTTGATGCTGAAGCAATGGGGTGAATGTAAAATCTCTTCATTTTTGACTATCCCTAAATTACATAATGCGCCATTTTGCATGCAACCGTGACCGTGACCCATCGGCATCCCACACACTACACCTATTTGTTGCTGGGGTACAGGAACTCAGTCTGAGGGAAAAACTCCTCCTTGATCAATCTGGGGCTGACGAAGCGACGCATGACGTCTGCGCTTCCTGCCTTGTCGTTGGTGCCACTGGCGCGGGCACCGCCGAAGGACTGCTGGCCGATCAGGGCAGCGGTGGTCTTGCAGTCTAGGAAAGAGTATGGAGTTAGTAAATGGATACCCATTGACGTTGGTAGTGGGGAGGGGAACATGGGTAGACTCACTGATGTAGAAGTTTCCTGCGGAGTAGCGCAGGGCATCCTCGGCCTCGCGGATGGCGCGTCTGTCGTTGGCGAAAACGGCGCCGGTCAGAGCGAAGCCGCCTCCGCTCTGGTCGACCTTCTTCAGGGTGGAAGACCACTCGGCATCGGGGTAGGTGGAGATGGCCAGAACGGGGCCGAATATCTCCTCGTTGAAGAGACGGTGGTCCGGAGAGTCGGCCACGTAGACGGTGGGGTTGACGTAGTATCCATCGGAGCCGTCGTAGGTACCGCCGACCACCAACTTAAGCGAAGAGTCCTTGTTGCTCTCGTCGATGATGTTCTTGATCTTGTTGAAGGAGCGCTCGTGGATGACGGGTCCCATGAAGGCGTCAAGCTTGCCGTCGGGGCTTCCGATGGTGATTTGCTCGACCTTGGACTTCAAGCTCGAGATGAACTCCTCGGCCTTGGACTCGGGAAGGTAGACGCGGGAAGTGGCGGAGCACTTTTGGCCTTGGTACTCGAAGGCGCCGCGGATGGTGTGGTTGACGGCGTGCTCGATGTCGGCGGTCGGGTGGATGAGGTGGAAGTTCTTTCCGCTCGTCTCACCCACGACGCGAGGGAACTCGCGGTAGGTCTTCTTGCCGATGCCCTCGCCAATTCTGGCGTACAGGGAGCGGAAGACGTCGGAGGAGCCGACAAAGTTGAGGCCAGCAAATTCACGGTGGTTGAGAACGACGTCGGTCACTTCCTCAGCATCGCCAGGGACGAACTGAATGACGTTGGGGGGAAGACCGGCCTCCAGAAGGATGTTGTAGAGGATCTGGCTGGCGTAGATGTTGCTGGGCGAAGGCTTCCAGACGACAACGTTACCCATCAGCGCGGGCCCGGAGATAAGGTTACCGCCAATGGCAGTGAAGTTGAAGGGGGAGATTGCGTAGACGAAGCCCTCCAGAGGACGCCATTCCAAGCGACTAGACCTCTCGTTAGTATTGAAGTTATTGAAGATACACGCATATTTCACATACCTCCACATGCCGTCAGAGCCACGGGTGGGCTGCTTCTCGAGGATCTCTGCCGCGAAGTTGCAGTTAAGTCTGAAGAAGTCGGCCAACTCAGCAGCCGCATCAATCTCTCCCTGCCACATGTTCTTGCCCTGGCCGAGCATGGTCGCCGCGATGATCTCGTAGCGGTACTTGGTCACGGCAAGCTCTGCTGCCTTTTGGAAGATAGCAGCCCTGTCGACGAAAGGGGTGTTTTGCCAGCTCTCCTTTGCCTCCAACGCCGCCTCAATTGCTGACGAAACCTGCTCCTTGGATGCGAGGGGGAAGTTGGAGAATTTGGTCTTGTGCTCTGAGGGAAGAACGGTGTCGAAGGACTTGACTGCGGCCTGAGTCTGGCCGTTGAAGAAGAGGTCGCTTTTGGCGGGCAGCTGGGTGCGCAGTTTCTTGAGGGCTTCCTCGAGCTTTGCGCGCTCGGGGGAATTCTTGGTGTATGTGGGCTGTAGAACAAATGTCAGCCAATATTCAAGAGTGACGTCTCTCGATTCCCGGGCTTCAACTTACGTTAGGCTCGTTTCTGGGGTCGGGAAGTCTGAATGGCGCAGTCGCCTTCGTCCTTCTTTGTGTGAGAGCGATGGGGGCCGTGGTAGGGCGCATCCCCGATCTCAGGGATCCAACTGGTCTCGCAGACCTCATGACGCTGTGGACTTGCATTCTGGCTGATGTGATGGGTATGGGTATCTTGCTCGGAAGTAGGTAGACAATAGTACACGAAGATTTCGTCTTGATTCTCGAGGAGGTGATTATCGGTGATGGACCTGATCCTTAGATGAAGAGAGCTTGCTGATACTACTTGAGATCGTATGACAGCTTCGCAGTCTCATCGTCTTATTTGACAATGGCTGCTGCACTAGGCCGGTCAAGCTCCCGATAGCTCTTTTGCATCGTGAACCAATCATGGCTGCAATCGATGTCATCTTCACAATCATGCCGAGATCGGACGGGGGTAGATCCCGGAGCGGAGGGGTTGCGGACGCCCTGCCGATATCTACATGCAGGGCCCCCGCCGGTGCGGAGTCATGGTGCATTTCCCCGCATATTCGGAGGTTGGGGGTCTTTGACAGTTGCATCCGGCGGCGTCTGTTCCCGTGCTCCATCACGGTTAGAGTCCTATCTTGATACAAGGTGTGTTTACGTATCCGAAGATGGCTTCATGGAGACAAGTCCGATTACGCTGCTTAAGTCGTGCGTTCTGATTGACAAAGCCAGAGAAATACTGCGTCACAGCGAAGACAAGTCGATATAGTTGTGCGGCCCAGCTTTGGGCATTCTGCTTAGAAGATAGGCTCGAAGCAGAGACAAAGTTGTCAAAATCAGGAAATGGCTATCTTTCACGGGCCATCCGTAGCAGATCAGTCTCAGTTAGCGGACTTGTGGGTATGGAATGGGTGTAGAATAGAGATAAGTAAGGCGTTGGCCGCGTCTACCAAGCATTGAAGACTATCTGCGCTCTCTTACCCAAAACACTTGTGAGAATGACTCGCCTCGAGACTCAACAAGGTCTGGAACACAACGACCACGAACCATGTTCCGTCTGGGGAAACTTGGCGGGTGACCTCGCGGCTGGCACCATCTCCGCAATCCTCATATCTCCGGCAATCACAATCCTAGATCGGTAAGGCAAATCTGTCCAGGACCCTGGAATTTCATTGACTAAACAAATCCGCTCGCAGAGCAGTAGTCGAGCGGACAACGACAGGGCGGCCCCTCATCCGAGGTCTCCACGCCCAACTACGCTCCGCCATCCGTCGACCCCGCGGCTTCTTCTTCGCCCGGCCCCTCGGGATCGTCTGGACCCTGTACGCAGCAACTTACGTCACAGCCAACGCCGCAACTACCGTGGCCGAGAGGTTTGACGGCGCAGCTGCCGCAGCGAGCACGGCTACCTTCGCCTCTACGTTCCTCGTCAACGTACCCCTCGGGGTGTGGAAGGACCTCCGCTTCGCAGAGATCTTTGGTTCCTCCTCCTCCGGCGCCGTTCCCGAGGTGGGAAAGGCAGTGGTGGCGGCGGCCCCACGCAAGCTCCCCAGAGCCGCAACGGCGACGTTCCTCATCAGAGACGCCGTCACCATCTTTGGGTCGTTTACGCTTCCGAACTGGATATCGGTAGCTATCCCGGACTCTGTCACGTCTTCCCCACACGCCAAGGCGACCATCACGCAGCTGACGGTCCCCGTGCTGTCGCAGATCGTGGCATCGCCGATTCATCTGATTGCGCTGGACTATTACGAAAGGCAAAGCAATCTGCCGTTCTCTAATCGAGTTGCAAGGACGCGGGAACATATGCCGTCGACGATTGTGATGCGCTGCGTGAGAATCATACCCGCGTTTGGAATTGGGTGCTTGGCAAACTTAGAGTTGCGGACTTTCTTCCAGCAATGGTTTTCTGCATACACGTAGCATGATTAGACAATAGACGATTTGAAAGCATTGGAATTATTATGTGGTGCCAGATACAATTCTCAGTCGCAGATCGTGATGTCTGAAGATGCACAACTTGTGTTGTAATTCAATTTCCGAATCAATGCCTTGTATCATTCGGGTGAGGATCGCTGCCCATGAGACGAGCAACTGTCACAGCCTCTCTCAAAGCCTTTCCAAGATGCCCTCTCACAGCTCCTTCCTCCAAAACCATTAGTCCTCCAATTGTGCATCCCTCCGGTGATGTCCCTTGATCTCTCAGGCTGCCCGGTTGCAGACCGTTCTGCATGAGCGTCGCACTTCCTAGCATAGATTGGAAGATCATAGTCTGTGCAAGATCTCTAGGAACACCAACAGCAACAGAAGCGTCAATGAGCGCGTCTGCGATAACCGCGAAGAATGCCGGAGTTGAGCCACCAACGGCAGTCGTGGCGTTCATCAGTTTCGGCGCAATCTTGACCGTCTTGCCAATCTTGTTAAAGATGGCCTCGGTAAGCTCCATGTACTTGGCCGGGACTGCTGGCTCGGAGATCTCGATTGCAGTAAGTGACTGCGAGACCATGGCCGCAATGTTGGGGAGTGTCCTAATGACCCAGGCCCGGCCCTCTGTGTTCTCGGAAGTTGTCTCACTCCCATAGATCGTAGCTTCCAGCTTGCCTCTGGTCCAGCCTGCGGCCACACTGATCAAAAGCTTGTCTTTCAAAGCTTCTTTCGTGCCCGGCTTGGACAGAACTTCTTCAACATCGGCGGGATCTACTCCTAGTATCACGACATCCGACCTTTGTAGGGCCGCAATGTTGTCGCCTCTCGAAACAATGAGCTGGTCTCCTGCGCTGGAGAAGCGTGCTTTTAAGGCCTCTTCAGACTTTTCGCTTCGAACACATGCGATGAATTGAGTGATGGGAAGGGCGTTGTCTTTGGATTCTGCGCTATCCAGAAGTGACTTGAGAATAGGAATTCCCAGATTGCCTTGTACCAGTCAGTTAGCATGGGCAGGCCGGGTACCATCAGTTGCTCTGGAGAAATGCTTACCACAACCCAAAATGCATAATTTGAGATCTTTGAAAGCTTCCATCTTGGTGCTATGCGTCTGGTCTTTCGTTCCAGATGTGTGAATGGTTGACGGAGTGAAATGGTGGCAGGCGGAGGAAACTAATCGTAAGGTATTCTAACCTGGTTCAAGTCGCTGTTGATACCGACACTTTGCTCAATCAACTGCTCTGATTTGGACTGGTGAAATGCCCCTCATCCTATCTTGATCTAAATCGAGTGAGATAAAGCTACCCTGGTCCTAGTAGCTACCCCTCACACCGGCGCTGGACGGGAGATCCCCCGCCCCGAAGCTAATCAAGTGGGGTCGATAATACGGGAGGGCATCCGACACAACATCATCTTCACGGAGTCACGGCACTCTTTCAACTCGGAAGATATCACGAGGGGCTCCACACATGTCAGATAAGATTTGCGATCAACGAAGAGAGATCGATTTCCTTTCTTTAGCCAACAGTCCGAGACCGGAAGAATCTAGACCGCAGTCTCCTGCCAACCTCCGCCTTGAGCGCCGCATACTCGTCCACCGTCCTGGAAACGGCATCTCGGTTCTCCACCGCCCTCCGCAAAAGATACGCCACGCACTCGCCCATGCTCCCCCACGTCGAGCACTTCCACACTTGCGGCGAAGGGTCCTGGCTCCCCTCCTCTTTGAGCGCCAACAACGAAAAGCTGACCTCGTCCGACATTCCCTGCAGCTGCGCGAAGCCGACCGGCACCGTCGGGAGTCCTTCCTTTAGCCTCTGCTGGTGGAGCTTGTGTGCCGTGACCACGCTCTCCTTGTTGTGACTCGCCAGAAAGAGGTTGAGTGACGGGAACGGCTTGCCGCCCGGGGCCCCGTACTCCCCAATCTGCCGCCTGAGGGCGCCCTGCGCGATGCTGTTGTATGCGTTGTCGGTGTCCTTCTTTGTGTCGTGAATCAGGGATCGTTCGTCAGAGCCCATGTATGCGCCTCGAACTAGCTTCAGGCCGTGAGTAAAGCCTTCCTGGTTGGCCATCTCCAGGTGCTTGGCCAGGGTGGTCGGGGTGCTCTTGAGATATGCCTGGTAAGTGTTGTAAATCGTAGCGTAGCCATCGCGGTTGAACTTGCGCATCAATTCCATGCCCGCAAGGAAGATGCCCCATTGAAAGTGTTGTGATTCAGCGTCGAGAAGGAGTCTGACGCCACGGTCTTTGCATCTTTGGCTCACTTCCTCGAGAGCTTGCATCATTTGTTGAGGAGGTAGCTGTCTTGCGGCGAAAGCCTCTGTAACACGAGGTCCTGCTCCAGTAAGTCTGCGCGTTGGTGATATTAGCACAAGTTGCAGTATGAATAGCGTATAAGTGATAATTGTAAACTTACTTGAGAGCAAGTTGATCACCGTCACCGAGCAGATCAACAGTCTCCAAAACTCCCTGCCTCCAGGATTCAATAGTAGAATCGAGGCCACCCTTTGCGTTCTCCTCCGACTCGATGCCCAAGCCGTGCTCTACGTTCGTCTTTGCATCAAAAATTGTTTCTTTCGCGTATGTGAGAATTGTACCCCGGAATCCCATAAACCTCAGGTGCCGCATAGTCTCTTTCGTCTCCTTTGGTGTCTCTCCCGCGCAGAATTGCTTGTAGAAGACGGTCTTCAGCAAGGAGTGAAGTACCGGGTTTCGGTCTACATCTGTGAAAAAGCCTCTGTTTGGTCTTGTGAAGAATGATAGGGCTGCGAGTGAAGGGCCGAGGAGCATAGGCTTTGAGGAGATGGCAGAGACCAAAAGAGACCTCATGAGAACTGGTGTAGGCAGAGCTGCCAAAGTAGAAGGTGCGACAATACCAGTTGCCTTGTCTGCAACAAGTGGCGCTGTAGAGAGTGACCTTGGTCTGGTCGCCTTTGAAAATGCAGTTGTGACATGGCGGGTAACAGGCTTTCCTGCCGTGAGGGAGGATTTGCAGTATGAAGGCTTCATCGTGGGAATCGTTAACGGGATGATGATTATTCTGAATTGGACTCAATGGTATCTACTAGAGCGGACGCATTGCCTTTATGGTGTGGCATGTGGCATATCGTGGTCTATCCCGGCGAGCCGTCCCAGATCCCCTTCCTACACACCAACGTAAAGCTGATCCATCAGACGTTCCCAACGACATCGGAAGTGTCAGAATGCGTATACTCCTTTGGAAACTCAATAGACACACAGCCACGTGGATTTCTGGTGCCAGCTTATCGATACCCCGCCCAACAACGCGGGGTAAGATAGCACAGGCATTCATGTCTGGCTGTCACGAGGTGACAAAGATAGGTGTGCATGCAGTGGGCGCTTCCGGTGGCACATTCGGGGGGGATAATGACGGGCTAGATTGAAGATTCGCTGAAACCAAAACCGGCCTTGGAATCCGATTGTTTTGGGTTCTGTTTGTGGGGGTGTACGGATCTTTGAGCGACTGGTCGGTTTCGAATCCGGATGGACTGAGTCGGAGAGGGGGCCGATGATAGTCTAAGCCGGGGCACCGGGTGGCAGGTACGAAATATGCGCCGTGCGATACGAGCATCGCGGGGATACGGCCTAGGTCCTATCACGGAGCACCCCTTGATTCCTTTGACTAAGTGAAATGGTCCAGTGACCTGTCGATGACTAGTTGCAGATGCATCGTCGGAAAAGCGAAACCATGTAGTTGGAATAAGCCCGGCATTCGCTCCGTTGAGGGGTCTATACAAATACCGCCGGCAACCTTGACCATATGGGGAAGATAGTGGCGGGCTGTACAGTAATTGTTGATCAAAGAGATCTTCTCAAGGCAGCTTGCCTCCGCCTCTTGTTGCCTGTCCCACTCCAGAGTTGGTCTTATCCTCAGCGTACCGTTTGTACACCTCAATGTAGGCATCTCCGTCACTAAGCGTATCTTTTACGCTTTGCCTCTCTTTGATAGCATCATACCATTGCCTCCACCTCTTCCAGATCGCCTCGTCCTTGCCATTCTCTCCTTCAGAAGGAATGCCAAGCCCCCCTGGCTTGTAATGATCGAATAAAAACAAACGCATGGCCCAAGGGGCTATCATGACGTCCACGAGACTGAACGTCTTGCCCAAGAACCAGGGACCTTCGGGATCCATCTGTTCAGTAAAGGTTTTGATGTGACCCAAGAAATCATCTCGTGCCTTCTCGATACTGTAATCCTTCTCCGGAGTGTGTTGAATAAATTTGTAAAACGCCGGCACAACGCGAGAGTTGATGTGGTCGATCCACAGTCTGCATCTCGCGCGGTCATAAGCCGCCTCAGGGAGAAGATGCGGGCCAAAGTTATTGCCGGCATACGCTTCCTCAAGATATTCGGAGACTACGGTACTGTCGTAAAGCGGGCGTTGGTCATTGCCTTTCACATCCACAGGGACAGCCAGCGTCGGGACCAGCCCCCGAGGGTTCATCTTGAGGAACTCGGGATCCTTCTTGTACGGGTTGATCTCGATGTACTGGTGGGGAATCTGTTTCTCGTGGAGGACAATCCATGATCGCTGGACAAAGGGGCAGAACCAGCCGCCGTAGAGCTTCAGTGGGTGCTCTTCCGAGTGCTTTGCAGCGAAGTCGGCTGCGGCACCCGTGGTACGGGCGCCGATTGAGGTGTCCACATTTGCCATATTGCCAAATGTCAGCGTGAACTAGGTTTACAGGATGAAGGGAGGATGTGACTCGTTATTCTTGTCTTTTTGTTGTCGATGAGGTCTTGTTTGTACCTTAGGTGGCGATGATGAGGTGCGAATGGACATGAAAGTGATGCGACCCCTCTGATGACGTGATTGTTTACAGCAGTCGGCCGGAATTTTGGGGGTCTCGGCTGGCTCTCTCTTCCGGGACCCACTTCGAGGCGGTTCACTCCGGCAAACATCTCCGGATCACCGCCACCGCTTCTCCCATCACCCGAGTCAACACCATTCTCAAAGTGACAAGATGGATAATTTGTGGGGGGGGGGGGGGGGGGCTTCAGATTTTGGAAGTAGAATTGGAACATTTGGCCTTAATCAACTTAGTTCAGTGGTTCCAAACGCTGGACCGGAGCCTAGGAATCTACGGACCCCTGAGCTGAGCCCGGTACCCCTTGGAGCAGCCCCTGAAGGGAATTTTCTTACGATATGAGCAATCTGACATGATGCAAATATTTAACATGGTGTCCGTGCACTAAAACCATATGCTTTGCTGATTCGTAGAAAACTTGACAGGCATCGTGTTACTGAATGACATGGTTAGATGGCCTCCGGGTACAGCGGGTATGGTGCCTTGCAGTACTGTTCGCAAGGCACCTGGTTTAGCACCGTTGAATGATATGAACAACCCATCACTATGTCGCCGGTACAAGAGTATCGTGATCGATCTTCTGTGCCACAGGAGTGTACCTCCACCGACTGAAGTACGCGGGTGTTTTTCCATCACCATCATTACTAGTAGCATACGCACCGACAATTGTGCCTACAGGATTGCCGTGTCAATCATCAGAGGACATTCAAAGACAGCGGACTGCTGAGGGAGCTTACCAGTGAACGGGCCACTGCCTCCAGAGACAATCAACGCGCTCGCTGATCCAATCTCGATATACTCTTCTGGGCGAGATGCCGGAGCTGCGCCGAACACATACTTGGAGTCACTGATAGCAGACACCGAGAGCCTTATCGTCTCCGACCTCCAGGCTTTTGGCACTGGTATGAGGACTGTTTCGGGGATAGTCATGTTGGGCTTTCCTGATGCTTCGACTTGTAGTCGGAACCGTGGAACTAGCGACTGGTTGAAACAAGCTGGCAAGGTGACGATGCCTAGATCGATATGCTGGAACTGTGTTAAAAAGACCGAAATGCCAGCCTCCTCGTTTTCGACTATTGGCTGGAATAATACATCGACGGTGTAGTTAAACAGCGTGGCACTCTGCTTACGGGCGACGAATCCAAGACCATCCTGTTCTGGGCTGAAGTCTGGTGTTGCTGAAAGGTTGACTGGCGAGGGAGATATCTGCAGCGTGTTGGGATGGTCCTCCGGTGAGATTCTGAACAGATCTGTCTTCGGTGGTCGCCAAAAGAGAAAGTGTCTAGGGATCTCCGAGCCCGGCGCAAAGTCAACAACGTCTGGCTCGTCTACCCAATGGCCATCTCCGGGGATATCTCTGTTTGTCGAAGGCAAAGGTCCATCCATCACGCCGCGTACTTCATCAAGCACCGGCCAATCTCCGTCTTCCCACTTGACGGCAAATAGAACGGTCTCACGGCCCATGGGATAGATTTCCCACGCGGGACCCGACCTGGTCGCCAATGCGACACCCCACCAATTCCCTGAGGCGTCTTGGAAGAGGTCGGCGTGTCCCACCGTCTGGAAATACGAGTCGGTATTTTTGGCCGTGAGAATTGGGTTATGCGGTGCTCCTTCATACGGTCCCGCTATCTCTTTGGCTCGAGCAATCGTAACAGAGTGGTTGGTCTCCGTTCCACCCTCTCCAATCAACAGATAGTAGTAGTCATCCTTCCGGTACAAATGTGGTCCTTCGGGGTTGCGATCTCCTGTACCATTCCAAACCTTTACGGGCTCATGTGCCGCGCCAGTCGAAAGGTCAATTTCGCTGATGTAGATGCCGGCAGCCACGGACATGTACACCTTGTTATTGTCCCAGAAGATGTCCGGGTCGATATCGTTTGCCGGGTTCTCGATACGAAGTGGTCCGGTCCACGAGGCATCATCATACGGATCGGCGGTGGTGAAGAGTAGGATCTTGGGACCCCAACCTTCGTACCAAGAGACATACGACGTGATGAGGTAGAAAATTCCGTCGCGGAACCTGATCGTGGACGCCCAGATGCCCTCATTCTGTCCCGAGTTCCGGTAGAGCTCCGGCACCTGCCCGGGTCGTGTCAACGCGTTACTCGCAAGCTTCCAATTGACTAGGTCTTTACTGGCGTAGATAGGAACACCCGGGAAGGCCAAAAACGAGGACACGGTACAGAAGAACGTGTTGTCCAACTCTTTGACAAACGTGCAGCTGGGATCAGAGTTCCAACCCGGGAGGATCGGGTTGTTGAAAGTCCTGTTGGCCTCCTGGGACTGGCTTCGGGCCGCCAGTGTGACGATTGACAGCCAAACAAGGCTGAAGAGTCGCATTGAGAGATCTAAGATGGATGAGATCGATCCGAGTATTTCGGATCTGATCTCGCCGCAATTCAAATATCGAGTAGACCCGGATGTCAATCTGTCTTTTATATTCAATGCCGGTCCTTTTTGAGACTATATTTTAGCGAGTACGCGCTTTCGGTATTGCATAGCAGTTCAGCATATGGCATAACTACGGGCGAACCCGAGAACGAGTTCTTGCTAACATCTCTTCAGTTCTTCCACCAATTCAATTGTCAGATTTGGTGGCATCTTGGGTGAGGTTGAAAAACTGGGGGCGGGGTTGATGATTCCAATTTGGCCTGTCCATTTTCTTCAACCCCGCACGAATTACCCGTCGTCTTCGGCTCTTTTCCCGATGATACCGTCGTATTCACAAGCTTCATCTATCCGACAAAGTCGCTTATACACGAGAGTGCTTAGCGTATGCAGGTGGCTGACACTTTTTCGGGGAGTAATCGCGGAGTTAGTAATAGTAGCGAGGTCGATTAAACGCAGACATTCTAGTTTTCTTTTCTTAAAAAAAGAAAAACGTATTCATCTTTCTTACTTATGACTTTCATTATGAGACTCATACGAAGGTATCATCTCCTCCTTTTGTAGCATGACACCCAAGGAAATCGAACGTGCACGTGTCACCATAGAGCAGCACTCTCTGGTATTGAGATCCCGAGCTGTAACATTCTTCAGGTTCATGATGTACTAGAATGGGTGTAGACACAAAGGTTAAGGAGTGTAGTAGAATTTTATAAATCTAAAGTAAGCTAAAGAACGAAGGTTATGAACGGATAATGACTCGAGTTTCCCAATATCTAACGCCGCCAGATGCAATTCCCTTCCAACCATACTATGCAGCCCGCCAAATGCTCATGCAATCACCTCCGTGACAGCTCGATACCTCCAACAGCCACATGGCCAATAGACCACGCATTTAGAGCTTGAAGCCTCCCAAGGGGTTGGGGTTGGGAATGACAAAGCCACCCTGCTGAACAGCGGGAATGACGGCATCGCCCTTCTGCGCAGCCAAAGCCTTGTGCTTGGCAAGAGTGAAGTCGGGGCTGTCAAAGTTCTGGTTGATGACACCGACCATGCCGTTCTTGCAGTGCTGGCCGGCGTTCTGGGCGCAATAATACCAGATAGGCTTCTTGTCCTCGACGACGATCTGGAAGACGTTGGCGGATTGGCCCTCGGCGGTGAAGAAGTTGAAGCCGGAGAAGAAGGAGGAGCCGTCGGCCAGAGGGTTGCAGGGGTTGCCAAAGTTGGACTCGGCAACGGAGTGGTTGCGAGGCAGGTAATGCCACTCGACAATGTCGCCAATCTCGGCGACGACGTTGTCCGGGTCAAAACGGAGACCACCGAGGCCGGCGACGACAGAGTGGGTGACGCCCGTGAGTGCGAATGTGCGGGTCGGGGTTTTGGTGCCGGTGGTGCTGGTGGGGGCGGCGGAGACGGTGGCGGCGGCGGCCAGGAGGACGGTGGAGAGGGTCTTGATCGAGAACATTTTGACTGGTTTGATGTTTTGTTTGTATATGGTTAATCTCAGATATGCAGAGACAGAGAGAGAGAGAGAGAGAGAGAAGACTCTAGGAAATAAGGAAAGATAGGAAATGATATAGGAAAAGTTGGAAGATTGGCTTGATTGGTTATGTGACTGTGTGATGATGAGAGAACAAAAACACTCTTCGACGGCGCGACCTTCTCATTATATACAACTCTCAACATCGTGTGATGCCGCAGCTCTGGATCTTTGGTCATCTCGGCCAGCTGACGATCTTGTTGTACAGCCCTACGGCAGCATCCTCTTCCACTTACACGACCCGCCTGCTCCGACTTGGGAGCTCACCTGCTAGCTTCCTTCGCGTGAACAACGCTAGCTCTCCGAAAGAAGTTTCCTCATCTGTCATGTACTGTCTGTCACGCAAACCCGGGACGGCAGTGACCCGGGTGAACAAGCAAACGGCACTAGATCCTTGTTGGCGCTAGAATCTCACTCAGACGAACGAGTGCCGCGACGTGAGTGGTCCGTTGCCGCGCAGCTGCAGACGAAGAACGTGCTGACGGCGGAACTGGCGTTTGACCAAAAGCGTTTGCAGTGCATATACCCTACTTAATAGCTGGGGGCTGAGCTAGGTAGCTGGCAAGCTGCTAGCACAACACCGCCCCGACGCTGAGATGAACGCTGCCTGCGTCTAATTTTAAACTTCATTACCAATCCCAAGCTAGGTAGAGGGTGACTGACGGACGTGGAATATGTGACTTTGCCATGTCGACTAGTGGTAAAACTATTCAAATGCTCATCCTTAGGTCTAGTCTCCTAGACAACCTGCAGGGTGGGAAATCCTGCGGAATTGGAAATAGGTGCGCACCCATCGTCGAATTTCATGTTGAGTTCAAATGCACTCGGCTTGACCACAAATTGAAATACAGTGTAAGATCATTTGGAAAAATTGTACTTTGGAATGAAATCACTTTTCTCCTGTTACTCGGCCGCTGGAAGGATCAGAAGGTTTCTGATCAGGGAGAACGATTAGCACCTCATAGCTTTGAAAAGCCATCACCGGAAGCGTGAACTGCCGGCTACTCGGTGCCCAACCTCATTCCGGATGGTCGAGGGAACGAATGTCGTTGAGGGAAGACGACCTACGGAAGACGGCCCGCGGAGGAGGCGCAACAGCTCCATGGTCCATATTCTACAATCCACACCACAAACTTAGAAAAAGGATGATAGCTTCACACCTCTCATAAGACCGATCTTGAGAAGAGGGATCGTTGTGGAAATGTCGACGAAAGTTCATTTCCAAGTAAAAAAGCAATCCGAGTTGATCCTACCGAGACTGAGGTCCGTCGTATGTCTTTTTGATAGGCTCCCGGAAATTCTCACTCACAAGGCCAGGATTATCAACTGTTACGTATTGTATTCAATTTCTGGAGCTAATGAGAAGTGCCCCATTCAAACGATCTTCAAATCTTGATACCGATATTTCATATGAAGGCTACAGTCTAGCGCGAGTGTTGGCCCCCACTAGCCCATCCGTATAGCTCGTATTTTCCTATACCTTTTAACATCTAAATCCCAAAAGAAACCCAAAATCTTGTTGCTATGCTAGATATAATGGAAAAGAGAAGGACAGAAAGGAAAGGGAAAGGAGAAAGCAAGGCTATATGCAATGGTCGTTTTCGGTCGTAAGCCATGATCTCCCGCCCCATCCCATAAACAAAAGCTGGCACCCGTATATCATACAGCCCTCATCAGATGGTATCTCGTCAAGCAAAAACAACACAAAGGGAAGAAAGAAACAGATAGACGGACTGGGCCTCAACCGGCCTTGACGGTCTTGGCAGCCTTCTCGTCCCCTTCTCCATCATCCGACTCTCCCTCCTCCTCCCCATTCGCCTCGGCCTCCTCAGCCTCCTTCTTCTCCTGTTCCAACTTATACCAAGGCCCGTGTATCGCGCCCGTCCCAACTCCAACCAGAAGCCCCAGCCCCGTCGTAGGAATAGCCGTGACACCGCCGACAACTGCCCCTACCAATGTACCCACGCCGGCACCCAGTCCAGTCCCCAGTCCGGCTCCGATGCCTGCGCCGCCAATGCCGCCCTGCCAAATGCCGCTCTGCAGCCGCTTGGACTGCTTCGCCGACCCCTGAGCCTTTTTCTCATGCTCCGCGGCCTCGGCGAGTATCTTCTTCTTCTCCTCCGGGTCCTCGGTCGCCTCGGCCCGCTCGCGGAGCTCCTGCGCAGCTTCGGTCTCTTTCTGTGCCTCCTGGAGCTTCGCGGTTGCCTGTGCGAGAACCTTGTCTCTCTGGTTTTGCTTTTGCTCTTCCGTCTGCTTCTCTTCGGGTGGTGTTGGTGGGGAAGACATTATTATATGACTTGTGGCGTCGGTGGCCGTGCGAGGTTCTGGAAGAGGAGCGTTGTGAGGCTGAAGCTCGGGGGTGGAATGTTGAGGTGGGATGAAGTGTGGAGTTGCGCCGCGCTGTGCCGTACGGTCGGGACGAAACAGTGAATGAACAAGGTGAAGGGATGCCGTCGATTACTTCCCAGATTTCGGTAGCGAGTCGTGCAAGGTCCGTACAGTCTGGGTAGGATTTGCTTGCGGACTATTGCAAGGTCTTGGGATATTCGATAACGAAGAAAGTCGAGGAAATCTAAGTTGGGGCGGGCAGCAGCCACAATTACTGACATCATTCGCTTATTGCTTTTTCTTCTTTTTCGTGTTCTCGCGACATCCCTGCTGCGTGGCGGGGTTGATCTGCTGCCACACGCACAGTGACGTCGGGATCGGGTAAGTTCATAAAATGGGGTGAAACGAGCTTAAACGTCTGGCATTACTTCATTTGTCCATCAAGAATCAGGAATCCAACTTTTAACTTCTCTTTTTCTGCATGAGTGCAAGTAACAAATTGCATAAACGCGTCCTCGATGACTTGTTCACGTGAATTAGTGGTTTCAAGAATCGGTCACATGCGATTTCGAGTAAGTGGGTCTCACGTGGACAGGCGGGATGTTCGCGACGGGACGATGGAAGTAAGGACGACGTTTGAAAGCTGCAAAGACTACATGTTCTTCCAAATCAGCTGCATTTTAGGTTTGGAATTCGAACCCTATATGATTCTCTTTATTATCAGCCCTGCCAGCGACTTTCGTTGTAGGAGCAGCCTCCGTTAAGAATCTAGACCTGCAGAGATTGATTTTCACGAGGCTCTGGTTAATTCGGTGTGAACATCTGGCGAATAGGTTTCAGGTGGATTACTCGGAGTGAATGGTGCTCGCATCTTGAGATGGGTTTCTTTGATTGCTGTTAAAAGAAATGGCAGTAGGTACGAGTTGGAGTTGACCGCCGACTGAAGAGGTTGTCTCTGAAGGACAGGGACTGGTCACTGAGTTAAATCCAGCTGCTCAGCTTGTGCGGATGGTTCTCCGGACACGTTCCACCAAGGGAACGGAAGGGAGGGCGGCGGACCTTACGTGGTGTGCTGTAACCAAGAGTCCAATATGGCCGAGGTGGAGAAAGCCATCGAGGGCCACGACGGGTCGAGAGGATCAGGAGCATAAAACTCGATGCTGGATGTGGCACTCGATTCACTGACCAACGTCGTAGCAATACCAACGTTATATTAAATGCGTGGGCTTTTTGCATGCAACAAAATTTCTCACACAAGTTCGGATGAAAAGTTTGCAAGCTTTTCATCTCGCTCATGAAAGTCCCCTGGCCAAGTCATGGACAAACTCCCTTGCCAAACATGTCGCAAATTCCCAATGTTTGAGATGTCACAATGAGGCTCCGTGGGACGCTACGAGATATTGGACATCCGCAAAATTTAAAGACTTTGCAACTGGATTCGCAGCTCATCGGAATTTTCTTGCCATCATCGAGTCATTTTCTGACCATTCCTAGTATACATCATAACTTACATGAGGCTGAGATGGCAGTGGCATCCACACAATATGCCCGTATAGCAGGCATGGTATCTCTTGATATACATGTAACCACTGCGGGTCTGAGTTGCATTGTGTTAACAGCCCAGCCCTCGTGAAGCCACGTAGGGGTTATTTCTGTATATACAATCTAAGCTATCGAAAAGAGATTCACGAGCGGAGCTTTAGCGGAGGTGGAGCGGAGGTAGAATCGAACTCGCGCGGTCAGTCGTGGCAGAATATCCGGGCGCTGGCCCGGATCCACTAATCGGGTCCAGCCCGTAACACATTGATCATGACGACTCCACGTCGTTGCATATGGCCCTCTACTTGGAGACGGATATCTTCCGACTAGAACGAAAATGAAATACGGAGTTGACTACAGACTTCATAAGGCCCAGATGCGCAAAAGTCCGAATCGGCGCATCTCCAGGTATTTTTACGTCAGCAAATCTGAAAAGATAGTTCGTCGAGAAAATAAAGATTTCTGATGTGTCACGGCACTGGAACCCAGGTTCCACGTATTAGGGTCTTGTTGCTCCCGGACCCACCCCCGGAATACGTGTATCTGGCCTGCTATCCAGCAATCAATCTATGGGAAATTTGCTGGGTACTCTGTACAAAGTTCAGTGCAAAACCCCAGACTACGGAGGCTACAGTCATCCAAGGTAGCCTAGAACAGGAATGAACTGCCGCCCAACGACTCTTAGTCGGCCACCGGGGCCCCTTCCGAACTTCCAACTTGGCCTCGGATTCGGACAGTGTTGCAGCGGAAACATCAGGCGGTCGTCACCACTTGATCTACATGCTTGAGCTGGAACTTGTGCGGGCTATGACTTTTGTTTATCACAGCTCTTGAAGAGTGAAGAGTCTCAAAATGTATAGTGACCGGGGCAAAAGGGTATGTTCGCTACGTAGAGACTAGAGTCTCAATCACGCTAGCAGATGACTACATATCGTGTACTTCTGTGGTACTCCCTTGCAATGGCAGCGGACCACGTGGTGGCGGTAGCATTTGTCGATATTAACAGCAAAACTCAATGTCGAACAAGGCGACCTCAGCCACGCCTTCACAAGCAACGAGAAAAGCATGCCGTGTCCACGTAAAACGATTGAGTTTACTATTTGACGATGCAAAGGCTTATCTCAACCTCAAAAGTTGGCCCATCCGCCCAGTCTGCCTCGTTCGCGATACCGACAGGACGTTTTCCCGCTGTTACGCCACGGCGGAAAGCCGGGATCCCCTACAGGACGCCAAGACAAACCGAAAGCGAAACCCCTGGTCAGGCCGGAAACAGCTGAGCGTTGCCGAATTCCCGACTAAGCCTCAAAGGTTACCTGATATCTACCACTATCTTAACCGCTAGAGGAATTGGCGTAGAAGTCAAAAGGGAATGCGAGAGCAAAATAATTGCAGAGAGCAACAAAAAGGTAAGCAGGTGATGATTCACGAGGTATGCATGACTCCAACGATCGCCGCCGTTCCCGTGGAGTGTTTGGATGGGTCTTTTTGTTGGCCGAGCCACACTGGTAGTTTCCTCGTGTTTGGTGACAATTGTTGCAGGTTTTGGTCGAAAATACACGTAAATGTAGCAGCTTCTGGAGACCGGAGAGGATTGCATGAGGTACGTAAGCTTGCCGACGGGATATTCCTTATCGGCAAGGCTTTGTCCCTGCATCAAATGAACGACGGGAAAATTGGATTGGCTAGGCTTCGACATTGTGATATCCGTATGGATGGGAACAGATCGAATGGGTGGTGGGGTGACGAGCTCCCTCAGCCTCTGTGATTGCAAAAGATCACGGCAAAAATCCCTATACGTGTATAGGATGAGTCGTGATTGGCAGCCCCGGTGAAAGATCCAGCGAGGTCCACCTACAGGGCTAGCAGGGGTTTCGACCCATGAGCCAATCAAGTACCGATTTATCCACGTATACATCCTTGATGGGGAAGCCCCAGGGCCCCAGTGGGCACCAGCGAAGCTTGGGTCTCGCATGTTGACAGTCAGACACATCTAGGCTCTTTGCCCATCGTCCACGACAAACGCGTATGGAGATGCCGTCAAAGAGACTTTTTCGAAAGTTCGCGTATTCGATGGCCGCAGCAGCAGCAGACTCAAGTTCCAGCCACTCCATCTCCCATTTCTGGGACGGTATAAAGATGGACTACAAGTTCGAGACACCCCCTTGGCCCTTGGCAACACATCCAGCAGCAACATCGTCAACGCTAACGGGGTCCTGGCCGAGAATTCGAGCAACGTCAATACATCAATCCTTCTTTCCGGTCACCGCCATCTGAAGCAAGTCTGATCTCGCGACCCAGCACACCGGAAAGCACAGCCTACAATCAGCCAGGAACGGGGAAAAAGGTGGAGGACAAACCAGCTACCGATAATCGATAACCCACAATCCTCGAGACTTTGACGAGATGCCTACCCTCGAGTCTCACAACGGCTACTATCTGTGGCACTATGTGCCTAGCTTGATCGCGGCCATCATCTTTGAAGTCCTCTTCGTCCTCGCTACGCTGTTCCACGCGTACAAGATTGCCAGGACAAAGACGTGGTTCTGCGTCGTCTTCGTGATAGGCGGTCTTCGTACGTTCCAACCTTCCACTTCCCACTTTGCCACGCTGTTGCCATCAATCACATCAAGATTACCAACTAACAAGGAGTCTCCCACGCAGTCGAAATCGTCGGATATGCAGGCAGAGCCATCGCACGCGATCGCACTGGCGAAGTCGGACCCTACGTTATGCAATCCCTCACGATCCTCATCGCGCCCGCCCTCTTCGCGGCATCCGTCTACATGACCCTCGGCCGAATCATCCGCAGCGTCCACGGCGAGTCCCTCTCAGTGATCCGCATCAACTGGCTCACCCGCATCTTCGTTACCGGTGACTGCTTCTCCTTCCTCGTCCAGGCCAGCGGTGGCGGTCTCATGGTCAAGGACGGCAGCCAAAAGATGGGCCAGAATCTTATCGTAGCCGGTCTCGTCATCCAGATTGTGCTCTTCGCCATCTTCTGGGTCACCGCCATCGTCTTCCATAGCCGCCTCGCAAAGAACCCTACCCAGGCGTCCCTGGCGGGCCACTCGCCCTGGAAGTCGGGCCTGTGGATGCTCTACATTGTCAGCGCGTGCATCATGGTCCGGTCCATCTTCCGCCTCATCGAGTACGTCCTTGGCGGCGACGGGTACCCGCTCCGTCATGAGTGGACTCTGTATGTGTTCGACGCCACACTCATGTTCTTCGTCATGGTGGCTTTCGGGTTCCGATTCCCGTCGGCGTTCCAGATCCGCAAGGGTGGCTCGCAGTCGGCCTCGGATGTGGAGAACTATGACTTGGCGGTGGAGAGCGAGGAGCAGCACCAGCGCGGCTCGATGCGCAAGACGATGCGGTAGAGAAGGTCTTTGATTGCTATTCTCTTTTGTTTCCTGATGAGCGGAGATTAGGTGTGGAGACCAGTACGTCGAATGTCCAGCGTAAGGTATCTACAGAGTACGGTTATTGTCATTGTAATTGATGGAATTGGAAGACAGAGTTGGCGGAATTTGAAGGGCAATGATCCATGTCACGACCTTCCCGAGGGATTAGACGATTCAGTTCGGGTTTTCTGTTGGTGTCAGCGGAGATAACGCCGGGATATGCAGAATAATGGCGATGGGTACGGAGTAGAGGGGTACCTACCAGCCGCGGAGAGCCGGGTACCCTGCATTACCTCAGTCCCCAGTACTTTAGACGCACTAGAATGATTAATGAGGAAACTGTAGTGCATATCGTTGGTCAGGAACCCTTCATGCGTGTTTTCTTGATCTTGACGATTCGATGACTGCGTGTCAATGTCTGTCGATGGAACTGAATACATGTATTCATCGTGTTTAGTTCCTTCCTAGGTCCTCTCGGAGATATTCAGCCGGGCCCTTCACGGCGTAATTGGCCTGCGACGATGTCATTGGGTCGGGAATGTTTTGCAGGGTGTTTACTAATACAGCCCGGGGACGTTGTAAGGAAGGCGCGCAGGCGGTGGAACGTACCTGCCCACACTATTCTACAGATTTAGGGGAAGGGCCGCGTGGACTTGGTTGGCGCAGCGCCCTTCGACCTTCCATTGGACTCATCTCAAGGCCCTTTTTAGGCTTATTAGGCATTTTTTGGCGCATTAAGCTGCACAGTAGCCCCTGTAGCAGACCCTCCTCATGCCCCTGGGCTTCCCTCAGTTACAAAACTTCCTTCCCCGTATCAACGTCCACCGATGGCCCTTGGACCCGCCGTAGTCATGTTGGAGCGCGGTAGATGCCGCACCCCTGTAACACGAGGCATATACAGTAGGTAGTTCCTTCCATACTCTGTCCTTCGTGTATGGACCAGGTAGGGACGCTGTACTTTGTACCTTAGGTTCCTAACTACGGTTCCTACCTTAACTGCCCAGACCTGGACTGACCTGAGCTTATCCATTCAAGCTGAGCTATCCTTCCCCCCCCTCCCCCACCAAAAAAAGGCTGAGCTTCGCTCGGGTTCGCATCCCTCAAAATGAACCACTTCTCATTTTCTTTCGTCAATTGTCTAGTGTCTTTCTTTTCACGTTCTACATACAAGAAGTAAAACCTCTCATCGTCCGTCACATACAGACACCGCATCTCACCCGCCCTCCTACCTGACGAAAAGGCCCCATGGCACATCAATCGCCTTGAACCACCCCTCTCTCCACATCCCTTTCATCCCACCGGCCGAGACAGCAACCTTGCCCGGAAAAGGATGGACATCTCGCGCAACAACTCTCCCGCCCCCGGCACCGGCTCAACCAACGGCGACGCCAGCACACCAGGGGGAGCATCGGCATCGGCATCGGCATCGGCGGCGGCAGGCGACGTCAAACTCCGTCGTGCTCACCGGAAATCTCGCAACGGATGCAAAGAATGCAAGCGCCGCCACGTGAAATGTGACGAAACACGCCCGACATGCGTCAACTGTGCAACGGCTGAGCGTCACTGCTCCTACCTCGACTCCCTCCCGGCATCAGCCCGCTCCTCCGCCGCCGCTATCTCTTCCGGCCCGGCCGCCAAGCGAGCAGCAGCAGCAGCCGCTCTCGTCGCCAGCCCAGCGGGCAGCTCCGGCAGCAATGGCAACAGCGCCTCCGCCGCCGCAACAGCCGTCGCCTTTGCGACCTCACCCTCCATCACCACAGTCGTAAACGACTTTGTCATGCGCACCGAAGATGACCACGACGTAGCAAGCCCTCCCAACGGCCAATTCTTCACCCTCGAACACATGCGCCTCCTCCATCACTTGGAAACCCGTATGGGCACCTTCATGGCCGCAGACGCGTTTATGAAGCCATTGGTTGACATGAACCTCGAAGCTGCCCTAAACGCCCCTTACCTCATGGATGTCCTCCTCGGCCTCTCTGCCCAGCACATGGCCGAGCTACACCCACACCGCGCAGACTTCTACCAACACCAAGCCACCCAACTCCAGACCCGCGCGCTCATGATGTTCAACGACGCCAAAGAGGAAATCGATGACGACACTTGTATCCCCATGTTCCTCTTCGCATCCTGCCTCGGAACTCAGGTCCTCTGCGATACCCTCCGCAGCTACCGTACCGACTTCAACGGCTTTCTCGACCAATTCGCCTGGTACCTCAACCTCCATCGCGGTGTTAGCACCGTAACCGGCCGCTCCTGGCACATCATCCGCGAATCGGGCTGCAAGGACTTCGTCGAATTTCTCGAATCCAACAAGCCCGACCCGAATCAGCACTCCGAAGTCGACATCCTCCATAGCATGCTCGACCAAGCCGACCTCGGCCCCGTCTCCCTACAAGCCTGCCGCGACGCAACAGAGTCCTTACGGCAGTGCTACTCCATCTACCGCAGCATCGCGGTGAAATCCACCCACCAGTCCGCCTCCGTCATGGCCTTCGGCGTTCGCGTCACAACGGGCTTCATTGACGTCGTCAAGCAACGCCGCCCAGAAGCTCTCGTCATCCTAGCCTTCTACAGCGTGCTCCTCCATTGGTGTCGCAGTTACTGGGTCTTTGGCGACGCTGGCCAGTGGATCATCCGCTCCGTCTCAGCGCACTTGGGAGACTACTGGTCGGAATGGCTAGCCTTCCCTCAGGCGGTGCTCGAGGTGCATGCAGGCTGAAAGGTTGAGGCAAAGAAGTAGGCAAAACATACCGGACAATTCCCTCCACTTCTTGCTACTGCTACAACGAAATCGACCTTGCGCAAAATAAGCTGCACAGGGAGCTTCTCTCCTGCATAAGGAGGAAGAAACAGAACAGTTTTAAGAACTGCAAGTCTGTAGTCATCCGTCCTCTGCCCGATCCAGCCGGGGACGGGCAGAGCAGAAAAAGCACAACCAGCGAAACTGGTAACTGGATGAACCTCAACAAGCAAGCCGAACAAACAAGCACACTTAAAAACATGGAATGAACGGTGTGCGAATGCGGGCGCGCGCACCCCATCTCAACTTCGGGCTTTGCGCCGCTGCCGAGAGAGCTAAGCAAACCGTACGTCAAAGTCCGAAACAGTTCCAACGCGCCGCCCGCCACCGACGTCCACCGACAGGAGCGCAGAATCCGTCGCAGTGGCAGTCGCAGAAGAGAGTGCAGCTCTGAGCTGCGCTGGCTGCCTTGGCTAAACACGCCAATTTCATCCATACACCGGGCACGTCGGGTATCCGGGTCTGGGGGAGGGAGGAGGAGGATGGGGCTCAGGTTCTTAAATGTCTTGGGGAATCGGAGGAAGGAAAGTGGCGCACATCAACCGGAGATCAAAAAAACACACGGCCTCTGCGATCTGACGTCTTGGTCCCCTCGTCTCACGCTACGCCAGAACGCCCGGGAGTCGGTGCGGCGCTCAACCATCACCACACACCCATCACGCACCTTTTTCTCACCTCACCTCACACCTCGCTCTCCCTCTTCTGTTGGTAGTCTCTCCTGCATATGTCCCGCCCCCGTCAAGGGACGGGCGCCAAAACGCCAGAACATCGGCCTTACGCCATGGCCGTCGGACTCGACATGGGGACTTTATCAAAAAGGTCTGCGCCTCCCGCGCCGATGACACCATGAAGCTCGTTCTCTTGGATGCCGAAAGAGAAGGAATGGGCAAAGGATTGGGGCAAAAGTTTCGCAAAGCTTAGCTTTTAGTTTTTCACACCTTCCTTTCTGATGAATCCTCCTCCGTCCTCCCACTTTTTAAACAAACAACCCACACCAGCTTCAAGCTGGCGCAGCCATTCCCGTCCAGGTCATTTACATTCGTGCGGCCCAGCATGTCGCTCCCATTCCCAACATCCAGGTTCGGCCCAGGCTTCACGGTCCCGACCGCCGTGACCGTCACAGAAGGGGGACGAACAGTCACATTCACGCCCACGCCCACGGGCGGCACCACCTCGGACTCATCGCCTTTCCCCGACAACATCCTCCAGCAGTCCGGCCTTGCACCGGGACAGATCATCGGCATCACCGTGGGTGCTACCTCGGGCCTCGTCTTTTTTGTCGTCGCTCTCGTCTGGTTCTGGAATAGAAGGAGAGCACGAAAGCTCGCTGCGCGCGATGAAGCGCTCGACACGGTCATGGAGGATCCGGAGAAACCTGACGACGCTGCCATGATGATGGCTCAGAACACGGGGGAGACAGTCGAACTGCCGGCGCCGCGAGTGGTGCACGAGATGCCCGAGACGCGAGAAGGCCCACCCGTCGAACTTCCCGCTCCCGTTGAAAGGCACGAGATGCCTGCGTAACACCAACCCCCTAGACGGGGAGACGCTACCCGTCGGGATTCGATTGAGGAGGATAAAGGCGCAAAACGGATGGCGCCTCGCCGAGTCTGATGAACGAAATTGGAATGAGACCCACGATACCCTCGCTGAGCCGTACTTTCGCTTAAGCATTATTATCAAAGAGTCAGACTTTGAGAGAAAGACTCCCGCCGCAAAGAGACTGTTGCCCACGAGTATGATGAATAGTGCTGTAATAAGTGAGAGAGTTAGTTTGGAACAGGGAAGCAGTGAGGCGGTTTATCATTTTACGACCAAACCAGTGTCGATTGGAAATTAAACGGGATTATCCTCATACCGTAAATAGATCGATATCAAAACTAAACATTCACGCAACTTTCACATCGTGTCGATGGTCCCACATTTGAGACCCTGTCGAGAAAGCAGGACTCGAGAGCCTCACCGCGACCCTGAGAAGGCCTGCGGATTTGACCACTTGCTTTACCGAGTTTGTGTACAAAAGCCTAGATATCGGTCCTTCAGCCTTGCTCCCCCTCATTGAGGGCGCTTGCCTCCAATACCTGAAGCCGCCTCACGAACTCCCTGTTGCCATGTAGAATACACCAAGAGCTTGATACGTTGCTCAAGCCCATGTAGAAAAGAAATAGAGGGGGGTCTGCCCCTCGATACGCTCAAATCTTATGGACATCGTCCTCGGTTGAAACGCTTTTGACGTACTAGGACTGGTTCTCGCCGTAGGTCGATGGAGCTATGCTGAAATCAATGTCGAGCTCCTTGAGGAAGACATCGTCCAGGCTGCTGCCATCACGAGTGTAGATCCAGGCTCCAGCGGCAGTGCCCTCCTTGTCATTCTGCGAATCGCCGACGACAACCCAGTCATAGCGCTTGGGGCCCGACACTGGCGACGAGAGCCAGATCTGCTTATTCGGGGGCTGCTTATTGATCACGTAGGTACCAGCATCCGGGAAGGAAACGGTCAGAACTCCGGCCTGCAATGTGAGCAGTCAGCAATTCGTTGCTTGGTCAGGAAATGCAAATCCCGAGCTTCGCAAACATGTCTTGGTGGGTACAAGGATGGAAAAGTCAAATCAGACTGTCCACTCACAGCATACTCGACATCAACTCCCTCACGAGCATCTGCTATCTCCTCGAGCCGAGTGACAATGGTATCGAGGTAGGCCTCGGACAATTCGTGATACTCGGCATCTGTGAGCTCGACGACGTTCATCTTGACCTCCTCCTTAGGTGTCTCTTTGACCTGAGGGTCATCGGTGTCGGGCATGATGCCACGATGGGCCATTGATGAAGTTGTGAAGAGCTTGCGAGAAGAAGGACCAGAGACTGTAGGTTTTGAGGCGGCGAGAAGCGGGGCAGAACGGCGCGGGACGGCCAGGCGGGCTTGGGAGGAGGCCCGGAGGGTGCGGGCGGCGGCGCCGGTGAGCTTGGTGATGCTGTTGCGAGCCATTTTAGCTAGGTATGGGTGATGATGATGATCAGCGATTGACGGAGGCTCGGTTGTGATATTGTAGAAGAGATGTTGGCTGTGAGTGGAAAAGGAGGAGTTTGGGGGGTCGTTGTCGATCAAGGAACTGAAGAAGGTGACTTGCTTCGTAAAAGACGGCAGGTCAAAGGCAGCTTTCGTTGCTTCCCCACGTTTGCTGCAGGTGACGGAAGCTGCAGGACCAGCTTCGATCCGCGGTCAAGGGAAGGAACCGAGCTTGGGCCAGGAGGAGGCCCCTACTAGTGTGCTTACATCAGAAAGCCATGTGTGGGTGCGAGCCATGCACCTCAAGCTCCCACCGCTGTGGAAATCCGGGCCAGACGCTGGCGGGAGACGGTTGGGCGGCTGGTAGCGGTCTGACCCCACCAAAGCCAGAACACCGCGAAGAGCACTGTGTGTCTGGCGGGACACCATCCCGTCGCATTGAACCTGGACACGACTGGCTGGCTGATTCTCTCGCCGATATCAACAACCTCAGCCAAGTCGGGATGCTCAGTCAAGAGAGAACATAATGATCAACGCCTTTCTGGTCTTCAACGGCCAAGGTCAGCCTCGGCTGACCAAGTTCTACACACAGTTGGTATGGACTGGCATCTTCTCGAATGAAGCTGCTACGGGACTGACACATCTACACAGGAAACGAGCATGCAGCAGCGCCTGATTTCCGAGATATTTACCCTCGTATCGAATCGACCGGCCGGATCTTGCAACTTCCTTCCGCTTCCTCCCCTTCTCGCTGCCTCGGGCACCTCGCACTCATCATCCGAGGAAGAGAACGACGTCCCCTCCCTCGTTACCTACCGCAACTACGCGACACTCTACTTCATCGTTATCTCCACCTCAACAGAGTCACCACTTGCACTGATCGATCTGATACAAGTCTACGTCGAAGCGCTTGATAAGCTATTTGAGAACGTCTGCGAGCTGGACCTCATTTTCAACTTCGAAACGCTGCACTCAACGCTGGGGGAAATGATTGTGGGAGGCGTGGTCATCGAGACAAATCTAGATCGTATTGTCTCCGGTGTACGCGCGCAAGGCACCGTTGCCAAAAGACCGGTAAACGAAGGCCGTAGCGCAGGGCTGGGAAGCGGGCTTAGTATGGGAGGCAACTTTGTCTGGCATGGACGGTGAGGCAGACGGTCCGGTGTTTGAGAGGGAAATGACTTTGCCATCGAACAATATGTTATACATGGGCTTCTATGCCGGGTATTCAAAACGCCATAAACTCCTCCCTATGCTGGTACACTTTTATCGGCCGAGGATTTGTCTATTTGGGTGTTTCGATGGGAGCGGGTGCTTCGGGCGCATCTCTGCGACGTTCGTATCGCTTGTCAGCCTCGATTGTGCCAAAGAGACCGCGGACACGCTTTCGGATCTGGCGAGCATAGTTAGCACCGATCGGGATTTCGGAATTGGAATCAACAAGGCCACATACCTCCTCAGACGGCCTGTATTCCTTGCCAAAGAACTCGAGCTCGGAGAAGAAAAATGTCCAGCCAAGGAAACCTAGAGGTAGTTAGCATAGAGCCCAAGCAGTTGCTGGAAGGGCTTTACAGACCAATCACAGTGGCAAGCTGCGCAAGCTTAACGGCCTTGTTCCATCTCGGCCGCGCATAAACCAATGCCAGGCGTCTCTTGTACTTCTTCTCGAATCGCAATTGTGACTGAGGGGACAGGTTCGTGAAGTTGGGAGGCCAGACTTTTTTCGTTCGGTAAGGATTGGTGAAGACTGTGAACTTGGAGCCGGCTGCTTCGGCCGCTCGCCGAACGATCGTGGGAAGCATCCTAGGTGTGTTCAAGCTGCAATCGAGGATTGGTTGGCCCGAATCGTAGTTGGTGGTTGCTGGCACGAATGGACAAGTCGGACCGCGAGGGTATGTCAATGGGCCTCTGTGCGACTGGAGAGACTCACTTTGATCCTCAGCCACATCATACGCCACAAGGACAAATCCATCGAAGGCACCAGCCACACTCTCACGGTACGCCTGGGAAGCCGGCGAACGGCCAGCGGAGAGCTCGAGCGGTACGTACCGCAGAAGGGACTTGACCACCACAGCACTTCAAACATCGGCGAGTGACCACTCACCCGACAGTACCCCGCCATAACCACCAAAGCCATCGCGGGGCACACTCAGCCTCGAAAAAAACATCGGAGCTGCGACGAAATCTCCCCCACGTTAGGATCTGTGACTCAGTATCCTCGCCAGCCACTATCTCGAAGGAGCACCAGCGATAACGCGATATCGAGCGTGACTCTCAACTTTCGAAGCAAGAGTCACTGTCGAATCATATAATACGCATTGGTCCTGGAATTGGCCTTGCGTATTGGCTTCCCCGACAATTCCTGACCGAATCGAACGAGAGAGCCCGCAATCATGGCCAACGAAGCTGCCAAGGCCCTCGAGGCCCTCCAGGTTTCCAAGACCAAGGAGCTCAAGGGAACTGAGAAGCGTGATTTTTTGATCTCTCTTGAGAAGAAGTACCAGCGCAAGTGGTCCGAGGACAAGATCTTTGAGGTGGACGCCCCCTCCACCAAGGAGGTTCCCCTTCACTCCATCACCGCCGCCGAGCTGCGCGAGCAACAGCCCAAATGGTATGGCGCAATCGGATAGTGCTTCAGGAAATACGGTTGACAAGTATACAGGATGGGATGTATGGCCTTCCCTTACATGAACGGTCGCCTTCACGCTGGCCACTTGTTCTCCGTGAGCAAGGTCGAATTCGCCGCTGGTGTAAGAGAGCTCTGACAATGATGCATTAAGGAGGAGGCTAATGGATTGTTATAGGTCGCTCGTATGCAAGGAAAGCGTGCTCTGTTCCCCATGGGATGGCACGCGACCGGTATGCCCATCAAGGCCGTCGCCGACAAGCTCAAGAACGAAGTTGCCTGGTTCGGCCGTGACTTCGAGGGCTACAAGGAGGAGGAGGAAGTTGTCGTTGACGAAAAGCCTGCGGATGCTAAGGCAACCCGCGAGGACATCACCAAGTTCTCCACCAAGAAGAGCAAGGCCAATGCCAAGACTATCAAGGCCAAGTACCAGGTATGTTCCTGTTATCTCGGCTTCATGTAGCATATTACTGACAAATAAATAGTTCCAAATCATGGAGGCCATGGGCATTCCGAGACAAGAAATTCACCTCTTTGCCGACGCATCATACTGGCTGGACTTCTTCCCCCCTCTGGCCCAGGAGGATCTCACAAGCCTTGGATTCAGAATCGGTCAGTTTCATGCTGGATGACATTTGCGATGAAGTCAGCTAATCAGTACTAGATTGGCGTAGATCATTCATCACCACCGAGGCCAACCCCTACTTTGATGCTTTCGTTCGCTGGCAGATGATCCGTCTCAAGGAGCTCAACAAGATCAAGTTCGGCAAGAGATACACCATCTACTCGATCAAGGATGGCCAGCCCTGCATGGACCACGACCGAGCTGAGGGTGAAGGAGTCGGTCCCCAGGAGTACACTGGATTGAAGATGAAGGTCCTTGAGTGGGCACCCAAGGCCGAGGAGGCTCTCAAGTCTCAGCTTCCTGCGGACGCAAATGTCTTCCTCATTCCCGCCACCCTCCGTCCCGAGACAATGTACGGCCAGAATGCTGTTTTCGTGTCTCCCAAGATCACCTACGGCGTCTTCAAGGCTACAGAGAAGGACTACTACGTTATGACTGAGCGTGCCGCCCGCAACATGGCCTACCAGGGTCTCTTCCTCGCGGAGGGAGTTGTTGACGAGACTGCCAAGATTGACGGTTCCGTCCTCATCGGTACCCGTGTTAATGCGCCTTTCTCTGTTCACAAGGACGGCGTTCGCGTTCTTCCCATGGATTCTATCCTGCCCACTGTACGTCTGCTCCTTTTCCTACTACACGGTACATCTCTAACAGCCCACAGAAAGGTACTGGTGTCGTCACCTCTGTCCCCTCGGACAGTCCTACCGACTGGGTCATGACCATGGATCTCCGCAAGAAGGCAGCCTACTACGGCATCGAGCAGGAGTGGGCCGAGCTTGAGATCATCTCCATCATCAACACTCCTTCCGGTGACATGATTGCCAAGACCTTGGTAGAGCAGCTGAAGATTGCCTCCCCCAAGGACACTGTTCAGCTTGACAAGGCCAAGGAGACCGCTTACTCTGAGGGTTTCTATAAGGGAACCATGAATATTGGCGAGTTCAAGGGCGAGTCCGTCGAGTCCGCCAAGCCCAAGGTCCGTCAGGCCCTTATTGACCAGGGACTCGCCTTTGTCTACTCCGAACCTGAGCGCAAGGTCGTCAGTCGCTCCGCGGATGACTGCATCGTCTCCCTGATGGACCAGTGGTACCTCGACTACGGCGAAGAGTCTTGGAAGAAGACCGCCCTTGACTGGGTTGAGAACACAGATGGCAAGGGCTTGAACACGTTCAGTCCTGAGACCAAGAACGCATTCCAGGGTGTCCTCAACTGGCTCAACCAGTGGGCATGTGCCAGATCTTACGGTCTTGGTTCCAAGCTGCCTTGGGACCCTCAGTTCCTCGTCGAGTCTCTCAGTGATAGCACCATCTATATGGCATACTACACCATTGCCCCCTACCTCCACAAGGACATCTTTGGCAGAGAGCAAGGCACTGGCGGTATCGCTCCTGAGCAGATGAAGGATGAGGTTTGGGACTACGTCTTCTGCCGCCGCGAGCTTGATGATAAGCTCGTTGCCGAGTGCAAGATTCCCAAGGAGACTCTGGAGAGCATGCGCCGCTCCTTTGAGTACTTCTACCCTCTCGACCTCCGCAGCTCTGGAAAGGATCTGATTGGCAACCACTTGACCTTCTTCCTCTACATCCATCTCGCCATCTTCAGCCCCGAGTACTGGCCCAAGGGTATCCGCACCAACGGTCACCTCATGCTTAACGGTGAGAAGATGAGCAAGTCGACTGGTAACTTCATGACTCTGCAGGATGTTGCTCGCAAGTTCGGTGCCGATGCCGCCCGTATCGGTTTGGCCGATGCTGGTGACACCAACGGAGACAGCAACTTTGAGGAGGACGTTGCTAACCAGGCCATTCTCCGTCTCCACACTCTCAGAGGTATGTTCATTTCTTCATAATGCGATTGCCATACTAACAGTAGTAGAATGGTGCGACGATGTTGTCAAGAATAAGGGCGAACTTCGCACGGGCGAGTACAACTTCTTCGACAAGGTGTTCAACAACGAGATGAACGTCATTGCCAAGGAGGCCATTCACCAGTACTCCGAGACTGCTTACAAGCTGGCCCTGAAGGCGGCTTTTTACGAGTAAGCGTAGATGCCTACCTCAATGCTCTGCATTTCTGACACGTGCGAACAGCTTCAACAATGCTCTTTCCTTCTACCGTGAGAGCAGTGCCTTGTCCAAGATGCACGTTGACTTGGTCCTGCGCTACATTGAGCTCCAGGCTCTTCTTCTTGCTGTCATCGCGCCCCATTGGTCTGAGTCGGTCTGGATTGATATCCTCGGCAAGCCTACGTCGATCCAGCAGGCGACATTCCCCGAGATTCCGGAGACGGATGCGGCTCTTACGGCGGCGAGAAAGTACATTTCAGTGACGGCTTCCAACGTCAACTCTGCCGAGTCTCTTCAGCTGAAGAAGAAGGCCAAGGGCAAGGAGACATCCTTCGACCCCAAGAAGCCCAAGAAGCTCACCATCTTCATGAGCGAAAAGTTCCCGCAGTGGCAGCAGGCTTACATTGACCTGTTGAAGGAGATGTGGAACCCCGAGACCAAGTCTGCGGACGACAAGGCGCTCAACGGCAAGATTTCCAAGATGGGTGAGATGAAGAAGGCCATGCCGTTTGTGCAGGGTCTCAAGAGACGTCTGCAGACGGGCGAGCCCGCGAGCGCCGTTCTCGAGCGCAAGCTGGCGTTTGACGAAAAGGCCGTGCTCGTGGACATGATTGATGGTCTCAAGCGCAGCGCCAACCTGGTCGAGGTGAAGATTATTGCAGTGGAGGAGGGCGGCAAGAAGGGCACTGATTTGGTTACCGGGGCTGTGGAGGAGAGCCTCGCGCCCAACGCCGAGGGCGCGGTACCGGGTGCTCCCAATTTCTTGTTTGCCAATGTCGAGTCATCATAAGCCGCGAGATATACGCGATAGACAAGAAGCTGAGAGTAGAATGGTAGCATATGGGTATGTCATCATATCCTGATGTTTGGCCATGCAAAGCGAGAAAAGGAAGCAAGACGAGACTTTGATATCAATGATTACGATTTTTGTTCAAGAGCAAACAGCTTGTTCCATTTTCAAACGTGAATGTGTTTTGGAGCAAAGACTGGGACATGCAGATTTAGTGCCGGACTTGGCATGGGACTCGTCGGTGTAGATTGTACGTAGACTTGCGGGTAGCTGGGCTGTCTGCGAGGCTGGTAGACTTCCACACTTCTCTGCAGAGATGGGGCCAGGAGAATGGGACGCAGCACTGCATGGAGAATGGAGAGAGGAGAAAGACTCGGGTTCACCGTTCAGCTGTGGTGGCCATTTGGTTGCGGCCTGAAACCAAGGCTTCTGAGGCTTGACGGAAATCAGGGAATTGGGTGTGAACTGTCAAGCGGCACAGATTATGACAGAACGGGGCATGCATGGCCGACATGCGAGAGTTCCTTGATTCATGGAAAGAACAATGGCGTGGCTTGAGAGCTCGTTGAGATGGCCGTTGAACGAATACTCTGGACTCCGGAGTTGCACAGAAAACACCAGGAAACGTGGGAGGCAATGGCTAGTGGGTTGGGCCTGTGGCTTGATTGGACGATTGGCTGCAACGGTTGTGGAGGCAAGTGGCTGGGGTGATGCGGTGACGGATGTCAAAAAAACGGGCAGTCGCGTTCTGGGTCTGGAGGGACGGAGGGAAAGAGGTGACTGGATGAGCAAGCAGGCAAGGAGGGCAGGATGGGAAAACCTGGCAGGGACCCCTGCGGTGTTGCTCTTTCTCATCCCTGTCCCTGCCTCCTTCTTTTCCGTCCTGATCTTTCCACCTACCGTTGGTC